TGCTCTTGCAATCGCAGTGGCATTTGTTATGGTTGCTGCTGCGGCTATTGTTGATTGTCAAATGCAAATTGAGCCGCCTCAGATTCTGTCCTTTCTGCCTTTTCATATCCTGCATCTGCAGAGCTTCAGGGTGCATTGTTATCGTTTGGACTCAGAACTTGACTGTCCTTATTCCTAAAAGAATTTTGATTTTAGGGTACTTAGCTTTTTGTTGGGAACTTTCGTAAGTAGATTATTTAGCAGAAAACTAAGACGGATTAAGCACTTACTACAAAATATCAACGAAAACCAGAACAATCCTTAGAAGTATGCAGCAAATTTTAAATTTTGCGATTTAAGCAAACAGATTTCGAAAAGGCAAAACCTTTGAAAGTGGTTTAAAAATCTGCGTTTAAAAGAACGTTTTTAATTTTTGATCGATTTTTTTAAGAATTTAATAAAGTAACCTCTTTTTATTTGTTTAAAAAAAAATTTAATGATTTCAAAAAGACATAGTTTTAAAGGTTTTTGGTTAAAATTTCTAAGAATTGTTATTTTTTCAAAAAAAAAACGAAGCACAAAAGTTAACCTTTAACCCATGTGAACCCATCATGAACCCTTGTTTAAAAAATTGTAGAGCAAAACAAGTCTAAAGTAAACCTACCTTAAAGAACAGATGTCTGGGATGAATGTCGCTTTCAGGACCCTATCATGCCAGGCTGTTGTGAATGTCAGTTGCAGTTTGCAATTGACACAAGCAATTTGAAGCCGCAATTAATGAAAATTGAAAAGTGTTCGTTCGCATTACGCATACGCCAAGTGGTTCTGGTCGTGGTCCTGTGTGTGTTTCTGTGTGTGTGTTTGTGTGCTACATCCTGAATTGGATCGATGGAGCATTGTGAGAGTGATGTGGTTGCATAATCGCTGCTCCACATTGCGCGCTGCAATGATCACACACAGCTGCACACACACACACACACACACACACACACACAGGGAGGACACACATGGAGGACACACAATGACACAGCAGGAGCAGCAACAAGCAAAGCCATTAGAAGTTGCAACAGTTTTGCAACCAACAACCCCCTGTCCTGTTTTTGTGTCGAGTCATTTTTGCGCTCAGAAGCACTCACTAAAACAAATAAACACTTTGCGCATTGTTTCGTTTTGACAAATGCGTGTAATTTACGGAAATGTTGTGTTTGTACGTAATGTTTTTCCAGGCCCCTCGCAATCCGCAGCTATCTGGCCATATTCCCGTGCTCCTTGCTGGCTAAATAGTCTTAGGCGTGTTTGCGGAGCTCTTGGACTCCTTAGCCAGACAGTTGTAGAGTCGGCAATTAGTTGGAGCTGGGAGAAAAAAAAAAGAAACCCATCCACGTCCACCCCGCAGACATTCACACTTAGTCTAGATTACAAAGACTGCAGCGGGCTAGAAAAATATAGGTTAAAACTGAGTGTTATCCACCCGCCATGGCTGCTCATCAAAGTGGCAATAAAATATGCTTTCATATTGCCAGTGCTCGAATGGGCCATCGTGGGCCAATTGAAATGCTTATTACAGGGAGGAGTGGCATAGTATCTGGGTAGCTGGGCATCTGGGCATCTGGGTATCTGGCATCGGGCTGTGGTTAAGCAGATCAAGCATGGAATCACAAAGGACTTCTCCTTTGTTGGCCAGCGCGCTTTGTTGCGGCCTTAATGAGGAAATTTCCATTGGCCGGCCCGCTCGAGTTGGCAATTTACGATACCTTTGTGGTTTCAATCTAGCAATGGGCAACATAATTAAAAATTGTGACAGCCATAAATTATGTTTTGGGTTCCTCCGTCGAGACAAGAGATGGCAGATAATTAAAGTGGCTGGAAGAGTAGCGTAGAGAGTAGAGCGGAAAAGAACACAAAAGTGGGCTCTAAGCCACTTTTTTTTTGGGAAAGTAGCTTAAAAAGCCAAGTGAAATCAATTAGGTCGCAATTTATGTCAGACAGAAAGTGGATGGGTGGGGGATGGAACTTTAAGACTTTTTAGTCCTGGCCAAGGCAACATTTGATTTCAGTCTAGCAGTGCACAACAGCAGCAGCTGCTCCTGATTGCACTGCATCAGGGGGAATGCCCACATCTCACAGGGTCCCCAAACGATCTCTTTCCCATCTAAAACGCCCCCATCTACGCCCCTGTCCATTTGGCAGCTGGCTGCGGGCTTTGACGTCCCTTTTTTGGATGGGACTTGGCCTGTTGCAAAGTGTCAAAACGTGTACTTGTCGCTGGCAGAATGCTGCCGCTGCCATTGCAGCTCCTTTAATTTGAATTTTATGCACTGCATGCATAAATTTATGGCCCTGGACACGCCCTCAAATGGCGACGACAATGACAAAGGCAACATGACAGGCACATGTCCATTATGGCCAGACCCTGCCGTCGCCACTCATTTAAATGTGCTGGTAGATGGTTGATGGTAAATGGTAGACACCAAAAGAGCACTCGCTAGCTGCTCAAGACTTCTTGGCCATGTCTTTAATCGTTTGACCAGCATTAAATTGAGAAAGCACTTCCATTTCCATTTCCTGCCTTTGGCTGGGCATTTGAGTAAAAATTAATTACTCAATAAATATGGACGCTTTTGTGCTGTGTGAAAAATTAATTTTTAATTGCAATCGCTGCGAGTGAATTAATTTGTATTGGCGAATTCTTCGCAATCACTAACTGGCATTCCAGTGAATTTCATCCTTTGTTGTCAGTCCCGGCGATACATTGGTTTTGATATCGCGCTGCGCCACATGGACGCCGAATGCATGGCAGCCTTAATATCCTGTCTGTCAGCTATTCAAACCACCCACCCACCTACCCAGCCACCCACTTTAAACCACCTTCCGTATGTGTGGCCTCGCCCCAACTTCTGTCAGGCTGTCAAAGTGCTAAAAATAACATGTCGAAAACGAGCTGTTTTGGGGTGAAGCGAAAAAACAAGGTGGAAAACCCAGCCGAAATCGGAAACCGAAAATCGAACGAAACGCAGCCAGGCGAACTGCAATGAAAGCGTTCTGCTGCATTATAAATACCGCAATTGCATTGAGTGCAATGATTTTTAACTCGTTCTGACGTTCTGACATCATAAAATCACGCTTCACTTCAGTCTCGTGAAATTCGGTGGGAAGAGCGAAAATGGTTTTGCGATGTTGCGATTGACGAGCCAGCACCAAAAAGTTAATGGAATTGACTGACAGCCAGTAAATTACAGAATTTTAAAGGTTTCAGGTGTCAAAAGGTTTTAAAATTCATTTATTTGTTATAGCTTATTAAATTTGTTTGTAATTATTAAAACAACTTACTTACATCACTAATTATTTGCTTTGGCCTGAACTTAATATGACCATTCAAAGCAATATAAGAATTATTTTATATTAATAGATAGTTTCAAAACAATACTTCAACTGACTATGAGCTCTTTTGGTATCAAATTATTGCAGGTAGCTTCTTAAATTATTGTTATTATTGGAAAGTTTACCAAGTTAAACAACTAATTTAAGAAAGAGCCGCTTCGCATTATCCGTAATAATTTGCTGTAGCTTCAACTTAATAAGGTCATTCAAAAGCAATTAATCTATGATTTATAACAAACGGATAAAGCTCATAAATTATTAGAATTATTTTATATTAATTGATGGTTCCAAAACATGAGCTCTTTTGGTATCAAAAAATTGCAAGCTGCCAAAGCTTAATAATGCAAGAACACAATGCACATAAGCCAGATATTTATTGAAGATATTTTAGTTATATTTTAGAGGTCTAGTTAAGCCATAAAAATATATAAATATTAATGAAATTCTATACCGTTATAACCAGATAAAAACCCACTTATAATGGTCATTAAACTTATAAAATAAAATTCTATGCCATCATTGTTCAATGAAAGGTAATAAAAAACCACTTAAAATGTTGTAAGAAATTTTAAATCAATATTTCTAGTTAAAGGGGTAATAAAAATGCAGCTTTTTCAAAAAAAAAAAAGGGGAACAATACGAATGTACGATTTTTCCGTTCAGAACGACCTGTTAATTGTCCCCTACTTAGAACGAGATTCTATTTTTGCGGTTAAAAAAAGCGTATAAAATGCATTGCAAAGCTCATCCAATTATGCAACGTCCGTGACAGATAGCAAACCAAATGGGCTCACAACTGAACTACTAACTATGTACGTACGATAATAACAAGGATAGCAAGGACAACTAGGCTTACTAAACTGTGACCCCTTGTCACACGTGGTTTTAATTATTGTTACAGGCTGTGGGTGTGTGTGTGTGAGTATCTGTGAGCATTTGAGCTTGTGTGCGTTTGTCCGGGGCATAATTACATTTTGTGGCATTCGGCAAAGTGTTGATTATTAATTAAAATGGCTTTATTCAACGCCTGCAACAGACACAATTGCGTTGCCCGTCATAGTTTCAGTTAAATATTTAAGCATTCCTTTGCCTAAATACTGTCCCTGTAATCATGGCTCCATTATGGCATAACGAGTGTTTTGAATTGTGCACTGAAAGAAGTGGGATTGGGGATATACATAGTAAGAAAGACATAGTAAGAAAGAAGAATTTATTATGCTATAACAATTTATGAAGTCTATAGCAATATTTAAAGTAAGACTAGAATGTTTAAAACCATTCCTTTATTTTTTGAGAACCTTTTCAAACAACTTTTTAGATCGAGGAATTAAATTCAATTAAATTTATATTTGAAAATCGCAAATCTGGAACTTTACTAATAAAGTGTATACCATTGGGGTGAAATATCTTTAAGAGCTTCCATCCTTTTTCTCAGTGCATGTAATATGTGTGCATGTGGCAAGAACTGAAATCAAAATGGTTGGCAAATAGTTGCCGACAAAGTTGAAACGGAATGCAACGAGTTGCGAGTGTTAATGGCCTGTAATTAAACTGCAACGTGAGACGTTTAAGTGGAAATTGCATTTTGGCTAATGCACTTTCTCACCCCCGTTTTCCACCTCTTTTTTGGTATTTTGCAGAAGGATCTGTTCGTGAGCAAAGTTGAGCCGACCTCGCCGCGAAACGAACGCAAATTCTCCGCTGCCACAGCGCCATCGATGAAAACAAAGTGGCTGAAAGCATTTAAGAGCCTAAAGCCTGCTGGTTCTGGTTCAGCACAACAAGCGGATAGGTGAGTACTGACTGCACCAGCTTTTCCTTTTTTCCCCATCCATCCACCCACCCATCCAGCCATCCACCCACCTACCATTTTCCCGCTGTTACACAACATTATCGGGCATAGAGCAAGGCCCATTAAGTCGAATACAAGCCGCAGCAGAGTATCTAGTAACTACGAGGAGGCGGGCGGAAAAGAAACCCCAGCCAGATACAAAATGAAATAGTGCGGAGAATACCCAGTATACCCAGTATACCCAGTATACCCAGTATGCCAGTGGAGGGAGGAGAAAATCGGTAACGGGCCCGCCCGCACATTAATATGACTAAAAGCTTGTGAAAAACGCGAAAAATTATTCAGCCATCCAAGGGTAGAGCAGCCGACCAACATCCCCATCCCCATTACCATTTACCATTCCCATTCCCATCTCCATTTGCAATAAAATACTGTGAAGGAATTCCTAATATTTGCACAATCCGGATTATGCAATGCAATGCAGCAATTGCACTTGCAATTTACAAGATAATTCCATGCAAATTCAGGTGCATAAGCCGGGCGCACTCCACTCTAGTTTAAGCTAAGCTAAGTTCTACTTGCCATAATAATGATCTCTCCACTTCTTCTCTATATAAATTTACGTATATACCATCTCCATTCGAACACTAAATGCATTCAATATGCTTTGCCTAACCAAAAAACAAAAAATATAAAAAAAATGTCTCGATATATTATCGCGATCTATCAGCCAACCACCCCGACAAAATCAAATGTACCACGCTGTATCAACCGTATTGACTTTGAGGTAACCGAAATTCACCAAGAACCACAACTAAATAATAAAAAAAAAAGAACATCACCCAGCATTTAACTATAGTCCCATTGAAACAATACCCACTGTAATCAATGCGAAAGGTTGCTGTAATGTTGCACGCAAATGTAGAATTAGCTGAGAAAATAAACCCCGCTTACATCCCGGCTAATTGGTTTCAAATATCGAAACGACACACTGTTTTATTTGTTTATTTGCCTATGTTTGTAAATCGATTTCGATTTCAATTTCAACACACATTTTGCGAGAACATATTTAATTTGTCTTCGGGCGCCGTAAATGCCACCTGCGTCCAGTAAGTGTCATCAATCACGTGTGGGGCGGCAATTAAAATCCATAGATAGTCGAACTGGCACAAAGACAATGGTCTGGATTCTGGTACTGTATTCTGGATCTGGTCCAAGTCCAGCAACAAAGTTTTCCCTGTTCGATAACTACGGATAAATGTGTCGCTATATGTGTTTTGTCCGTTTTTGTCCGTTTTTTTGTCCGCTTTGTCCGTCTGGCTGTTCCATATGTTCCGGACAAGTTTCCGGCTGCACCCAGTAAATTCCACTCGGCGCCATTCGAGCATTGAAAAATATGCGAAAAATTGCAAAACTATAAATTCAGCAGCCTTCTTTTTCCACCCACGTGCACAGAGTGCAACCTAGAAAGTGCCAACTGCAAATGCAACTGCAAGCGTTGCAACATCCAGTGGCAACAATACTTAATTCCGTGCCGCCAGCTTGCCCTGCCAATGATGATAAATCGGAAAATCTTCTCGGCTTAGTGAATGGCCAGAAGTGGGAATGGTGCTTAAGTGGGATCTATCTCTTCAAACTTTATTTCGAAATATTCGCCACACTTTTTGGTGTGTATAAATACACAGGGCATGAATTCCACTCGCTCGTATATATATGTATATTTGCAAACGTGACAAGAAAATCGCAGCCAAAAGTTCGGCTGTGTTATATTGCAAAAGTTTCGTCTGAAATTACGGAATGACCGAAACTAAACCATAACCAACCGCCTCCCCCGCAAAAAAAAAAAAAAACGAAAATGAAAATGAAAATGAAAAGGGAGCCAGTTACTCATTACTGCTTTTTATGGGCTATTTTATGTTTTTATTTCTATTTTCCTGCATTTATAGTATTTTGCCCGGCCAGGGAAAGTTTTAAGTTGCACACAAACCAAACTAATGAATATGTTATGGAAATTATTATAATTAAACCATTACTCATGCTGCCCAAATAGCCAAAGAATATCCGTTTTGTTTTTAGCATTTTGCCATAGCTCTGCACCCGAAATAAGAACCAAACACACACACCCATACACATCTCCTCAAAAGCCCAGTATAATTAATTAAAATTAACTCCATAAACCCCGAAACTAGATAATTCCCTTAAGTATACCAATTAATCGTAATTACCCCAGTATAAACCAGTACTATATACTGAACATATCAATTGTACATACCTGTAAATTGTACATGGCCTAGATAATCAACACCTCGGGCATTATTTGTTAGCTAAGTCTATCAGTTAGTTTGATCAATATTTAGTTTAAGAATTACGAATATATATTCAATGTCATCGTGTCAGTGTTCATTTGTAGCTGCCAATCACGATGTTGCACTTTCCCCCACCTCCCCACTGCCAATGAAAATGGCCCAGAAATGTGAATGTTTTTGTATACTTTACGCATTTGCAAGAAACAACTTTATAAATATTGTGCCAATGTGCTCAGCTGAATTTATTTGCCAGTCGGTCTGTGAGTCTGTGAGTCTGTGTGTTCATCTGTGTGCATAAGCACCTTACAAACAATCAACGTCGAGTCCTAGGCCTCTGAGCCTGGTTCTGCCTCAACAATTGCCCCATTGTGAGTCCTTCTCCCCATATTCCCCACTTTCCCCAGTTTTCCCACATTTGCCAGCCCCGAAAGTCCTTCGCATTTTTTGCTGGTAAATAAAACAAAAGTGCCAGAGGGGTAGGAAGCGAGAGGGAAGCCCTTGCAAATTGGTTGTATCTCTCTTGCTTTTGTATAAATATGAACGAACACGAAATTGCCGAAACGAATTCGATGTGCACACAATATAAATAACACAATAATTTGCATAAGCACTGTGGATTGAGAGATCTGGTCAAAGCACGAGATCACGAGATTGTAAAATACTCGGGGCAGTGATTAATCGACCAAATTCCTGTAAATCCAATTAGGTTGAGTACTGCAACCGCACAATGTGTGTGTGACTGTGACTGTGTTTATTTTAAATACAATTCTCTTTAATGTATTTCTCGTTCAAACATATAGACACACGCACCATCGTTCTGATTAATGTGCATTGTCCGCTGTCCGCTGTCCAGTGTCCATTGTCCATTGTCCACACACCATTGTTCATTCGCCATTGTTTGCCGTTGTCACTGTGCGCACACAGCGTATAGATATACAAAAACATAAAAACATAAAACATAAAATAGCATATGAGCAGCCTTCAAATGCAATGGCTGTTCATACGATTTATGAACATATGTTTAGCCATTTCGGCCAACTCTGGTTGTGCGGTGGGGTTTTCTGGGGAAGAGTGCAACACTTGCGACTCCACCATCGGGTGCACCCCCTAACTAACCCACCCTTTTGGCATCGTCTCCCTCACAGGCGCAATGGAGCCTCCAGCACCGCCTCCGAGCCGCTGCGTCCCAACCTGGATGGCAGCCACCACCTGCAGGAGTACACCTACAAGAAGATAACGGCCTGCGACGTCTGCTCCCAGATACTGAGAGGTAAATGTGCCCAAAGTCCCTTAATCCGCTCTATAATAGGATTGGCTACATTTGCCAAGCATTTATGTCAGGGAATAGAGAGAGGAGAAAGCTTTTTAGACTGTTTAGGTATGAGATAAAAAGTAAATTTTGGTATAAAATTAAACCCCTTAAAAATGGTTGTAAATTATCTTAATATAAAGCAACCCAAAGTACTTAAATTATTAATATAACAAAAAAATGTTTTATTTAGTACTCAAAGTACTTGAAATATTAAAAAAATTGTGTGCGAATAGAAAATTCTTGAATATCAAAATAGTAATCGTACCCAAAATAACCATTTTAATGGTAACTTCTACTTTTAATATTTTTTTGGCTCAGATTGAAAATAAATTGTCTAAATTTCGCCAATAAACTAAAAATATCACAATTTAATCGGTTGAAATCGCGAACAGGCAAACAAATGATTTTAATTGGCACTTTGGGTATTGCAAAGTCGGCGCACTCGCCTGCAGCACTTCTTCCACTCCTTGTGGAAAAACATTGCTAACATTGCTCCTCTTCCGCTTTTGCAGGCCACACACGCCAGGGACTGCGGTGCCGCATCTGCAAGCTGAACGCCCATGGGGACTGCGCCCCCAATCTGCCACGCTGCCAGGCGAAGCAGAAGTTGCTGCGGCGCCAGAAGAGCACCTCGGAGCTGGAGAATCGCGTTGATATCGAGGAAGAAAGTGAGTATCTGGCACGCACCAGCATCACAGCCATGGCCCCAGAAAAACAGAAAACAGAAAACAGCTAACAGAAAACAGCAAACAGAATTCAGAAAACAGAAAACAGAAAACTGAAACAGAAGCAGGCTAAACACACTACTCAACATACTAACCGCTTGAGGCCGGCTAAAGAGTTGCATGGGTTAACGAAATTGCCCAACAATTTGTTCGACTGTGTTTGCATCGGGGCATCAGAATCAGAATCAGCATCAACATTAGCATTAGCATGTCCTGCTGCAGTACCAGGAATCCTTATCCTTGCAAATACCACTGATGTAGGATACCCAACACTCAACTCACCTTACGTTTGGGAACACAGACCGCATCAGCAACATTTTGCTTGCCGCTTGGCAAACATTTATTGATTCGAGCTGGCCAAAGAGAATGCCGAGTCGAATGGGTGTGGCTGGTATGAGTATCAGTTGATTTCACAATGGATTTATGGCACTCGTGGGGCATTCAGATTGTGGCACTTTGTGATTTGTGTCGCAATTCTCCAGACCTCAGCGAGCAAGAACTTTTGCAATTTCCCTGGCTCCTCCTACACACACCCAACCAAATACATTGTAAAATATATCCTTAGAGTTCTAGATGATGATTTCAATTTCCTGCCCATTGAACCGTAAGCAATTGTCAGGAGGGGAATAGAATCTGTTGCATACCTTGCGGGTGCTACTCTGCCATTTATTGTAGTTTATTCATCAACCACACAAATTCCAAATTGACGACTCTCGACATTTATTTGATTAAATCAATATGAAATCCTCTTCCCTTCCCCCTAAACAAAAAAAAAAAACAAAAATAAAAATAAAACAAATACCAAACAAAACACAATTAGCCTCGCCACAGGAGTCGCTTGTTGCAGCTGCAGCCGATCAGGCGGCGGATGAACTGAATCCTAATCTGAATGCGAATATGAATCCGAATCCGAGTCCAAATGCGAGCGCAAGTCAGTTGAATGTGCCAAATGCGAAGTTCCGTCAAAAGACGCCCTTCATGCATCGCATTGCGCAACTAGGTATCGGTATCCCAATGAACTGTATTACTCGATTACTAGTATGTGCCATAAACGTACATCCAAAACATCTAATTTTACAAATATAAATACTCGTATAGTATGCGCCAGATACTCGATTGAAATGCGCTTGACCTTATGATTTTGTTTCGTACTTTGTGTTTGACTGTTGCGCTTTTGACCCACTTAATTAGCGAGATATTCAGCGAATGACAACCAGCTCAAAAAGTATATACACACACCCCAACACACACAATCAAAAGAACACACCACACATGTTAAGACCACAAGAGGATATGTCGAAATGACCCTGGAAAAAATGAGAGCTGGGGGACCACTCAACGAATTCAGTTCAAGTAGTGGAGCATGTTGTAGCCGCAACACTCAGTACTCAGTAATCAGCATTCAGTATTCAGTAATTATCGAAAAGCTCACTAGAACTTGCCTCACGTCTCATACACCGCATAAGTGTTTTTGGCTACTGTTTTTGGATCGGTTTTTCGGGTACCACATCGTAGACATCTGGATCAGAGGTCACCATCGGGTCACCACCTAGAGTAAAGTAACATCGAGCTTAGCTGTTCGTTATTATATGTACCCACCTAAACCCCCCACACACACTCAATTATAAATTCAAATTCATGACGACAAGTGTCCCCAATCCGCCCCCCCCCATCATCAATCTCATACCCAATTATCGAATCGCCCCGAAACCACTTGCAATTTGTACTAATGCACTTCAACAACGCATCAACAACATCATCATCCCAATCCGACAATTGAAAATCGAATCGAATCGAACCAATCTGAAATCAAATCAAAAATAATATGGTCCTTCATCAACCGTACCGTCAACTCTCCTACTTCGGCACCAAAAAAAATATGCAAAAAAAAAAAAAATGAAATATAAAGAAATAACCGAAATCGATCAAATTTACCGCGTGCTGAAACAAGCCGGCGAACTCAAATCCGGGCATCTTGCAGCAGGCGTCGACAAATCCGTCCAGGGCAAACAGTTGGATGGCGGCGTCGCTGGAGGATCTGGATCGGCACTTCCGGTTCCGGTTCTCACCGAGCGGGATATGGGCAGGGCCCCGCCCCCGGACATACCCATTGTCAGTGTCTCGGAACTGGCCCTGCAGGAGCAGCAGCTCCAGCAACTCCAGCAGCAGCAACACCAGCAACAGCAACAACAGCAGCAACAACAGCAACAACAGCAGCAACAGCAACAACTACAGCTGCAGCAGCAACAACAGCGCAGTCTGGCATCGGTGGCGCAGGCGGCGGCAGTACGGGCGGGACGTGGGGTCCGGCCGCCGCCCGTGGCCATGCCCATTCTGGGCGTACAGCTGCAACAACAGGAGCTGCAGCAGCAGCGCGGCGGACTGCCAGTGCCCACGCAAGACATTTCGAGTAGCTCAGGTCCGACAAGTCGCCAAAATGCTGCCCAAGTAGTTTGTCTTATTATCTTTCTCTCTCTCTCTCTCTGTCTCTGAAAATCTATAAATCTCTGCATTTTTTCGCTCATTTAACATTTTTGCAATTTGATTTGAGTGAATCCTTGGTTGTAGTTTCGGTTTTGAGTTCGACTTCCCACCAACCAACAACCACCACCTCCCAAAACTTGTATGTCTCGAGTCCCGGATCCCGTCTCAGTGCCTCAGCTTAACCATTAAAAACCAAACCAAAGTAACGTTCAACAAAACCAGTCACCAGCTCATTTTAGTTAAAACACGGGCTACCTTTCTTCTCTCACCTTTTCTGCACTCGACTTGTAGAGCTGACCGTAGTTGTTCATCTCTATCTACATAGCTGCATTAGTCACACACAATTGCATTCCCTTTGCGAACATATTTAGATTTGGCATAAAAACAATTTCAATTTCACAATGCGCTAACCAAATAATTGCTCATACGCCCCATTGCTTCGCTTTTGGAGTTGATAGATTTTTTTGGCCAGTTTCAGCACACACATACACACACACACACACACAAACACACACTACTATAACAAATAACTAATAACTCACATATAAATATGCATTTTGTGTATAAATAATTTAATCTAGAGTTGAATTTGAAGCAGTTACCGAAATATAGTACTTTGTAGCTTAGCCAATATCAATTATAGCTTACGCAAACACATGTAGCATCTACGTATCATATTTAGTTGAACGTAATTAATTTGTGTATGCCAAATAGCTTGTTTTCCTTAACCATCCTGATTTCCCAAGCATTCTCTATTCAAATACCGAATCGAGCCCAGCCAGCACACAAACAACTGAAAGTAAAGGGAAGTGAATTGCAGTGAAGTGAATTGGGTGAATGGAGGGGCGTGAGTGTTTGTCTACGCGAATGAGCTTCAATTAAAATACATGTCCTGTCGTTTCGTCTCGTCTTTTCCCTAGAGCAATCACATGGCAACATGGCAATGCCTTTTTGTCGCCTACTTGGGGCCACAATTCAGACCGCTCTCCTTTGGCCGCAAAGTGCCCCAAATCTTGGCAAGTGCGCACATAATTAGTGCCACAACTCTTGCTGACTGCATACTGTTTGCAACTGGCAACTGGCAACTTGCAACCTGCAACCTAGGCAACTACAACTGCAACATTCCCTGCGGTCTGCAGTTGCATTATTCCAATTAGGAGAGTGTAAATGCAGCACCGAACTGATTGATTGCAGATTGCCTTTTGCGGCTGCAGTTGTTGCCTCTGCATCTTGGCCTGACCCCAATTACCGTAGTTGTAAGTACAGTTCCATCCGAAGGGCGAAGGGCGAATGGTGAATGGCGAACACAGAACTCACATCTTAGATAAATAAAACTATACCTTAAATGAAAAACACATATATATCTATATATTCTTTCGTGTCCATATCTTTTTTGCCAATTTTCGTTTCGCTTGCCAAACTCAAAATTACCAACCAATAACCCAACCAACCAACCAACCAACCAACCAACCAATTAACCACATCAAACAAACACACCAAGAACCGCGATACGGCCAGTTCTTTGCCCCCGTATCGAATATGTCCAGCTCGGCGTACATCAGCAATGGCATTGGCATCAACTACTATACGGGGAATGCCCAGCAGCTGGGTGCCTACATGCAGCAGCAGCAGCAGCAGCAACAGGTGCCTGCCACATCCTCGATTTCGGCCGGAGTTTCGCCAGCCCACCAGCAACCGCAGCAGCAGCAACAACAATCTGGAAGCAGCACCAGTGCCAGCAGCAGCATCAACGATCCAGGACTGAGGAGGCGACTTTTTGCCGGAATCCGGCCATTATCCGTTTTTGGACGCCTCCGACAGCAGCGATCCTCGCAACATCGATCGATCTCGTTGCCAGAAAGTAATTACGAGACCAAACACATCTTCCGAGGGGACAGCAACAACAAGCACAATTGTACTAAGAACAATAACAATACCAATAACAAGAACAAGAACAAGAACCCAAACATGCCGATGCAGAAATCGTTCCATCTCCCAGCCAGCACTACTTGCAGCACCACACCATCATCACATATCGGGGATTTGCGGGACAACTACTATAATAGCATAGACCCCACCATCGTAGACATGAGTTCTCGTTGGAACAGTACTGCATTTGATTCCCACTCGACATCGATGTTTAGATTGTGTTTCCGTGTTCTGTGTATATCTCTCTTTTTCAATTGAATTTATTTGGGGCCACCGCAGTTGCATCTGTCGTATGTCGTGTGTCTCTGTGCGTGTTTGTTTGTTTGTTTGTTTGCCTGTTTGTTTGCCTGTTTGTTTGCCCCAATGCCAAAAGATATGTAGAGTGGCAGGACGCATTTTAATTATTTCAATTTCGGCGAACCTCGCTCAGCTCAACGCAGCTCAACTCAGGCCAGCACAAACCAGCGCCATTAAACAATGGTCGGATTAAATGCCAATTAGTCTTAACCCAGTTTACACTTCAGGCAAATGGCTCATTTCCGTTGCAGCAGCAGCGAAAGCAACTGCAATGCCATCATTTGTATACATGGCCGAGTTCCTTTTGCCGCTGAAAGGAGCTTCATCATGCTTCAGCTCGGCTGGAGTCGAAAGGAAACTTGCTTCACGGAGTGCATTTCATCCTACTACACTTTAGAAAGGAACTATTTGGGCTAACAAAACTGGATTCGAAAAAGTTTTGCTCTTTAAGTGTATCTCTTAAATTAAAATTGATACATAATTGCAATTAAATGTTTTTTTTGAATGAAAATGCAATGTTACAAAAGTTACAAATCTTTTTTAATGCAAATATAAATCAATTTTATTTGGATCCTATAAAATCTGATATATATTTCTAAAATGGAAACTAAATGTTACAAAAGTTATAAATCTGCTTAGATTCAAATAAAATCAATTTCAATTAGATCCTCTAAAATTTACATTAAAAATATCTTATTTTCCATCCTTTTTAATCTTTAAAATATCTCTCGGTGTAAGCAAAGTACAATAAACTTTACCGCAGAAAGAATGAAAAGCTGGATAAGGATCATAATGTAAAACTTTTACCCTAAAAGTTCAAAATTAATTAATGTATATTGCCTACAGTTAAAGCTGACTTGTTCTTGGTTAATTTTGGTTCCATAACTACATAAATAATTAAATTTAAATTTAAAATCCGTTTCAACGCTTTATGCAAAGAACAAAACATTTAAACTTGTTTCCCGCATTTGTTTTCTATGTAGCTCCCTATTTTCTGTACTTCTCATCCTGCCACTGTTTATGCCACAGCTTCGGGACTTCTGTTGCTGTTGGCACTGCCGTGTAAATTACAAGCCATTGTCAACTGTTGTGCAAAAATTCAGCCGCACAACTCGCAAGTGGGGTTTTTTGGGTGCTTGGCGTTTTCCGCCGGATGCTGCATACAAATGTTGCAGACGGGCCAAAAAACTTTTTCGCCAAGGCGCGAGTTCATTTGCGCTTAATGTTTGCTGCATTTTTAATGCCACTCGCATTTTAAAGTCGCGCTGCCAACTTTTTGTCTTAGGCGAGGAGCAAAACTTCTTGTCAATGAGTGGATGGGATGGGATGGGATGGGATGGGATGGCTGGGGGCCGAGAGGTCGGTCCCAGGCCGAACATAATTATGCTAAAAATTGTTATGACACACAATCTTTTTACGCTTCTTATTTTTTTTTTTTGTTCCCTTTTTGGGTCCGCCTTTCGTTTGGTCTTCCTTTTTCCCAACCAACCAACCAAACACCAACCGAGTTACCAAGCAACCATCCCACCATCCCAGCAAGCAACCCATTCCTGCATGCCGCCCGCCATCACGTAGTTGCCGGTCTCGACTTCCTTGTGCCAGAAGTTCTGGCGGGGCTCGGCACTTATTTTCCCAGGATTATGTTTCTGCTCTATTACTTGGGCCAGAGATGCTGGTCCTCCTCCTCCTCGAATCTCCTGCTCTGGGTCTGCGTCCTCCTCCGGCTTGTTTTGGTTTGCTTTATGCATGAACGCTGTCTTAATGTTTAATATTTTCTTTCGGGCTTCTTGTCTTCATTTAACTTAATTAGTTTTAATTCACATTTCTCGGCGAGTCAGTCATCCAGCTGCTGCTGCAAACTCGACTTTGTCAGGGCAGAAAATCGATCGAAAAGCTACTAACCCGACCATGAAATCAGAGAAAAGCTGGGCTCGAACTATAAGCGAAATATATATATATATATACTCGATACAGCATCAGCGCATCCGAAGTCTGAAACAACACGACCCTTTGGCGAACCCCTGATGCTCCTCAAGAACCCGGAATCCAATCCGGATGAGTCCAAGGGCAATCGGCGAGTACGATGAATTAAGGATAAACAATGAAGAAGTCGAATACCAAGACGAAGAGAGTGGAGGAACACTAAACACTTTAATTTAATACAGTTCTAATGCGATTTATTGTTTAAGTTCTTGATTTTATTATACCCTAGGCACCTAGCCCAATTGATGTTCTAAATGCAGCACAGTAATTATTATAAAATACTCCTCATAGTTAAATTTACCCAATACATACATACTTTATATATATTTATCGTATATCTTAGTTAATTTCGATTCTGCGAATGCGCGTGAGCCAGAGAGCAATGTTAAATGTATATTACGATTAAAGTATTAAGTCATTTCTGATTACACCGCAATTATATTCTAAATGTTGTATGATTGTTGTAAATATCGCACAAAATACCCACACACATCACCAACAAACGAATGACTATAATAACACGAATAAAAAGCAAAACGATATCTGGCCTTCCTTCACTCTTAGGATATATATATATATAGACACACACACGAGATCACATTCATCTGGCACAGGGCGATGGAAACGAAACGAGTTTTCTATGATTTTCTATATATTCTGTATAGTCAAAATCCTGATTGGCCAAAACAGAAACACCCACACCGCCATTAGTTTTCTTACGTTGGCTTTTGTTTTTTGCGGCAACTGAAACGGGATGACTAGAAAAAGTACACTGGACATGCCAAAACACACTCGCTGTCTCTTCCTGAACGTGTCGAATGTTGCTCTGTTACAAACTTAAATATAAAAAAAAAAATACAAATATTTAATTGCATTGATCAAGCTACAATCTTTCTATCGATGTCCTTGCCAAAGGCCACTAAGTGTTCAACGTCTTTTCAGTTTGTTATTGATATTATTTTGGGTTTTTGTTTAGATCTGTAGACGTCTAGATTCCAAAATTTGGACTTACCAAATGCTTAACAAAACGAAATTAAAATCAACAAATTTTTATTCCACATTTTACTGCCATTTTTTTGCCAACTGTGTACTGTCCGACACATAACAAAAAAAATTGCCATACAATCCAACACAATAATTGAAAAACAAAAAATAAAAAAAAAAACCCCAACAACAACAGCACCGCACTCACCGCGTCGCCAAAAGTTGAACTTACGCATGAAATCCCTGAGCCTGGACTCGCCCGAGTCGTCGGAGCTGCACGGCCAGTTCAGACGACGGGTCCAACTGCCCGGAACGGGTGCCTCCACATCGGCCGGCTCCGGGTACTATCACGGTGGGTCCGGAGGCCACCTGGAGCACAGCACTCCGCCGTCGAACAACAGCCGCCTGCACTGTAAGTAGCAACCCAGTAAACGTTTCCGTTTCCGGTTCCGCTCCCGGTTTCCCCAAACGAACCGTTACCGCTAACGAACCCGATTCCGATTCCGATACCGATTCCGGACACCGACGTACGCTGCACCACTAACCAGTCCAACCACCAATATCACCACCCACCCACAGCGAATCTCGGTTCCCTTAAAAATCTAATTTTCAATCTAGTACGTATGAACAACACCCACACGCTAACTAAACTTTTCTTAACTGCTTACTACTATAATTACTATTACTATTACTATGTAAATGCGTTGAAGAAGTAAAGGTCGAGTAAAGTAAACTTTTGTTGAGTAGTTCGATTTCGTTCACCTTTTGTCTAGTAGTTAATAGCAGCTTTAAAATACATGCCAACTGTAGTCTATTTAACTTCATCTGCTGACCACACATCTTCAACCTCAAGATGGGGGCACCACCTCCAACCCCCCATTGATAAACCCTTTCTAGCCTTTTAGTATATGTGCGTATAATTTATCTGTACAATATCTATATCTTCTTTTTCCATGGATATTCTTCTGATTTTTTCGTTCATCCACTTGCATTCGATTAACCAAACCAAACCAAACCGTAACCGTAACCGTAACCATTGAGCCTGTCCTGGAGCAGGGACTAACGCATCCAAAACCATTACAGCACCATCGAGCCCCTCGCATCCGGGCCGCAAACTACTCTATGCCACACGTGGAATGCGTGGCGGCAGCGTCGATCTGCCGGACGAAATGGAGAAGTCACAATCCTCGGCCAGCACCTCGCCGTGCCTCTCACCCGTAAGACATCCCCAGGTAGTCCCCAGTCCACTTATCCTAACTCCATCGTTCATTTGCCTGCTCCGTTCAATCGATTGCACTTACACAACCTGTACTAATCCAAAACCCAAACACATTTAACGCTTTTAAGAAAACCCATCGCCTGTTGCCCACGAATCTGTACGTCATCATCTACAACTTCAAGGCGCGACATGCCGATGAGCTGGACCTGAAGGCCGGTTACAAGGTGAGCTAGTCCTACTGTCCCTATCTACTCCATAAATACCCTTCGCATATGGATGGGTTTATGAATAATGTACAAATGCGCTTTGTTTAATCCGCTAAGCGGCGTACTTAGTTTGCACAATGGCTGCCAGGGAAATTGGTTAACTAAATCAGAAACATATACTCATATGTACATTCCACGCTCTTTATTCAATATTAAAACGAACAATGGCAAAAAATACTTGTTTATTTATCATACAAGCGAGCACATGGAGGAAGCTCTTTTTCCACTGCGTAAACAAGGCGAAACAAACAGTGAAAAATAAGAAATAATAATAGTAACCGACTTTTTGTGTACATTCTCTGATTGCGAGTGCCTGCCCGCCGCCGGCAAAGTGTTCAATATTTACAGATTAGCTTTTGTTTGGACTGCGTCCTCGTTCGCGAGCTGGTTGTTTTTGCCAGCGGTGCAGGATGGAGACGAACTTTTTGTTTATGGCAGGATTCTGGGAGTTTACTATACGGATCAATAAGTGCTTTTTTCTGAAGAACTTATTCTTAATAACCGAACTTGGAGGCAGAGCAGTGCACAAAAAATACGAAATTATGTCTTTATAGCTTGGGTGATTTCATAGGTAAACTTTTTTGAGTACTTATTTTTTATAAGCACTCTACAGCAAGAGGTATTAAAATAAAATCATACATGTATATATAATAATAAAAAAATAGTATTTTAATAGCTAGGATGATGTCATATAGAATTATATAGTATTTGACAAACTTTTTTATACTCTTATAAAAGTTATCAAAGTAAGTAGAATGCAGTGAAACGTGAATCATATAAGTATATAGTTTGGAGTGTGCCACTTGTATGTTTGAACTAAAACTAGTATGTATTACAGCGGTGGTAAAAGGCTTTAATTCTGTGAAAGGAATGAAAAGCAATAAAGTAGGTAATTCTTATTGCCACGAGTTTGTAAATTAATTAAGGTATCCTTGTGATTATTCTTGTGCAAACTAGTTTAAGTTTTGAATTTTATACAGATTGTAAGTTAAATAATGGAACTGCTTACCTCAGAAAATAACAAGCTTAAGAATTCGCGTTTACTCATAACTATTTATGATATTTACATGCAAATCAGGTGACTGTTATTGACAATTCCGATCCGGACTGGTGGAAGGGAAAAGTTCTGGGACGCGTGGGCTACTTCCCCTCCAAGTACTGTGTGCGTCTGAATGCCAACGAGAAGCCACTGCAGGTGACCCACAATCTGCAGGTGTCCGACAGCGAACGCGGCGAGAATCTCACCCTGCTGAGGGACCAGATTGTCATCCAGGTAAGCAGACAGCAAGGTTGCTTCTTCCTTAATCACATGGCTCTGTCATCCATTCATTCGGAACAAAAAGACCGGCGACGAGGTCAACGGCATGGTGATGATCCGTGCCGCCGAGCACGGGCAGGGCTACTGCCCGATCAAGTATCTGCAGGAGGTGTGACAGCCAGAAGAGGACGAGCCGCCTTCCGACGAGCGGGACAGACCGCACAAGTCGTCCATGCAGACGTCGTCGTCGCGGACGACGGACAAGACCAAGCGTAGGATTAGAATCGTAGTGTCCGAGAACAACAACAACAATCTAACTGCTAGTAGCGTTGCACCCCAATCCACATCCACAACCACATCCACATCCGCTTCTGCCTTCAGCACCAGCCAGCACCATCACCACCACCACCATCACAACCAGGTGCCGAGGGAGTCCAGCATCGAGACGAAGCGGCTGAACATCGACTACGGCGACGAGGGCAGTGGTGCCGACTGGGACAAGGACCGCGAGGTGCTCATCCTGTCCGGGCGGCGCAACAAGAACGACAAGAACTGGGAGAACTGGGAGCGCATCCGGGAGCAGAAGCTGGAGAAGATGAAGGGCATCTGCTTCGAGAGCTATCGCCAGTCGAAAAGGGATAAACTGCTGCAGGCCAAGCCGCGGCCCAAGCAACTGGATCCCACCTGGTACACGGACAACATCTACTCCAACCGCTCCGACGACATGGACGAGGACTATGTGCCGGATTGCCTCAAGTACGGACCCTTTCGCACGCTCCGCGACATCCACGAGCTGGATGAGAAGTCGGGCGGCATGGGAGGCATTGGCGGCACGGAGGAGCGTCGTGTGGATGGCGAGGGTTCGCCTGGGTATGGCCTCCATCGCTCCAAGAGCTGCAAGGAGTTCCAGTACCCCAAGTCGCAGAGCTGGTGCTTCGAGGGCAATGTCTTCGAGGCGGGCGGTGGTGTGGCCAGTGGGAGTGGCAGCTCCGGCGGCCCAGCCGCACCCGCCATCACCACCAGCACCACCACCACCACCACCTCCATACTGAAGAACAGAGCGGGTGTGCCCAAGTCGTACTCATTCAGTGCCACCACCAAGACCATGCCCTTCGACATCATCGACTATGAGTTGCCGCCCGCCTCGAATACGCGACGTGAGAAGCGGGAGGCCCTGCGGCGCAACATGAATGCGCTGTGCAGCAGCAGCTTGGACCGCTGCTGTGCGCGGGATCAGTGCACCAGTGCGCGCTGCCTGCTGGAGGACATCTATCCGGGATCGGGATCGTCGAGGGTGAGGCCCCGGGCGGCGGACTGGCTCTTCGAGGAGCGGATGGGCAGACAGCGTACGCCCGCCGCTCCCACGGTCATCTGCTGCTGCTCGGCGGCCGAGGATTGCTGTTGCCACCGACAGAGGCAGGCGCCACAGCCACCGCTGCCGCCTGCTCGCCCCCGATCCAGGCCCATTTGTCCAGGTCATCATCCCGCCGCGGAGGAGGAGGAGCACATGCACTGCCGCTACGACACCGACCTGGAGCACTTCATACGCGCCGAGCGAGAGCGTCTGCTGCTGCAGGACAAGTTCCTGGACGAGGATGAGCGGTATCTGGCCGCTGCTCCGGCTCGAAGTCCGGGGAGGCGATATGCGGCGGGAAACTACCATCGACCGCCGCGCAGCAAGTCGCTGCTGGAGATGCAGCCACCCACCAGCCTGTTCGACGAGGACACCTGCTCGGACACCACCGAGATCGATCTGGAGGACTTCAACATCGACCTGGAGAAGTACTGGGAGCAGCTGGACAAGCCGCCCAGTCCCATCAACATGGACATGCGACGCAACATGCACAGCAGCCTCAAGGTGAAGAACGTCAATGTGCGCTGCTACAACAATGGCCAGCCCATCGATCTGCACGATCGCGAGCACGAGCGGCTGATGATCAAGAAATCGCTGCTGGAGGGGATGCCCTCGCCGCCGCAGCTGGACTCCAGTGAGTCGTCTTTTTTTGAGTCCGCTCCCGCCGTTACGACCGCCCCCGGCCCCGGCCACGGCCACGCCTACCATCACCGAACCGCCTACGGAGCACAGCAGGGCTATGGCCACAAGGTGTACCCCACGGTGGACACCCTGCCGTCGTACCAGTACAACAACTTCTACCCGGAGCACAGCCATCCCACGGTGGGCAGTGTGCTGACCCAGCAGCCAACGGCTGGCGTACACCATCCCTCGGCCGGCGGTCACTCGGCCCTCAGCCTCATTAACAACATCTTCTCGATCTACAAGCCCAACAAGTACTCGCCGGAGAACTGCCAGATGAACTATGAGAGCAAGCCGGAGCCGTGCAAGAAGATGAACGTGCCGAGCACGCACCGGCCACTGGGGGCAGCCAGTCATCCGTATCCAGCTCCGTCAGGCCACGACTACATGCACTCCTCGATGAAGCGACCCCTGCTGATCAGCGCCGATCAGCCGCACTTCAAGATTATACCCGAGAAGACGGGCCTGAAGATCTCGCCGCTGTTGAGCTACGAGGATTACGGCGGAGGAGGATGTGGAGGCGGTGTCGAGAAGCAACACCACAGACTGAGTAGCACGGCACGGCCTTTGATGCTCCCGCACTGATGGTGCTGGACCTTTCCGTGGTATGGCAATGGCAATGGCAATGGCAATGGCAACTATTGTTAGTTGGGCTATCTCCAACTATACCAAGCAAAAAACAAAAAGACTCGCGAGCAGCGAACAGCAACCCAAACGCACAAATCAACTGGGTCCAGGCAAAGGGAAAAGGGAATAAAGGAAGAAACCATCGGGGGATCATTGGGATCCTCTACTCCACTCCACCAATTCGCCGTCTTCGTCGTCGTCGTCGTCGTCCTTGTCGTCCATCCGCACAATTTGCTTTTGGTTTAGCCGGGCAGGTGTTCCATCGCAGCATCCTTGACACTCCAGTGTCCAACAAGACACTCCAGCAACCACTTGAACAACAGCAACAACAGCCATACCATTGGAAAACAGCACTACAGACAAAGAAGACAACAGCATCAACAGAATAGTCAACAGTCGTCACAAGTCAGATGGAAGTGAAAGTGCAAGTGTATTAGTAACGATTTGATCAGCGGATCGATTAGGATTAACTCACACAATCCTTATACACAAGACAAACACACACACACACACAAACATTTGTATACAATCAATGTGCTTTTAATTCGCTTAAAATCGCTAGTTAAATATCGCAGTTCGATAACCACTAAACAACAGATTCACTAATTTTCGAGCAACTTTTAAGCAATCAAGAGCGTATTCAATAGAACAATGTGTAGATCTAAGTCAAAAGTGTTTAGTCATTAAGCCGTTCATATCGCGTTTCATATTCCAGTATGGACATATTGTATACCCTAAACACTCTGTAGAAAGCTAAACGGATTTTATTAGTACCGAAGATTTCGGTGTCTATAGAATATCTATACCTAAACTCGTGAATGTCAGCGGCACTTATTTTGGCCTCATAATATATATATTGCGATAATTTTGAGATGCAAAACGAAAACTAAGGCGAACCGTTTTTATTGTCACCAAAAATTTTTTCTATTTTTTATACCAAACAACTTTGAATCAACTTAACGGGCGGAGCTATTGAAATTGCTACGATCGATAGGGCTAGAAGCTTTCCCCATAAGTTGCGGCTACTAGGAGCGATTATACGAATGCATGCTTAAGCTATTTATACGGATATGAATATGAAAATGAATAGGAGCGAAGTGTGCGTTGAGATCTCGATAGGAAAAGCGCTTTTTATAAACTAACTAGATTTGTATCGAAATGTGAAACATTGAATATGATAAACATTAATTGTACTTTTATGATGTATGCGTATCCACTGGCCTTATTTATTGAGAAGCAACCAAAACAATGAGCTGAACCCTCTCGCACACTCTCACACACACACGTACACACAAGCAAACAGAGACACACACACAAACATCCCAGAAAAACAACTTGAGAATTACAGTTGAGAAATTCACAAAGATTCAAGCTTAGGGCTTTGCGTCACTTTTGTTAATTGTTTTTTGGCGTCCAATTTTACATGATAACTAATGTAGGACTCTAGACAAAAAAAACCAATCGAAACTATCGAGCATAGATTAACTATCGAGTATTTTGTAGTGTGTAAGCTAACTAAAACCTAAACCAAAACAAGTGAAGGTAACTTTTTAGCGCGAGACTCCTTGTGCGAGAAGATTTTGAATTTGAATTTATTTTTAATGACTTTTGAATACAAGACGAAACAATGTGTGGGAGACATTTTATCAGAGATCGTTTTTTATCTATTTAACATTTTCTTGAACCACATACAACAACTATTTGCTAAGTGTACCCTATGGCCTATGAGTTAGTTGTAAGAGAGATAGTTTTTCCAAGCCCCCGTTTAGACCACAAAACAGATACTGGTACTGAAGACAGGCAAACAGGGGGCATACTGCACAAAACCCAATCTATGAAATATCCACACTCTGCACCCAATTAATTGTACGATATATCTATATCTATCGAGTAACGAGTATTTACGATCACGTCTAGCCACTAAGGATGAATTGTATTGTAAAATGAATGGAATCGACGAACACGAAAACGCCCAAATCTTATGAGTATGTAAGCAAAGCCGAAAACTTGAATTCAAACAGGATAACCGCTCCCCGCGGCCATCTAAACTGCTGAAATTGGCACTTAAGTATATAGGTATACACACACCGCATATGTGTATGTATGTACACTGTACAACGTAGTAGAATTTTCCGACTAAACACTAAAACGAACTTGCAAAACGTAGCGCGACATTTGTGCAAGTCCAAGGTCCCCGGTAGCCCATCCAACCAAATCGATGGGCTGCAGTTTAAAGGGCTGCGAAACTTTGCGAAACAGCTTCTTGTTTTTAGCGTAAATTTTGTTTCACATATGTACGTATGTACGATTAGGCGACCAGCATGACGATGCACCTGGCGCACCTGCAGGTAGCTAGCAGAAAATACATGTAAACAGTAACTAGAAAATGGAACAATATAATATCAGTGCAACGTAATATATCAGTTAAAATAACAGAGGCAATACACAGAACTCAACTCATTTAGCACCACCCCAGCCCGCAATTTGAATGTGAAAAACAACACTATCCCCTCATCCCAGAACCGCTTTTCCGACGCGACCCCATTAATTTACCTGAATTGCAAATAAAAAAGATGTTCAATTCGATGTGAAAAAAACAACAACAAACGGTGTTTGTATTTCAGTGTGGGTTAGTTTATATATTCACTGTCGCCTGAAAGTAGGCAGCAATCTGTACGCTTCACGGCGTACACTGGAGGAAAAAGCATGATCTGTAGTACAGAACGTAATTATTTGACTAAGAAGTAAGTATTGGAAAAGATGTTTGGGTATAAAACTATCTCAGCTTTAAACAACTATTTTATTTCGGTGTTTATTAATGATGGTTCTTGATGTAAGTTGAAGCTAGATTGATTTAAGATACCATTTTGATTTTTAGTTTTTTATAAAATTTTTCTTGATTTAAAAATATTATTTTATACTGTATATTAAACAGCTCCCAATATTGCAACAATTAAATCCCTGACTACAAGTGGCTACTTAAACACTTTGCTTTTTATTCAGTTTTAAATTTATATCACATTAAATTTTAAATTAACAGAATTACAAAAGTTAGTCGATTCGTCAGTTAATGCTGCTGCAGCTGCAGTGTTTGTTTTTGTTTTTTTACAATCATCATTATTATTATTACATTTTCAATTATCGGAAGCTACTAATTGGGTCTGCCATCTGCCCAAGGCGACAGCGGCGTTGACAGGACGGCTGGATTGGTAAATCGTAAATCGTAAATCGTTAGCATAATATAGTCAAACATTTAACATAGAGTCACACTTAAAGCTATCACTAAATTGGTTTTATAAGCTAATTGCATCAGAGTCAGTCAGAGTGATGTTGCGTATCTTATGAACTAAGTTTTATTCAGGTGCTGCACCTGCTTGTCAGGCTTACGAGCTAGTTCGTTGGCTGTTCCTGTTGCTGTTGCTGTTGCTGTTGCTGCTGTTGGTGCTGCGGGATATCGCTGGGTGTTGCTCCTGCCAGAGCTGTTGCTGCTGCTGTTGCTGCCGCTGCTGCTGCTGCCGCTGCTGCTGCTGCAGTTGTTGTACTTGCTGCCGCTGCATCCAGATTCAGGGTGGTGCTGCTGGCTGCCTTTTGGTTGGGAAAGAGCACCGAGTAGGCCGGCGGTGGATCCAGCTCCTCGTAATTCGGCGGCGAGGTGGCGCCCAGGTGGTCCTGGCCACCACCTGCTCCTCCATTGGCAGCGGCCAGCGCCGCCTCCCGCTCATTGTTGACCGCATGCTGCGATGCGGAGGCTGCAACAGAACGTATGGATTCAATGTGAGAGCTCAAGCGACAACACAGAACTGGGGGAAGTGATAGGGGATAGTGATAGTGATAGTGGTTTTTTTGTTTTTTAGTTATATGTTAGATATAATTTAGCGGAAAAGTTAGACACGGTCAGAGAGCACAGCATGTGAGTCGTATTAACGGTTTGTGATGTGTGCAACAAGGGGGAGAAATGGAAAACACGCATAAATACAATGGCCGAGTGACAGTGCCTTACTTGGACTAGACTATGGTGCAATTAAACGTACCCCAGAGGCCGCAGATGAGCAGGGCTCCGCCGCACAGGAGCATGCCGAGCATCAGGTAGCCCCAGGGCCCGTACTTCGAGAGGTCCGAGTGCAGGCCGGATCGCGTCGAGTTGCGGCGGGTGAAGCCGCTTCCCGCTCCCGTGCCCGCTCCCATCTCGGCCGTATCGTTTTCCGGCCGCTGCAGCTCTCCCTCCGTCGACAAACTGGGCCCAATGGAGTTGGGCGACCCATCGCCGCCCGGCTTCTTCATGTCTTTGGTGTGCACTTTGCGCAACGTGGTCGTCGACGTGGCCGTCGAGTTATCCAAGCCGCCGGCTCCTCCATCGCTCCCGTTGCGCGGCAAATCCTCCGGTGCCGTGGGCGCATCGTTGGCAAACAGATTGCGGAACACTTCCAGGGCGAACTGCTCGAAGAGATCCGACTCCAGGCCGGCGGGCAGGTGGCCAGCTCCCGGGCGACGCTGCTTCGAGCACAGCTCGTAGTCCTCATCGCTGTCGTACTCGTTGCTGTAAGGACAATGCCGGATCCCGTCGCAGGCCAGCTCCTTGGAGATGCACAGAATGGGCTCATCGCTGCAAGAAGGTATAGCCATTAGAATGAGATATTCTTAGATTAAAATCTTGATATATCATATCAATAGTTTATTAAATTTACATTCCAATTTAGGAGAATTAAGGAAATATAGCATGGATAAGAATGAGATATTTTTGAAATATAAATATCAACAAATTGTTTATAGCATACATCCTAATTACCGCCGAGTTTTACCAATTTACAGATCACAAAATAACTCTATTTAAAGAATTAAATAATTTATTTAAAAGCTTATTATATTAAAAACGTAAAAAGATATAATATTTTTTAATTTTAAAAATGAAAAAATGTAATATTATATATTGGTATTAATTTGTTTTTATATTCGTATGTTCCAATTAAAAAATGGCTTACAAATTTTTTTAGCAAATTCAAAGATTCAGTCTAGTATTGAAACGAAAATGGAAACATCAATGTATCGTATATCAATAGTCGTCAGGGTATGCAAATGTAATCCGACTCACCCGATCTTCAAGCACTGGTGCTTGCTGCCATCCTTGCACTGCTCGCCCTTGCCCAGAACGGTGACCATCAGCTTGGAGCGCAGCGAGTGCTTGCCGTGCTCCCAGACGATCTTGACGCGACCGTGGAAGAGCCTCACCGGGTCCTCCATCTCCGAGGCGGTGTCCTCCAGCTGGCAGGGATCCACTCGCCACTGGGGCGTGTGCGGGTCCAGCGAGCTGAACTGTCGGCGCAAATAGAACGCAAATAGAAGGCAAATAGAACTTTTTAATTATGGGCGACTGGCTAAAAGCGTGTGGCCTAAGTGCGTACTGAATGTTGGCTGCGAAAAACGTGCGAGCAAACAGTTTACACGATCGAAATGCTAATCGCTTAAATCGCTTAAATCGCTTCACCCCATCGACCACGCCCACACTTCTCAACCAACGTGACGTGAATGGCCAAGTTCAACAAAACGATCAAAAATCAACGAAACAATCCAAAGCGATCGAAACTGCGAATGCAAACACAAATATTGCAAAATTAAATATTTACGCTGGAAAAATACAAAAAACAAAAAGCTGTGAAAGCCTCCGCCAGAAACGAGAACTACGCTTTGAGAATCCCATGAGGGGTAGACACATATATAATATATATAAAAATAAATCCATTAATGTCTGCGCTGTTTCACGTGCAGAGCGATAAGCTATAAAAAAAAAGCAAAATGGATACGGGTTCAGCTGGCTTTGTGCTCCCAGGTTCAATAACTGCGACTTGGTAGGCAGTCCCCATTGTATGTGCAGTCGTGGTAAACAACAATTAGCCAGGGTGTGTCGCCATCGACAACGGTTAAACCAGTTCTCCAGTGATAAAAACACAATGCTATTTACTAGATATTTTCTTCTAGTCAGCTCATTAGGAAGATGCGGATTGCCTTGCAATTATGCGACGCATCAATTTGCACTTCTCACCTCCACCGTCACCGTCACCATCAGCGTCGCCGTCACTCCGGTGACGGAACAAAGAAACGCTCTATTCTGGGCATGCAAATGTGGATATGCCTCCACTCCCTCATCTCCCCAATCACAAGCCAAGTTCATCTTTTTTTTCCAGTAGCATAGTTTGCCTTTATGGCGACGCCAACTGTCAGTCAGTCGGTTCAAGTCGACGGATTTATGGCGACGCGACCGAAAGTGTTGCTGTGGGACTGCGCGGTTGCTGCTGTTTTTCTGATGTTTTTCTGCTGTTGCTTCCCTGGCCAAATGTTACAAACGTGTTTCAAATATCAACAACGAAAAAATGGGCCCCGCCAAATGCTTGAAATTGGCGCGCTTATGCAAATACGCCGCTTTTCTGGCTTTGGCGCGGAGTTTTTGGCTCTGCAGAAAGTGAAACATTCCCAGCTGTTTTTTGGGGGCGTGGTTCAATGTCAATGGCCAAAGCGTTAATGGAAAGTTACTTATTTAATCGAGAACACCTTGACAATGTCAACTGATCAGCTGACGAATTACGCCTGGCTTCGCATGAAACCTGCCGGTAATTGGAGACAATTTCACATGTCAAACTGTCTCATCGGAAAGCCACAAAAAAGTAACAATGTCAATCGAGAACTTAAACTTGTTCGCTCGATAAGTCTGTTTGTGAGAACATGAATTGCAGTCGGCAAAACTTAATCTATTTGACAATGGCAATTGTCAGCAAATTGGGCAGCAATTTTTTTGCTTTGCCGCATAAATTAGAAATAGATATGTCATAAAAGATTTCGGATGAAGTCATACAAAAATAGTGATTTCATTTCACTTTCTTAGGTGTAGGAGACTCCTAAAGAGTGGAAAATTACTGGCTATTTGTTCGTGAACTCAGCTTTTTGAACTTTTGGATCCGATTCTCACACTTGAACGCTGCGCATGCGCAGTCAAGTGGTATTTTTCGAAGCAGATGAATGGGATCAACGAAACTGGCAAATAATTCGAGCGGAAGGTGCAGAATATGGCAACATAGCACTAATCAGCGAAAAATAACTACACTTGGGAAAACATTTTTAATGTAAAACTAGAGTCAATAAACTAAGTAGCAAATACAAACAAATCTATAAAAAAAAAGGAGCTTAATGTAGGTTTTTCTAAAATCCAAACTTGTTATTTTTCTTGATAATTGAACAAGCTAAAGTTTTTATTACCTTTTTTTTTTATTTAAAATTAAAATTGTTGTTTTTGTGTAAAAATACTGCCTAGGTTTCTTTTCTATGTTTATCTTTAAGCTAAAAACAATGATAACTATATTTTTTTAAGTACTCTTTCTCAGAATATTGTCTAAATCTTCCACTAGTTTGTTTTAAGTGTGCTTAATCAATTAAGACAGCCTTGTCGCCATAAATAGGGGCTAAGGTGAGTTCACTTACAATGTTCAGGGGGCAGGTGCGTCCCACAACCCGGGAATTTGTGGATGAGACGATGCCCTTCGTTGAGTTTAGCGGGATGGAGGACTCCATCACTCCGCCGGATTTGGCAGTGCGCCGGAGTTTGGATGAGTTGCTGCTCCCTGCCGCTGCGGCCATGATGTTCGTGGGCGGACTCCTGGTGGTGGCCGCATCCAGAGGCGGGCTGTGCCGCAATTTGGGCAGGATGAGGCGCACTATGAAGCCATAGTTGGGCGGGGCACTGAGGATGCGGGAACAGGAGGGATACTCCGCTCCATACGAGCCCGGCTTCAGTTCGATGATGAGACTAGATTCTTTGCCTTCGCTCTCGATGAAGTGCTCGTGCTGGGCACTGCAAAGTGGCTTGAAAGTTGGATGGGACAGCAGATCACCTGAAATAGAGAATTTCGAAAAGCGAATCAGTTATTGGAGCAGATGCCTTGAGTTCAAATTCACAGTTGCCTGTTAATTTCTACATCAAATAGGTCTGATGGATGGTCTGCCATTTGTGGTCATTTGTGTGCGGAATCCATCATTCCCAACTGAAACCCATGGCATGCAGACGAAATACGCGAGTTGTCAATCAATAAATAACTCACAGTTTGACAAAAATAAGAGGGCAAACAAAAAACTGCGATGCGACAACTCTAAAAATAGGACTTTTGTGTGAATTGGCAGGGAAATGGAATGGATGGCACTCCAATTTTGGGGTGATGAAACCAAACCAAACACATTTCGAAAATTCAATTAATACGAATGGATACTACGATAATTGAATGACTACGTTACGTGTACCTAAACTCAGCGATACAAGTGGGCCTCTCCGTTCAATTATTTTGCACCCGATCTCGAACTTTGCGCCGCAAAGGTTAAAGATTCGCACAAGCACTATTAAGTACTTCAATTAATAAAATACAAATACACACACTAACACAAGCGCGTATGGCGTGTAGGAAAACTACTTTTGCATTGTGCTCAGTGGTGGCCATACGTACATATTCTGGGTCACTGACTGCACCACATACGTACACCATTATTATATTATATTACCCAGGCTGTTGCTGCAACAGCGACTTATTGTTTGTCTGTTTTTTTGCAGCCGCCCTCGCTCTTTTTTTTCTCCGCCGCTCAATTGCCACACAGCTTTTGCGAACTATTAAACATTTTATTAAACCATTTGCATTTTTTGCTCCGAGCACCCAAGTCTGAGTACGAGCACTCGTGTGTACGGGTGCAATTTAGCAGCTAATTCCCGTTTCGAACTTGACATTAATAGGCAAGCGGCTTAGAGCTGTCCACGCGAGCTGGAGTTTTAATCATCATTTTGGCAAATGCACTCATTACAACCGGGCTAATGACAGTCTTTAAAGACTGTTTTATGCGCCAATAATTGTAGATTTCAGTAATCGATTCGGTTGTTCTAGGGAAAGTTGAACAAATAACACTCATTCAGTTTCCACACACACAACATATTCAATTAGTCGCAATTGTTACTGAACGAAAAGCCATTAGCACTGTAATACAATGAATTGCATACAGTTAAGTAATGATTAGGGCTTATTTGATGGCCAACAAACAGAGAGCTCTAAAGTTTCAGAGCGTCATTGCTAATTGGGTTAAAGGCGCACAAGCACAAGCACTTGCCGCCAAATAAACACATATGAATCCATCCGAAAGTTAACATCGCTTTGTTTGGGTCAAAGCGGGGAGTTTTTCAACAGTAGAAATGGGTCTACGATTTGGGAAGCCAGCCAAGCGGGCAACAAAGAAAGGGCCAGCAGTTCCACCCAATTTTTTCACTAAATATGCCGTTAATAATTTGTCTACGTTTTCAGAGCAGAACCGAGTGTTACTGGTTGATTTTTTTGTTTTCTGGGAAAGCAGAACGCTTTCCCGGGGGGAAAGTCAAAACCTGGTACTTTAAGGTGCCATCGAAACACAGCTTTGAAGCTCAATGGCTATAGCATTAACGTGTTGGGCAAGGTCAGGTTAACAGACATGATTACACAGATGAACATCAAGACAAACAGCTAGCAAACCAACCAGAAAACTCACAGATAAACATGGAACACAATTTACAGTCAACTGTTGGGCACTGAGAAATATAAGATTAGCTTAAGGTGGATATTTATATTGTACTTTTGCAAGACTTAAGCATGTACGAATATTAAGTTTAGCATCTTCAGAATTACCTATTACCTAATTACTATATAAAAAAGTCCATTCTTTTGTTAATGTTAATAATGTAGAGTTCTGTTCCAGCCCTTTAAGAAGTCATACTATTTCTTCCAGTGCACTTCTATTTATCTGCCAATATCTCGCGATGTGTATCTATGGCTCATAGTGTGCGTGAGTGTGCGTGTGTAGGTCAAGCAGCAGCCACTTGAATTTGAAAAGGGCACATTAAAATGCGTAGTCAATGCCGATCCACAAGTTATAGTGCTATATACAGTCCCCTACGTTGAGTGGGCCAGTTTCGAGTTGTTGTTGCTGTTTGGACTCAGATTCGGATTTAGACAAAAACGGAACTTGGCCAAGAGCAAACTGCAACTGCTCGTGCAGAGATTGTCAAGCGGTTTGAGGGTTTTTTTTTTCCATTTTTTTTAGTTCTGCTTCTCGAGTGGCGACTGGGCATAATAAATTCTGTGGCTGCCACGCGATGCGGACGCGTGTTGCATGCTGGATGGATGGATGTTGGATTCTGCTCACTCGTCATAATTACGCCCGGCTGCCTGCGGAAAAGGGGGCGGGGCAGTGGCAAAGGGCGGGCGGAACAGTAAAAGCGCACGATGGAGAGACACTCGAAAAAAGTTGTTGTTAAAAATTACACAACACTCGCACACACACACACACACACACTGAGGAAGCACACATACCCGGAGTGAACGCCACTCGACGCACAAACAGAAACAAACAAAAACAGTCTGCAAGTGCAGTTTGTTATACTCTTCCCCGCGGGGGCTGCCATAAACCCATAAACCCTTCACCCAACTTGTTAACTCTCACAATCGAATTACGGAATCGATAAGTTATCTGTAAGTCAAGTGGAAGGCTTTCAATTTTGCCATGTTCCGCATGAAATATTTATGGGAAGTACCATTTCAAATGCCATGGGATCGCTGCAATTGAAGAAGTGTCCTTTGGCTAACGTATTTGAGACCTGGAGTTCAATTCTTAACTTGAAATTATCTTAATATAACTTAAGTTTTATTTTTAAAATTTTATGTTAAAGATCAAAGGTTATTATTTTATGCACTTTTAAGTGTAACTTTGAAGAGACATTTTTCATAATTTTTTAATTGCTTAAAAATTCGTCTTTATAGAGCATTTGATCTTCTGCTTTCGACGCTCATCATTCTATTTGCTTCATTTTTATTTGTGCAACTGCTGAAATTGGGTCAACTATCAAAGTCAGAATGGCAAGGGTTAAGTGCTTGTCCCTCCATCTCTTTCTCTTCAGTTGTCTCTATCTCTGTCCCATTCTCTGTCTGTGCCTCTCTATCTGGCCTCACACCTTTCCCGCCTTCCCGCTCTCCAGCTTTCTTCTCCCGCTTTTCCCGCCTGCCCCGCTTTCTTTAACATCCACATGGACAGCGCGCTACATTTCCCGTTGGCCAATTTTCCTAATAGGTCAAGCGAATATGTCATCATGTTGCTGCTGTTGGCCACAGTCGTTGTTGTTGTTGTTGTTGTAGTTGTTGCCGTTGTAATTTGTCTGTTTGCCCAACTAAAGAACGACAAAATAAATAAATTGTACAATAAACAAGAATTCTGGCCAACTCGAATGGCAAGGAACTGGGCATTTGTTGCTGCAGCTGCTGCTGATGTTGCTGCTGTTGATGTTGCTGCTGTTGATGTTGCTGCTGTTGCTGTTGCTGCTTCTGCTGTTGCGTGCAACACATTGGCAGACCTAACGGCAACTGTTGCTGCTTAACTGGCCAAGCAGTCAGCGGAATGGCGGCAAGTCGAGGCGGAAGCCAGTTGAACATGACTTCTAATGGCCGCATACATAAATCAAAGACCCATTTTCAGCACTTGGCAGCGAAAAAGTATTGAAAATGTAAGAAAAAAATAAGCAACACAAATGCCAAACATTGCCTTAACTACTCGAGCACAATGGCAGTTTTTTCTATTGCCATTTTTGTTTTTTTTTTGTTTATGAACAATTTGCATTTTAATTAAGCGATTGCAGATTCTTTATCGCTCGTTGTCTCTCTGGCAAAAAAGTTTGAATTGGAATTGAAAAACGGGTGGGAGTGATGGGTGTGTGTTTGTATGTGTGTGTTTGAGAGTGTACCAGTGCCACCTAATTGAACTCAGATGACTTTTCGAGTCACATAGCGAGCAGCTTCTAGTCACAGCAACCTTATAAAACCCGACTTTGGGGGAAGTTCTCCAATCCAATCCAATCCAATCCACAGATGGCTGCTGGCAACATATGTTAATTCTACTTGATATTCACAACAGCAACGGCAAAACAGAGCTGGAAACCAGTTTGCAAACATGTACATGGCTAAATATACATATGAATGTTTATGGCTGGATAAATAAAGCTCTTCGACTCGACTGTTTGCTGTGCTAGCCAAAAAGTTCGGATAGAGTAAACACTAGCCCAGATCAAGATTCCGTTTTAGATTTAGATTTCGATTTAGATTCGGGGAACACCTCGTGGCTGCGCACTTAGGAAAAATTATATATTGTTTAGTTCTGTCATTTCGAATGATACTTAAGTGTTTTTTAATAGGTTTTTTAATAATCAAAGACATGAAATAGATGGCTGATTGTTCAAATGTTAAAAGCACTAAGAAGTGAACAAATAAATGTAATGTTTCCATTGACCAAGTACAATGGTTCCCATCGACTTTAATGTTGGTTTTATGATCTTATTTAAGTTGCTTATAGCACCCATTTGACTATATTGTTTCGTGAAAAGAGTGTAGTTAAAGATCTTTCCTGATTGAATTTTAAACTTAAAATTCATTATATATCTTTAATTTTGTATGAATTTAATCCCTTTTATCTTATTTTTCTGATCTTTTTGTAATAACTTATTCCAGTTTGATCTTAGATCTTATGATGTTCGTTGATGAGTGGTCTTATTTTGTATAGATGTTCAGTGCTTTTGTAGGCCTCTGAGGTCATTGGAACACCGACTCTTGCTAAGTATTTTTTTGATGGTACCATCATCGTTAACCCCTTGTTGCAACGGAGGAGATCAAGACGTGTAGTTTGCAAATTTGCCTCTTTGTTCGGGCCATAACTGTATTTCAATGGCAATGAGGTCGTCTGGCGGTTGCGTTTTCTGTTCTCCGCTTTGTGTTTTTTTCAGTTTTCTGTTTCAGGTTTCACAAAAAAAAAGTATTTTCTTTTATTTTGCATTACATTGTTTTCTTTTTATTTCGTTCCATGCCGCAAAAACTTCCGCGTGATTTATTTACGGCGTCTAGCTGATTTTTATTGCACCCCACGCTCAAAGTGATTCACGAAACTTAACGCTTATCAGTTGGCTTTGCTTTGGTGACTCGTAGTCGAATTTGGCCTTTTGGCAGAAATTAAAACCAAATCAAATACGAAACCATGTGCACGGCGGGATCGGTCAAATGCGGTTAAGATCGAGTGAGTGGGGGAAACGACAACCGGTTTCCCAAACAGCACAAATAATCGGTGATAAAATTAAAAGCACACACAACAAATGACAGTGGTTCACAACGCGTATTCTAAAGCCACGGATATGGGATGGGTGACTAAAAAAGAGGCTATAATGGCAGAGATTAGAAAGGCAGCGGTTAACTACAGTCAATACTCGAGAACTTAACCTAGCAAGTGTGGCTTATTAGCATTATGCTTAGAAAATTATTATGACAAACAAATTACATTATGTTCTTGTGATGCCCATGTAACCCACAAACAATTCAAGGTTTTCAGAGCTTTAAATAGTTCCTAAACTTTAAGTTGGATAAACATACATATGTAATTCAATAAAGTATGTTTATTTTGAGTCACACAGAGCATGACAAATTCTGGTAGGTGTGAAGTAAGACTATTAGTCTTGAGTTATGGACAATTGCATGATTAATTTAATTAATAAAGGTGGATATCAAGTAAGTTTAAAAATTCAGTAATAGAATCGTTTGAACTTGAGATGTTCAAATTTATAATTATAACATGTATGAAACAAGTTTACATTTTATTTCAATGTATATCTGAGTTACCCAAAATGCCTATTAACTTTCTCGGAATTACCGTTAATTCATCTTTGGAAAGTCCCAACTATAGACGTAAGTATAACGAGAAGTGAAATCCAAGTCTTGAACTTTTGTGTGGGGGAAGTACCTCTTCTGGCCAGACCTTGTGACCCGATACTATGGACCCCTTCCACGAATCCGGTAATTATAAAAACGGCGAATACTTAAGGGCACTTCAAATACTAGGTTATTCCAACTACCCAACCTCCCACCCTTTCACCAATTTCTTCTCCTTCTTTTCTTTACACCGTTTGCACACAATGCAGCGGCGCCTGATTAAATCCCCCAAGACACAATTTTCCCAGGCACATTTTCAATTTTTTTTTTCGCAACTAACCAAAGACCGCTGCACTTTGGACCATGGCGGCGGCACTGGCGGCCAAAAGAGTGATCAACGCCCACGCGCAGTAAATGTGAAGAATCCGCGGACTGTTGCGTCGCTGCTGCTGCGCCTGCGCCCCATTTTGCTGTTGTTGTTGCTTTTGTTTTTGTTGGGCGCAGCGAACGCAGGCGACGGTCGCCATGTTAGTTGCTTTTCAGTTTTCTTATATATTTTTGTTGTTTTTGTATTTTAAAACGGCTTTTCAGAGCCGCCGATTGTCGTTTTGCCTTTTGCTATCGAATTTCACTCGACGACGCGCACTTAAACAGTTGCTTTTTCGCGATTTACGCGGAATTGCGCAATCTAAAAACTAGTTCGTCTAGGATCAAGATCCGCTAATCGCGAAACTCCACTCGCGCGCCCTTTTTTTTTTTGTACTCGAAGCCAAAAAAGGAGCCGCCCTCGGCGTCAGCGACTTTTCTTGCTGCTATTTTTTATCGCTGTGCGCCGCTGCTCGAACTCGCGAACTTGCTGCGACGGCCGATCGAGTTTGACTGTGAGCACAGCTTTGGAGCCCAGCGACGACATCAGCGCCTCTGCAGCACCACAAACCGGAGATCTCTTTTAGATTCACAGAGAGAGCCAGCGCGGAAGCCTAAAACACTTCTCTTGTAAGCTCTCTTTAAGTTACGAGAGAGCTCAAACTAGTCACAAAACAAAAACAGCTGCACTGAAAGATAATTATAGATGCAGATATTACATATTGATTTATCATTATTGTCTACAATCATTTCCTTGTTAGCTGATTTTTTTATAAAATATATAACATCTATAAAAAGTAGATCTTTATAAAATTCAATATTATTATTATTATGTGCAATTCCTGGTATTGCTGCCTGGGAAAAACGAACCAAACCAACCAAAATAAATGTCCGAGACTTTACCTAGGGTCCAACAAATAAATAAAATACCCAAATAACCAACATGGCGTATGAGTCATTTTTCAAAATTTATCTAAACACTTGTGCAAAAGACATTTTAGTTCTGAAAAACAATAAAACTGAGGGAGGTAAGCTTATAAATATAACAAAAAAAATGCTTAATATCTGAGCAAAAAGCGTTTCTGGAAAATAAGGGATTTAAAATGTTTTGGTTTGTTTTTTATTGGGCTTAAGCCATCTGATTAAAGCAGGATAAGTTTGGTTTCTCTGCATTTAAAAGCATTTGTTTTCGTTTAAAAAAAACCAATAAATTAAAATTAAATATGATATGATTTTTATTTTAGATCACCATTGACTTTATTTCAATTGTTTAAATGGTTTTGATCAGTGAAAAATTTTGTATCAATTGATTTTAAAGATCAATTAATCTTTTCTTTCTGTGTAGGGCTCGTAAACAACGGTAACGCTACAATTTAACTAACAAACGGCATGGCAGAAAGACACGAGCCAAGGAAGCAGCCAAAAGAGAAATCGTGAAGAAGGTAAAGGAGGATAAAGAGAAGTTGTGGAAGGGGGAGGGGGAGGTTCTCCTTCATCTGCCACCAAGCCATACAAAAACAACCACATAAGGCATGAGCAATCAGTGCAACAATTCTGCTGCGCTCTTCTGACTCACGGAGCTTACGGCGTCAAACGGATTTTTGCATTTGCATGTTTTTGCCTTAGTCTTTGTTGTTGTTGTTGTTATGGCCGTGTGCTATATTTTTTGCGGGCCCTCTTGTTTTTTCGATTTGTTGCTTTATTTTTTGGGTAGCGGGGGTCTGTAACCCAATTTTGAAACGAGTCAAGTCGATATGCGAGCAGAACAAAGTGTGCACAAAAAAAGGAGAAGAAATGAAAAAATCGCAAAAATCAGTAAGACACATTGGATGTGGGAGACAGAATGCGAAAATTACAGCAAAAGACGTTTGTTCGAGTGACGCAAAAAATCGAAAGCAGTTCAAACAACATGTGTCAAAAGGGATGAGCACGAAAAATACATCTTCAGCCAACGAGATGAATGCATACTTCGTGGTTCCCCGTGGGTATATGTGTATGCATCTGTGTGTGGGTTTGAGCCAAATTGAAGTTTACCTTAAGCCCAGTCAGATGACAGGACTCGCTGCCAAGGCAAACCGACTCGGAAAGTGGGTTAAAGCCCCGTTTTAAAATCAGCACAGCAAGATACAATTTTAGGTCACCGGATTTGAGGAACAAAGCATTGATCTCTTGCCTTGTGATGGAAAATCACTACAAATTGGCTTATTGCCAAACTCAACTGTTCTAATAATAGCAGGATAACGGATTTATGTTGATTCGATTAATTTGAACAATTTTTGTATATGGGTTATTATTTTCAACGTAAAACAAGTTGAAAAAAATAACTTTAACTAAAAGAATCTTGAGATTATAATTTTTGGACAATTTTATTCCCTTAATTTACCGGAACAGAAATTTTCCCTTCATAAGTGGTGTTTTGTGTGGGGTATTTATTATTATTCTTAATTATTTTCAAAACATTGAATTGAAATGCCAGAATTCCATATTTAGTAATCCCTCGAAGACTCAAAAACTTTCGTGTTGCTTGCTAAGTCTTGAGCTTTGTTTGTCTTACAAAGAAAACATTTTGAAAAACGCTCGAACATTGCATAAGTCAAATAAACATTCAAAACGAATTGCCCGAACCGTCGTGTCTCCCCATATCTGTAACTGCTCACTCTTGGCAACAAGAGTTGCAGCCAATTTAGCCGGTATATGTGCAGTACTATATGTATAATATGGCCAACGTGAAAAACCAGGCTTCGTTTCACGAGTATGTACTGCAGTTTTTGTGCTGTTATCGATGCATTTGGCCGTTTGCCAGTCTACGCGAGTTGCGAGTTGCTGGTTTTTTCGGTTGCCAGTTGCTAGTTGCTAGTTGCAAGTTGCTGCCGGGGCAACTGTTTTTGTGGTTGGCGTGCGTAGTTGCAGAGCTAAAAATAAACCGCATGTAATTATAGTCGCAGCGACTTGTTGCACCTACCATGCCCAAAAATAAAGGAAAACACGTCAAAACAACCAGTCAAGAAACTAAAGAAACTGAGAGAGAGAGAGAGAGAGAGAGAGCGGCCTAAGAGAAAACCTACTCTTTGGGCCAACTCTCTTCGGCAGCTTCTAGTCACGTCTACCGCCGTGGACCAGATCCGATATCGGTGTATGCTATATGCGTGAATATAGCTGGGTCACGTATGCGTATGATTTGTGGGCGCTGCGAAATCTTGTCCTGCTATCGAGACACGTTTAACTTCTTGCCCGCAGAGACTGCGGTGGCCACCGGCTAACCTTGGCCCAAATTAAGGGGTCCGATTCAGACGATAATGCCCTCGAATCAAAAGTGATCTAAGCGAGTTGGTAAACAACGAAAAGTGGCTTAGACTTGCATGAGCATTAAAGTCTAGAATATTTTAATTGAGTACTATTTATCTAGATTTTATAAAATAATAAGTAATATTGCTGTTCATATTGTTTAATATTGTTTAATTTTATACCTGTAGACTTAAGCTTAAAGCTTAAATGCACAGTGGCGCTGACAAGAGATTCGGTAGTAATGGGTACTCAGTTACTTACATTACTTAGTTACTTACATTTACTATTGTTACTTTTATTATTTATTTACTTTTGACACAAATTAATATGATAAAATAATATTATTTTGTATTAATAATTTAAATGAAAATTTATAAAATATTTTCTGAACCAAATTATAAATATTTCCAATACACAAACCATAAAAACTAGTTAAAAATCGATCGATGTAGAGCTCATGTAGATAATAACTTCCGTAGAAAACCTAACCGTTAAAATAAATCAATAAAAGTAATATTTTAAGTTACAGTAAAATTGATATTAAAGTCCAAAAACACCATTAAAATATTTATTTCAGTTCTTTTAAAAGACATAATCATTTACACGTATGTGTCTAAACTTCCTGTTTCAAAAATTTCCAGAATTTTCTAGACTTTGTAAAAGAAACCAAATTTGTTTTCAATTTTCTTGTTTATTTCAATATTTTTACGTAAATTAACTTAAATTACGATAATTGTAACATCAGCATAAAATATTTACAAAATGGAAATACTACGAGAGGATTGGATGCAATGCCGTGATCAATGAAACGATTTTCTCTTTTTTGTTGTTTTGAGTGGAAAATGTGCAACCTGAGGACAGAATAAGGAAAGTAAGAGAAAAACAACTAAGGAAGTGGAAAAAAAATAAACACGAGGGGGGTTTTCAGGGGCGCACGATGATCATGTCTAGTTGAGTAGCTAAATGGCATTTTGTTGTGGACTGCGGCGACTCGACTCGATCGCGATGTCTATCTGCGGCGCAGATGCATCATGGACTCCAGCGAACTGGGGTCCAAGGTGGCGGCGTGCTCCAGATCCTCGCTGCTCGCGTTCTCCTCGGCCACGTTGACGAACGTGCTCGAAAGCTCCCCATTCAATCGGTTGATGCTGCCCGTTCCAATGTCGTACATGAAGATCTCCTGCTCCGCGGAGGCATCGGTGGATCTGGAAAGGGAAAAGTGATTAGTGGCGGGTTCAGGATGGTAAATACTTAAAATAGAAAGTTCTTGGAAGGACTATTAAAACATTTAACGGAAAAATGTCATATAAATAAGTTAAAAGGTGGTGTGTAAGACGCAAAGTTTTAAATTTGTAATTTATAGTTCGCTTTGAGGGTCAAAGGCCTAATTAGACATTTAGACATTGGTTTTTCTCAAGACATGTAAACATGTATCTTATTTTCAATAATTTTGGCAATTTAGGTATTTGAGAACTAGACCTTGTCGAAAATGTAAAAATCTTAAATAATAAATCCGAATGTCTAAAGAGAAACTCTAAAGATGCCTAATCATAAATAATGAACAATTTCATACTTTTTAATATTAAAACTTTTTAAAATTTTAAACAATTTTTCAGAATTTTAAAAGAGAGTTTTAAGAGTTATCAGCTTTTATAAATCTTTTTAAGATTATTAGTATGTTTGGGTTGATCTTTTAAGGCTTGCTCGTACATTATGTCCAAAACCCATCCATACTGTCTACTGTAAAAGCCGGGAAACCACTTACTTGGTCACCAGGAGAACCACGGACTGCAGTTCCAGATCCGTGCGCGACTCCTTCTCCAGCCAGCGCTTGAAGTTGTCCTTGGTGGGCTTCTTCACCAGCGTCTTGATGAGCTCGCCGCCCAGGAACTTGACCTCCTTGCCGTCGGCACTGCGCGCCTCGCTGCTCGAGTGTGCCGGGTTCTGGGCCTCGACGGGAGCCAACACCACCACGCTGACGATCCGCTTGCCCAACAGCTCCTCGCTGTCGGGGATGGGGAACTGGGCGCCGTTGATCTTCAGGGGTAGATAGCGGTTGTACTGCTGGCGCTCTGCCAAATCCACTGGCGTCACTACGGTGGCATCGGTGCGCACGTACTTATCGCTCACACTCTGACCTTGGGCGGCATCGTAGCGTACCACCTTCACGTCGAGAACCTGCTTCTGGGGCAGCGAGTTGCTCTGCTTCACGCGGTCCAGTTGCTTCTCACTGAGAGCCACCTTGTCGCCATTGGGCTTGACCACGGTCAGCACCTTGTTGGTCTCGGCAATCTGGGCGCCACCACCGGCTCCATAGAAGTGCTGCAGATGCTCGGCGGGCAGGTTCTCCAGGGCAATGTCTCCCTGCTTGTCGTAGTCCAGAATGGAGATATCTGCGTTGTTCAGGATGCCCGAGGAGAAGAGCTGCTGGCGGAGATCGTCGGGCACTTCGTCGGGCAGTTGGAGCAGCGTTTGCGAGGCCTTGCCATTGGGCGAAGAGGCGGGTGTGGAAGTGGGCGGGGCAGCGGAAACGGGCGCTGCAACTGGAGCTGAAACTATTTTGGGAGCCTGAACCTGCTGTTTCTCCTTCTGATTGCGCTGCTCCAGCTCCTTGAACACATCCGAGTGGAAGGTGGACACGCTGAAGGGTGAGTTATCACTAGACGCAGGGGCACTGATTAGTGAGGTGGCTGGTTGCCTGGGCTGCTGGGCAAAGTTGGTGCTGGCCTGAGCCTGCAGAGCCGCGGACTGGGCATTGACATGGACCACTGGCTCATTGGCCGCCTGGGAGTACTGGCTGTAGGTCACATAGTTGGCGGATGGAGGCACTGGCGTCACCACCATCACCTTTTGGCCATGAGTGGATTCAGCGTAGACGGGAGGCTGCGATGGGGCTTCGCTGGGAAAACTGGTGAAGTGGGATTGGGAATGCTGACCATTCGATGAGCCCGCCGTTATGTAGTGACCAGAGATGGGCTGCTGAGCTGTGGGTCCCAGATTGGGAGCGGGCACATCATGGATCACCTCATTTCGCGTGCTGCTGTAGGCAAATTGCTGATGTTGCACCTGCTGCTGCTGCTGATATTGCTGCTGTGGTTGCTGCGCGGGAGCAATGGGATTCTGGACAGTCTCCGTGATGTGCTGCTCAAACTTGGGAATGGACTTCAGCAGCTCCGTCTCCTTGGAAGGCTTGATGTCGAAATAGTTGAGAGCGCTCTGGTGATGTTGCTGCTGGGCATGTTGCTGCTGCTGCGCCTGCTGCTTCTGTTGGGAGAAGTACTCTGGTAGAGGCGTGGGTGAACGCACCACAAATTGCGGCTGCTGCACGAATTGAGGTTGACGCACAAACTGATATGATTGCTGCTGATGCGGCAACTTCTGTTGCTGTTGTGGCTGATAGTGTTGCTGCTGCTGCTGCTGGTAGTTGACATTGTCCAGCTTGACGGGCAGGGGCAGGGGTTTCGGCTGTGGCACAGGTGCTGGTGTGGGACGGAATTTAACAGGCTGATATGGCGCTGGAGTTACGCTTTTTGGCGGAATTGTGGGGAAGAATGGCACTTGCACCTGCTTGTGGGGTGGTTTTTGATATTGCTGTTGCTGCGGTGCCTGTTGCAGGTGTTGCTGTGGTGCCTGCTGATGTTGCTGCTGCTGCTGATGTTGTTGATGCTGCTGCTGTTGATGTTGTTGATGCTGCTGCTGTTGATGTTGCTGTTGGTGATGTTGCTGCTGCTGTTGATGATGCTGTTGCTGTGGGTACTGTTGATTGTGGTTGATATAGTATTGCGACTGTTGAACAAGCTTGTTGAAGATCGTCTGTGAGGAGGTGGAGGGCAACTGTTGCTGGGTGATGCTAGGGCGATGTTGCTGCTGCACTTGTTGTTGCACCTGTGCTGCTGGCTTGGGGTAACTGGGAGGTGGACCCACCAAGGCTGCCGGCGGCCTAAAGTAGTTGTTGCCATGCTGCGTGGGCAATTGCTGCTGCTGCTGCTGTTGCTGGTAGTTAAGGGGCGACTGTTGTTGGAAGTTGCTGCCAAAAAGAAGATTCGAAATGGGTCCGGGACCCCGGCCAAAGTTGCTCTCTCGCCCATAATCCGCTCGGGTGTTGCCCAGGAAGCCACTCTCCGATTTGGCGGACACCGAAGGCGGCAGGGCCACCACCTGTCGCTGGATGCTCTCGGCATCGTGCTCCTCCAGAATGTGACCCGTCTGATGCTGATTCTCCGCCCCGAAGGACACATGAATGCCGGAGTTGCTGTGGAATTTCTCCGAGTCCGGATGGATAATGGTGCGCAGGGTGGTGGACTTGACAGGTGGCAGTGGAGTGACCGGATACTGGATGACCTCTTCCTCCTCCTCCTCTTCCTCCTCGTTGTCATCGTTGTTTAGCGAGGCAATTGGCGACTCCAAGTGCAGCTTGTTGTTCTGATCCTTCTTGTAGTTCACATAGAACACATGCACCTTCTCCTTCTTCTTCTTCTTCTTGGTCACAATCGGCTGGGCGGGCTCTTCGGCTAGCGTCTCATTGGCATCCTTGATGATGATCTCGATGATGGGTTCCGGAGCCTCCAAATACTGAGGGTATTGGGCATAGGCGGGCCCAAAGTTTCCGGGATATTGAGCTGTAATTTAAAAGGTTTTTAATATTCATATTTATATTTTCACAGATTTTGATTGAAATCGTTTTCTAAATTAAAAACAATCAGGAAGTAACTTTTTCCGTTTTTAATTTCAATCAAACTAAGTGGATTTAAGCCAAATCGAAATCCATTATTATCTGTGAAAATGAAAACCATTTCTTTCAGGCTTACTTACCAATTGCATTTTGGCCATTGTAGTAGCCAGTCTGTGGATAATAACTCGCCGTATTATCCACATAGCCAGCCCTCCTACTGGCCACTTCGGGATACAGATAGCCAGCGTTGCCAAAATCATACAGCGTTCTCTTGCCACGATTCTCGCCCGGCTTCAAAGCCTTCGATTGGCGGGTGGTAGACGTGGTGGTGGTGGCCTTGGAGGAAGGCGATGCCGAGGGTGAAGGCTGTTTGGTGGTCTTTTCCGGCTCTGCTTTTGGCTTGCTCTCTATTTTTGGCTTCGCCGAGGTGGTGGTACTCGTGGTGCTGGAGGATGAGGATGAGGCAGTTGCCGTGGCTCCAATGACCAACAGCGCCAGCGCCAACTGCAAATTGAATAGAAAGTTGAGGATTAGTACTGCTGCCAAAATATTTTAATTAAAACTTCGTGGAACTCAAATTTAGTTTCGGCTTAGGCCATAGCCAAAAGATACTGATCAGCATTGAAAGCGGAATTTATTCGGTGGGGGGAAATTTGTTGGAAGTTAAATCATACATAAATCTTCAAGATAAATCTAAAAACATGTAAAAACATGGCTCCTGGAAACAAATATTTTAATTGATATATAGTGGACAAGGTCGAGACCCCGACAAAAGCCCAAAAACTGAAACCAAAACCCAAAAAAAAAAACACTTTTACCGGCCGAAATAGAAGATGGCAAAACAAATTGGTGAATGCCCAAAAAAGGCGAATTAAAAACGCAATAAACTCGAACATCACCAGTTAACGAAGCCGAAACAAATTAGCCGAGCCAAAACTATTTTCTCACTTTTGCATTGGGTCAATGTCAAGTTGAGGCTGTGAGTTGGAGATGGAAATGAAATGAAATGGAGAGGCTGGGATTGAGTTGTTGACCACAGAATTGACAAACAAACCACCAACTTGATGGGTTAAAGGCAAGGCAAGGCAAGGCTCAAGCTCAAGCTCAAGCATTTCATTTTGGCCCGGTTTCGCCTTTTAATTTGGCATATCGCGATGCGGTTGATCGACGAACTTGGAGCTGGAGCTGGAGCTGGCAGCCATTGAGTCATCATCAGTCATCCACTGGCGGATGCCTTTCTGGCTTAGCCGTGAAAGTTGCCCTGAAGTGCGGCGACGAATTTCAATTGACCGCGGGAGCCGCTTTCTGGCCACGCCCACGCAAAAATGCCAAACACACCGGCACACCAATGGAAAACTCAATTCTGTCATGAATTTTTCCACCGAACTTTCCAAAACTGCACTTGGACTGCAAATGTCAGCCGAACTGTGAGTGTGTGTGTGTGTGTGTGTGTGTGTGGGCGTTTGACATTTGATTTGTATCTATATAATAAAGTACGAGTGCGAGTATAACACATTTTGATGGCTGAGCAGAAAGTGAAGTGAAAATAATACACACTCGACAATCGACGGACAATGAGCGTTACCCACTGCCATAAAGATCGGGGGCTTGGCCCAGTTCAACTCCGTCGATCGGTGGCGTATGCGCAATCTCACGGTAGTAGTCTCGCCTGATTATGGCATCTGAATCGCATTGTTTTTATTATTATTTTTATCGTTGTTTTGAGGGCGGGAGGCGTCCGGAGAGTCATGTCAAAACGGAAGCTGTGAGATCTTGTTTTGACAGCCCCGTCGACAGCCTGTTCCTTTGTTTTCACAGTTTTAACGCAGACATTTTGACAGCTTAATGATGCCCTCTTAATTGCAATTACAGGCTGCAGTGATGTCACTGCTCTACTGCTCGATTTTTGAGGGGCGGGGCGGGGGGTGTTATGCCATAACATACGAACATGCTAATCAGTGAAGCCCACACAAACAAAACCGATTATCCAACAGTCACTTCCCAAAGAAACTGTCACATTACCATACCTGACCTATGGATAGCTTCCAGTAGTCCACACACTCCGCTGACCACATACAATGGCCAAATGGCCAAATGTCAAAGATTTGCCAAAACAAAGCCAAACAAAATATGAAAAATACATACAAGACACAACAAAAAGAGAGAAATAATCAAATCAACATCACCATCGACAGACAGACAGACGAACAGCGCGAACAGTCAAAAGCAGTTCATGAAAAGAAAGATGCTAACAATGGGAGAAAGTTACACACCACACTGTGCCACTCTTGGTAAAAAGCCATCAAAATTCATCTCAAGCCAGAGCCCCAAAATACTCGACAGCTGAACTCGCACATTAACATAACGAAAATGTTTACAAGCCAATAAATCTAGTGTCTCAGCCGGAGAGTTTTCCTCCATTTGGCCACAAAATGCGAGAGAATTACACAATCTGGCCGGGCCAAGACAAAAATTTATTAATGAAAATGAAGAAGAAACCCGAAAATCTTTGGCAAGCATTTAGTGGGCAAGTGTAAATCAACGGCAGACACTTCTCTAACTGCTGCTGCTGTTGTGCAATGGTTTAAATGTGTTGCTAAGGAGATGGTTAGGAGATGGCTAACCAGTTGAGCGACCGCAGGACTAACAACTTGTGGCATGTGGCCAATAGAGCCAAGTGGCAGCTACAACTGATTGCCGGCACGTTTCTGCGGTTGGATTTTCGCTTGTTTTAGTGTTTGCCATTTGCTGTTTGCGTTGGTGTTCAAGTGAAATCTGGCCGACAACTTGTCTGAATTTGCAATTGACAAATAGCCAGGGAAGTTCTCATGTAAACTGTGTTTATTTTCGGCTGCGGCTGCTTTGTTGTCTGCATGTATCATAAGCCAAAGAAAAGAGGGGACAACAACCAAACACCCCCTTGCACTTGATGATACACAGTTATGATATGTGCCAGTTGATCTGCCATTGTTAGGCTGTCTGTCATGTGAATAGATTGCAGATTGCAGATGGCAGATTGCACAGACAATCAGCCTGTGACACGGCACAATTATTCTGGGCCACAACTTGAAAGTCATCTTCGTGCGAACCGCCTCACAAGCAGTTAGCCCCAGAATCGCAACTTGTCTGCAGGCCAATTATCCGAGTGGCTACGAGGAATGTCAGTCATCGCAAAGTGATGCAAATGTGGTTGCCAAAGAACATAAGACATTAGCATTAACCGTAACTGACATCATTTCCCATTGCCAAAAATTAAAAGCTAAAAAGTATAAGTCAAAGAAAAAGAAAATGAAAATGAAAAGAAACCGAAGCGGATGTAAATAATGCGTCACTTTCGCGTTCGTTTTCGCGCGAAATTGCCAACAATCTGGTAAATCCTTATAATTAAATCCCAGGCCCTGGTTGCATAAGCATAAGACAGCCAGCCAGCTGTCCAAATGGAACAACAACTGTAGCGCGACCAACAGGAATGAGGAATGAAGAAAGGAAGTGAGCCGCTCAAATTGAGGTGTAGAAAATGTGAGACTTGCGAAAACAAACGAATGACTGAAGCGACAAACTTGGCATGCGAGATCACAGACCCCCCTTGATACGCTGAGCCGAACTAAATGGTGTAAAAAACCCGTGTACGAAAATAAAACATTTATCGTTTTCATGCCGTCATTGTGTCTTAGAAGTGGCATACGACCACCAAAAACGGAAGTTGGCGACACGCCAGTTGGGAAAATGTGGACCATTCCATAAACCATTTCGCGGGGGAGGGGGGAACTGAAGTTTGGAGTTTGGAGTTTCAGTTAACGCCAAAACGTGGAGAAACAAAAGGTGAAAAATATGATGAATTATTAAATGAGAAGAAAAATGAAAGTGTTTTTTGTGCTGCTTCTGCTGCCGCTTCTCCAGCAGCGGGTTAAGTGCACACAGAGAAAAACTTCAAACGCAAGCTATTTCGAGTCGCAATCACCGTCTTTCAAAATATCCATTTATGCAAAATCACTCCAGTAAAGATAATTAAATGCTTTGGGAAGTTTAAGTACCTATTAGTTGCCTAAATGGAAATTCAATTTGCAATTACCTTTGAAATCACTGCTACTTATCTAAAATGGTATTTCATTTAAGTGCAGCTGTTGCTTTATTTTAATTTTAAAGCTTGAGTTGAAGGCCATGCCAAAATGTGTTGGATAATAAATAAATCAATGATATTTAAAATGTAATTGTTTTGAAAATGATATTTTTGTAATTTTTGTTAGACAAAAATTACTAAAAAAAAAACTAGTTATCTATCTGTTGCTTTATTTGCATTTTAAGCTTGAGTTGAAGGCGAGACCAAGCTTTACAAGATAATAAGTAAATCAATGAAATTTAAAATATAAATATTTAAAAAATAATATTATTGGAAATGAATTAAGTATACCAAAGTTACTGAAAATAGTTCATTGTAAAACTAGTTGTAATTTTTAGTTTAAATTAAATATAAAACATTAAAACTAAAAATAAAGTAATAGTTTTAAGTGAAAATGAAATCAGTCTTCATTAATCAAATTTGGTTTATTAAAATATAACATTAAGAAAGTTGTTTTATTTAAACAAATATTTGTATCCATTATGAATTGTTTGTATCCATACTAATGAATTAAGTAAAGTGATTAATACTTTTCCCAACACTAGGAGAAGATATATTTAAAACAAGAAATCAAAATCAACATAAAGATGTCGCCTCATATTATTAAGATAAGTTTCGTTTTTAAATGACCCACTGGTGTACCCCAGCGCTATGTTGGTGTGAAAACCATATTGAATAATGACCAATTTGGGTGCTATTTTTACTGTGCATACCGCGGCGTGACATGGATTGGCCCCGAGAAAGCTGGCCGGCGGAAGGAGGTCCACCTGCGCCGACAAGTGGCGGCATTTCGTGTGCGTGCCCCGTGGAATCGGAGCTGCGGGTGTGGGAAGCGGTCTTAGCGGGTCGGACCTGTGCGTGAGCCCCGCCAGCTAAGCTGATCTGCATAATGGGCACTACCGTCGAGCGATGAGAGATGAAATGTGGCTGCATAGCGCGCAATCCGTTGCAGGCCAAAAACAAATGTAAAAGTTGTCCAACCACTCGGCCAAGGGATCTCGACTTCAAATGGTGGAGCTTGGAACTTGGAATTGATTTGCAGGCTTTTCCCCATTCAAATGTGGGAGCAAAGATCTCAATTGTAATCTGACCATTGCAATTCATTTCATATTTCTCCCATTTGTGCAATTTTTGCAATGTGTCAATTGCAAATTACCAAGTAATGAGTAAATTGAAAGGCAATCGAACAAATATTGCGTATTTGTTTGTTATTGTGGCCAACAACAACAACAATAGGTTATGCAAACGGCGACAAATCAAGCAAATTAGCCGGTAAGACACGAGTGAGCAGGCAGCAACACTTTGCAAACAATTGGCCAGCACTGCAGAGTGCAAATATTGCCACCGAAAGGAGACGAAAACAAAAGACTTAGGCAACAAACTCGAGCCTCTTCTTGCAGCCCGGTGTGGAAATGAAAGGCAAGTCCTAATTTAGTAGCCAATCAAATGATACAATCCCAATTAACTAACCAATTCCAAAACCCATTTCTGTGTTGAGGGCGGTCAGTGACAGGTTTTTATGTCTTCCCTGTTAATTACTTAACTGCGGTGCGGTGACGAGCTAAGCGATGAGCAAGGTCGTTGCATAAAATACATAAAATTCAAATAAACAATCGGTAACCCTCGAAGAAAAAGCTCGCATAAATTAAACAAATACCAGGTCGCTGATAGCTGATGGCTGATAGCCAGCCGGAACCGCGATGAACTCTGGCCGCATTCACGAACCAATTGCGTAATATACTCTCTTTTGCCCTCTCATCGCCGTGGCGGGTGAAAAGACAAATAATTAAGAGGCCCCCAAACATGTTAACGCCACAAATTAGTAGGCAGCCTAATCGAGAGTCGAGCAATTTCGGTTCATCATTAATATTCATGGGGAATGCGTGCAGTCTGCAGTTCAAGATGCTGGTCGCTTGAGCAACATTTAATTAAACAAATATACGAGTATATGGCAAAGCCCGCACGATGACCACCGCATTGCGGATACTTGTACATTGCACATTGTACAGTGTACATTGTAATTGCGCGCCAAACAGAAAATTGTCTGCGGTCGCAAACCGCATTCCAAAATATGAATTCGTGTGTCGCCGCCGCATCCCCATCGGTACATTCACATCTTGACGGTCCGAAAAACTGGCCGCTGGCCACTGGCAACTCGTCTTCAATTGCAAGAGTTTTCCTTTTATTCGGTGGGCATCTTTCGATGGCGATGAACCAGCAAGGAAATAATTGAACGAGAAGTGAAAGGTGAATTCCTTGTTTAAGATAAAAAATTTACAGGGCTGCACTTGCCGAAACTTTCGGCCGGCAATCCAAATACATAATAATAATCGAATCAAAATCCAATTCAAAATCGAAATCCAAATCCCAATTCGTAGACGAAATAAATCCAATCAACTTTCTACACTCCACAGACAAGCGGCAAATGGACAGTTTGCATGCGTGCAGCATATTAAAATATGCTCAGCCTCGGCCTATTTGGGGAACCACTAGTTTTGGGCTTCGCGTTTGTGTGGACGGCAGGGGAAAAGACACAACAGGTGCTGAAGTGAGCAAGTGTCGTGAATAGCCGCTGGCCAAAAAGCCTCGAACAGAAAGCCAGCCCATTCTTCTTGGCTCAACAGACATGCGCAATGACAATCAGCATTTCCTTTTTCCACTTGCCTGAAAATTAGCCATGAAATACTCGTAGTTTTCTTTATTCGTTTACTAACTATACAATTCCAATAATGAGTTTCTGGGCCAGCTCCACTTTGGCATTTATTCGGAATCGCATTGAATTTAGGCAGCAGAAAAGAAGTTCAATAAACGAAGCCACTTACACGTCTTTTGTAAAGGTTACACACATCATGATCCAAATAGCAATGGCAGCCACTAATGATCATCAGGGGGATTTTCGGCTGCAAAAGTTTAGAGTCATCTCTTGTTGCTTTTTGCAAAATCCCCATCTGATGGCCATTTGGCGCCTCGATTTTGAAAGGCAGACGAATACACAAAACCACGGACAGACAGACAGCGATCGAAAGGAGGACAATTTGGATGTGATCTCGAGTCTCGGCTCTCGTGTTGATTTTGCTGATGATGCAGATGAAGACGCTAAATGAGCGCAGCGAACTGCCCCATTCAGTTCTTCAGCAGGTGGCTGATTGCATGTGATTCCATATTGCAAAAGGAATAAGATTGTGTAAATAATGAGATGCACAGAGAAAAATGATTGTTACAGATCGGAATATAATAACCAAATCAAAGGCAAGAACTTTGATATAGAAGAAATCGCGAAAAATGTTGAAAACCCATTTAATATAAAGTGAAATCGGGCAAGTGAAACTACAATATTTAACGGCATATTTATTGTTTTCTTTATAGGAATATAAAAGTACTCATACATTAAGTAGTTTTATAATATTTTAATGAATTTCACTTCTCATAGGCAAAACAATCAACAAATATTTCAATGGAAAAACATTATAAAGAAGCATACCTGTGTCGAATTTAATTTTAGGAAAACAAGAAAAGACCATGAAAAGATTATGTTATACAAAATAAAAAAAAAAACAAAATCTTTTGTAAATTAATAAAAATGACATTAATAATCCGCATATTTCTTTTTGTTATGAATATTTACCATTTGACTAATTTATGCTTTGAAAAATTTAGCAATCAATCAACAGAAAACTTAAAAAATATGTCTTTGAATGAAAATCCTCGTGATCACATTAAAGGCCAAGAAATTTGTTAATGCAGAAACAAAAATAAAATTGGGAAATGTGCAAATCAGGCAATGGCAGTGCTAACAAGAGTGCTGTAAACAATGGGACAATTTTCTGAGCAAATCCGCACATGTGCGGATCGCATGGATATAGTGTACCTATAGAGATCCATGAGATAGGCAGACATTTCTTCGCGTAACAAGTGCCAAGTTGAAGTCTTGGAGTCGCGGCAGCCGGAAGGCAATTTACACTTGGCTTACTTCGCTTACTTTTGTTTGTGCCCTGTAATGGAATGACACGATTTGTCAATGTCAACGATGGGGAAGAGGTCGCAGATCGCAGGTCAAGCCAGCGATGACACCTCTGGAGATTAATGAGCCCTGGCTGGTTACATAAGTGGCCACTTAACATTGCTTAGAGGCGTTCAGTTCACCCACTTACCAAATATGGCAGAGTTCTCATCGCAAATGTTTAATCCCGAGTCCTTGTGGCAAACAGCTGCTGAAAATCAAAACTATATTTAATAAGCACTCGCGTGAAGTCAGGTTAACTATAAATATAGCCGATCTTGCACTGCACCCACTCTTTTTTTGGCGATTATCCTTGAACACCGATCAGGATATATACTCGCAATTGGGAGACACGCGCGGAGCAATGGTTTTTAACTGCAACCAGGCCGAGTCGCTGCCGTATTGTAACTGAAACTACAAGTCGAATGTGGCCAACAGCTTGGCCCAAACGAAGACGAAGCCAGTGAAGAAAAGAGAGAGAGACGGCCGAGAGAGTTTCCAGCTCTTCGCCAGTGGAAGATGGACCCTCTCACCTCGTGGTGGGTTTTGCGGTTCAACTTGAAGATTCCAATACCAGATTCAAGTATTCTCAATCAAAGCATCGAAAGTGAATCTGGATGCCAGCAGTAAAAACAACACACCAGCCAGGTCGATTTTACTTTCAATGGCAAACGCTTCAGACGGGGAAATGAAAGAGAGTAGCCCGTAATGAAACCGAATTTGTGCCGCCAGCTGTCTGGTCAATGTGTGTTAAAATCGCCGGCAAAATGTCGGACAAACAGACCCAAAAGTGGGCACATTAAGAGAGCCACGCCAAAAATACAATGCTGGGCACTAACAACAACGGGCAAAAAAAAAAACGAAATGAAATGGCCCAAAACAAAACCGCAATCGAAGACCTAATGAACAGCTTGTGCAGATTTCGGTGGCTCTTGGCTCTTGTTTTATGGCTCCTTGGATTACAAGCGATATGACAGGCCAGACAAAAGAGTAGGGAGTGAAAGGAAGTGCAACCAGTTTTGTGAAATTATTAAAATAAACCGTTCTTATGCGCAAATTATATATTGGGTTAGTGGGGCAAACGAAATGGGTTTAACTTATTTATGGAAATGTTTGTTAATGGTCTTATTGGTCCATTTTCAGCAACCTGTTTTTTTTGAGATTTAAAAAAATAAAGTAGCATAATAAAAACACAACTTTTTACAATATTTTCTACAAAAAACATTTTAAAATATATATTCACACTACTACTATAGCTATGTCATAATTTTTTAATTACAACACAACTTGAAATCGTTGCCTTAATAATTAGCACCAATTCATATAAAAAATCATTATGAAATTGATTACCAGTAATTAGTTAAATTTGTTATTTTTGGAACACAGTATAACACAAATATAAAAAGTATAACACAATTTAAGAGAGAAATAAAATACTTAAAAAATTAAAAAAAAAGCAATCAGGTAATCCAGTTTATAAACAACGATTTTTCTTTCGTTGCCCATGAAGAAATATAATGTAGTGCATTATATTAATGTTTGTTATAAATATTTTAAGTGGCAACAAAAACTTGAAAATTTGACGTAATTAACACCAAGCAATTAGAAACACTTAATTGTAAAAGTAATTACAAAATTGACAAGTGTGCTTCTAGGAAAATGTATATAGACCATTAAATAATACCCCATAGGTGACCAATCAAATGCTTAATCGGTTTCTTTTCAAGTATGTTTATTAAGAAAATATTTTCGTTGAAAGATATTGAACAATGTTCGACTGGCAGTGCAAGTGGTTAGCTATGTAAACATTTACCGGCCATAAACAGCCGGATTCGCCATCCACTAGCACGCACGCAAGCCATTACAACCAAATCAAGCATACGCAGTGTGGAGTGACAAACAAAGCATTTTTGCCTGTCGTTCGTTCGTTCGTTCGTTGGAGATGGCTGCAGTTGCCGTTGCAGCGGAGATGAGTTGTGCTCCACAGCTGGTCATGGCCAGGCAATTTGCAATAACCAAAAATCAATGACCGACCGGTTTTGCATAGGCTTTCGGTGCTGGTGCTGGTGCTGCTTGGCGATGGTAAGGTATGGTAACGTAACAACTTTCGCTGAAACGTCATTCAGCGGCAGCGGAGAGCAAAATGGCAAAAGGCAGGCCAAAAGAGATAAAGCCGCGATATCATCGCCATCCCATGATGAAGCAGAAGAAATTCAGTTTCAGTGTCGCCTTTGCCATTGCCTTTGCCTCTGTCTCAGCCTCTGCCTCAGCCTTAGTCTTAGTCTTCTCTTTCTGTTCGATTTTGGCCATAAATGCATGGCGTTCGGACCAGTTTGTGGCAGTTCGGAAGTGCAGCTGCATGGCGGGGAAGCGCCCCATTTGAATAATTGAAATCCACTTGCACTGCAATTAAGAGCATAAAACGAAATGTTTGCGTTTATGCACTTTCCATGCGGGACACCCGTCCAAGTCAAACAAAATCGAATGCAATGAGCCAAGTCAGGCCTTAGCTCAAATTGCCGGAAAATTTCATTTCAGCAATCGAATTGTCTGACTGCCCAGCGCTCTTAAAACATGCATAGAAATGGAAATGCACTTGGTGTTCGAGTTCGAGTTCATTTACGAGTTTGGCAGCGGAAGTTGTTAAAGGCCTGTTGAGAAATTCAAATGGGGCAATCGCACGCACAAGGCCAAAATGGTTTGGTTTTACCCCCTGAAGGAGACATTCTCAGCTTACTGAAACCCGAGTCCCGCATAAATGTCAGCCCGAAAACACTTTAGAGTGCTGCCGTTAATAGCCATACATGGTTTGAGGAAAAGTGTTGAACACGGATATTGCATGACAACCAGATATGCAGAAATATATACACAGTTTTTAAATACCTTTCAAATTGCTTGGGTTACTCTTCACATTCTGTCATATTATAACTGGGCAATAAAAAGGACTCGTCCTTTTTGCATTTCCAACAGTTTAGCGATGGCTTTGTCATGGCTTGTCATATTTCTCAGCTGCTTTGGCCAGATGAGTGCCCAGTTTTTCAAAAATACTCAACCCAGTGATATTGAGTTGGAGGAGAGGTTACTACGAGTACTATTAAGACTTAATTTGGAAGAAGAGTACAATACTGTGCTGGTCTACGGAGAAGAATGTGTGTTCCAATCATTGCTAAGACACTTGGGAGTACCCACAATACTTGTGGCTTCGGGTAGCACAAATTACGATTGGAGTTTCAGCACCTCGACTCTCATACTTACTTGTAAATTTGATGCGGAGAACGAGGAGAATTCCAAAACCCTACTTAATTTACAAAGAAACAGAAGGCTTGTCTATCTGCAGGAGAATATTCCTCATGAATCTGTTTGCAACAAATACGCCCTCAAAGAGCAACATAACATTGCCATGGTCAAGTCTAACTTTGTGCAGTCGGATATCATTTACTCCTGTCGCTACTTTCAGACACCCAACTATGAGGAGAAACGCTTCTTTGAGCATCAACCCATCTATATTGAGAACTTTCTGAATATGCATGGCTCTGCCATAAGAACTGTGCCGGATCTTTTGGTGCCGCGAACTATGGTTTATCGGGATAAGAAGACAGGCGAGACCAAAATTCAGGGTTACCTGGCCAACTTGATAGTCACCTACGCGCAGAAACTGAACGCCAGTCTGGAGATTGTAAACATAACTGAGCTGGGCGTCCAGAAGGCCAGTGTTTTGGACATTACGAACTGGGCTAAGGAGGATAAGCTCGACATTGGCACCGCCTTGTCCAGTTCCTTGCAGTTCAAGAGCTCGGATGTCGTGTGGTATCCCTACTTGCTCACCGGCTACTGTCTGATGGTTCCAGTGCCCGCCAAGCTGCCCTACAACCTGGTCTATTCGATGATTGTGGATCCGGTGGTGCTCAGCATTATCTTTGTGATGTTGTGCGTGTTCTCGATTCTGATTACTTACACCCAAAACCTTTCGTGGCGCAACCTCACTCTGGCCAACGTCCTGCTGAATGACAAAAGTATCCGTGGTCTCTTGGGTCAATCGTTTCCGTTTCCGCCGAACCCAAGCAAACACCTCAAGCTGATCATCTTTGTGCTGTGCTTCGCCAGCGTTATGATCACCACCATGTACGAGGCCTATTTGCAATCCTATTTCACCCGTCCGCCGTCTGAGCCATATATTCGTTCCTTCCGGGACATTGGCAACTTTACGCATCGGATGGCTATTAGCAGGGTGGAGGTGAATGTGCTAACCTCGCTGAACAACTCGCATTTTCGGGAAATAAAAAAGGACCAGCTGCTGATCTACGATGACTGGTCGGAGTACCTAGGGCTGCGTGACTCCTTCAACACGAGCCTCATCTTTCCGGTTTCCGAGGATCGCTGGACCACCTACGAGGAGCAACAGAAGCTCTTTGCGGAACCCGCCTTCTATCTGGCCACCGACCTCTGCTTCAACCGGCTCATGTTCTTCAGTCCCCCGATGCGGCGGTATTTGCCACATCGCCACCTCTTCGATGCACACATGATGCAACAGCACGAGTTTGGCATGGTGGGGTTCTGGAGGAGACAGAGCTTCCTTGTAATGGTTCAGCTGGGCCTGGGTTCCATGAAGGACCTAAGTCACAAGAGGGACATTGCGGCGAGTCTTTTGCTAGACGATATCTCCTGGATACTCAAGCTTTATCTGGGAGCCATGGCTCTGAGTGTTTGCTGCTTCGTATTGGAGCTATCGCGATGCAGTGAGAGGTGGAGTCGTTTTTGGAGACCTAGAAGGTGAACAAAATGTCGTATAACATTGTATTAAGAGAATAAATTACTGCTTTGTTTATATAAAAAGAAATGATGACAATATTTCTGATGAGTTAATGTTGCAGAAAGATAACAATTATTTTGGGACAAGGGGAACAGTTTACTTTGAAGAAGCGTAAATATATATTTTTAAATTCTAATCTGAAAATATCTAAACTGAGGCTATTCAGTCAGAATAAATACTTTTACCCCTTTACTCTTTACTTTTGTAGATATTGCTTTTACAAGGTTAACAACACAAAAAATGCATGTGATAGGCAAATATGTTTTCCAACCAGCAGTATGTCCAGAAATGTAGACACCAACACAATTTTTTATGGTAAATGTTTTTCAAAAGTAACACAGCCTGAACATTTTTAAATGGGCCATCAAACATTTAGCACATAGTATAAACCCCTTATGGGCAGAAAGCATGCAAAGTATTTAATTAAGTAGATCGGACTACAAACGGGGAAAACACATGGTATTAAATCAGTACGGTGAAGACCATGGTTGGGCTAACAATTTTTATCCTCTGCCTGGGACAAATAAGAGGTCACATCCCGGATGTTCCCATGCAAAGTGAACAAGACCTAGAAGAGGGATTATTTAACCTTCTTTTAAAACTTAGTCATGAAGAAGTATTTGAAACACTGCTGGTCTATGGAGAGAACTGCGTTTTCCATGCGCTATCGAGACGTTTGGAGGTTCCAACAGTGCTGGTGTCTTCGGGGAGCACCAGTTTTGATTGGAGCTTCAGTAGCCTAACTTTGATACTTAGTTGTGGTCCAGACGATGAGAGGGAATCGATCTTTCGCACACTCATTAAACTTCAAAGGAACAAGCGCCTGATTTACCTACCAAAGGATACGCAACCAGACTCTGTGTGTGATAGCTATTCACAGAAAGAGCAATACAATGTAGCCATGGTGAAAGAGGACTTTAACAAGACGGGAGTGATATACACCTGTCGTTTTTATACATATCTCGAAATTGAAGAAGTAGGTCTGAATGATAGTAAGCCGATCTACATTGAACACTTTCAAAACATGCACGGAAAGCCCATCACATCAATGGCAGATCTAGTGCCTCCCCGATCCATGCTGTATTTAGATAAAAAGAGCGGAAAAAGGAAATTGACTGGCTATCTGGGCAATCTGATGAATAGCTTTGCACAAAAAGTTAATGCCTCCTTGCAATTTGAAATCCTAAGCACACAAGTCAGCTTTACAGAGATAATAAGGAGGGTAAGACAAGAGGAGCTTGACATTGGCATTTCTTTGGAGGCCTCAATGTTTTCAGCTGGCTTTGACACAACCACTTACCCATTCTTGCTAACCAGCTACTGTTTGATGCTTCAGTTTCCCTCAAAGTTGCCAATTAACCGGGTATTTGCAATCATCATAGATCGTCGCGTGCTCGGTATTATCTTAGTGATTTTCTGTCTGCTTTCCTTGTTGCTTATTTACAGTCAGAAAATGTCCTGGCAGAATCTGAGCTTACCCAATATCCTGCTTAATGACATAACACTGCGTGGCCTCTTGGGTCAATCACATCCGTTTCCCTCCAATGCCAGCAAACATTTGAGGATGATTTTCTGCATCTTGTGCTTCGCCAGCATGATGATGACCACCATGTATGATGCCTATCTTCAATCCTTCTTCACCAATCCGCCATCGGAAAATCCAGTTCGTTCCTTCAAGAATATTGGAAAACTTAAGCAAAAGCTGGCGATCGCCGCAATGGAGGCGAGATCACTGAGCTTTGTCAACAATTCTCAATTTTGCGAAATCAACACAGATGACATTCAAATCATTGACGGATGGAAGGATTTTTTAAAAATGCGCGACTCGCTTAACATTAGCTATAGTTATGTGGTGACAGAAGATAGCTGGAACATCTATGCTGAGCAGCAAAAAATCTTCAAAAAGCCAATTTTTTACTACGCAAGGGATCTCTGCTTTTCCCGCCAGGTGTTCATGTCCATTCCCATGCGAAAATACTTGCCGTATCGACACATCTTCGAGGAACACATGGTGCGGCAACAAGAGTTCGGATTGGTGAGCTACTGGAGGAGTCGCAGCTTTTTCGAGATGGTGCGACTAGGCATAATGCCCCTCAAGGACCTTAGTCCGCCCACAGTGTATGATCAAGGCCTACTGCTCCAAGATGTCTCCTCTATTATGAAAATGTATGTCGCCGCCATGCTGGTCAGCATTTTCTGCTTTTTATTCGAAATATTAAGCAGAAGTAAGTTTTGGAGCCATTGCCGAAGTTTAAGGAAGTAACAGTTGAATAACCTTAGTACCTACTAATCGTTTATGTGTCGTCAGGAGATCGTTGGACTTCCGTTGCGGAGCAACAGAAAATCTTCAAGAAGCCAGCTTTTTATTACGCCACAGACCTTTGCTTCTCACGTTTGATATTCCTGTAAATTCCCCTTCGTAAATATCTGCCATATCGCCATCTCTTCGAGGAACACATAATACGACAGCACGAGTTCGGATTGGTGAACCACTGGATGGCAAACAGCTTCCTGGACAAGGTTAGACTGGGCATAACGCCCTTCAAGGACCTTAGTCCTCCAACAAGGCAGGAAGCAAGTTTAGTTGTGGAAGATATTTCCTGGCTTCTTAAACTTTATGTTGCCAGCATGGTGCTCAGCATTTTCTGCTTTTTGTCTGAGATTTTTAGCAAAAGTGAGAAGTGGAGACGCTGGCAGGGAATAACAAAGTAACTCGAATGCTTCAAGTACCAGATAAACAACCACTGACCCTGCTTTCAATAAAATGATTATATATGACCAGCCTATACTTTGGACTCCGGGAGCCTCTCAAACAACACATTTGAATCAATTGAAATTTTTCAAAAATAAATATATTACCAAAAAAAATTGTCTATTTAAGTTTTTTTCATTCAATTAAATAAATACAAATTATAACACTTTTAAAGCATTTTAATAATGGGTGGTTATTTCAAAATTATTTGAATATTTAGTCTTTTTGAGTTTACTTAACGAAATTCACGTTTTAATTGGCTAATAAAAGGTTGTACCCTTATAATTACCAACGCAAACGAATCACGGAAAGTGCATGACAAAAGTATTTAAAATGTCATGACTGCTGAAGGTTCCAAACAATTTTTAAAATGGTGCAAAATTCTGAGCTAAAAATTGTTAGATGTAAATAATAACGAATATAAATCTTGAATACTGTAGATATAGGGAGTGAACATTTATGGTTTATTAACAGTCCAGGTACAAGGTGGTCATGAGCTGGGCCGAGGTAGACATGTTGCGATTCGGGAACGACCACAAGCTGCAGAAGGTGAGCGCCGAGCGTATCCAGATGTTCGAAGACTGAGTAATTCGAGCACAACTATATCTTTTCTTGACTATGTTAAGACTGGATCTTACACCGCATACGGATTTTAGCGAGCCTCCCGAGGCATTGGTTATCGACGTAGATGATCTCTACTGGGTCTTGGGCTTATATTTACTTGCATTGGGCATCCGCTGCTAAATAAGGAAGCGCTTTTAATTAACATCTTAATACTAAGTATTTTATTACAGTATATGGCCCACATTTAAATAAGCTTATTTATATTAAATCATTTCACTGGAAACTCTGAAATTGAGGCTGTTATTGTTGTACTGATATGCTATACTTAAATTTACGATGTTGATAGATTTTAATTTGGTACGAAAATTTATAGACCTCAATCTGCGACGCGACTTCCAATTAATAAACTTCATTGGGCTTAGTATTTTCTGCTTCTTATGTAAAATAAAACGATGGGGAATACTGGAGAATAAACAAAAACGACAGAAAGCCATTAAAACCTACCCTTGAGTCTATAAAATTGTAATGCCAATACTAATGGTTCAATCATGTGTTTTAGAGCTCAAACCTTTCAGGCTTGTTAACACAATACACATGGGAAACATGAATATGGCATGCCATTCTAACAGTTCATGCATATTAAAAGTACAAAACGTGCGGAAAGCTCACGAATTTTCCCAGTGACATGGAAACCATGGCCTGGTGGATTATCCTTCTTCTCTGCGCTGGGAACTCAGGTGCCCAGTTAATGGATATAGCCAGTAAAAGTGAACCCTACTTAGAGGAGAGTCTTTTTAATCTTCTTCTAAGATTGCAACTGGAGGAAACCTACGACACTTTGCTTGTCTATGGCGAAGATTGCGTTTTTCACTCCCTGTCCAGACGTTTGGATGTCTCCACAGTGCTGGTGTCCGCAGGTAGCACCAACTTCGATTGGAACTTCAGCAGTCTGACCCTGATAGTTAGCTGTGACCCCGAAGCAGAGAGAGAGGCAACCTATCGCACTCTTATAAAGCTGCAAAGAAATAGGCGTCTGCTCCACCTGCAAGGCAATATCCAACCAGAGTCTGTGTGCAATCGCTATTCACAAATGGAGCAATACAATATAGCAATGGTGAGAGAAGATTTCAATCAAACGGGAGTTGTCTACGCCTGTCGCTTATTTGAAAATCCTAAAGTTGATGAAGTGAACTTACTGGACATAAGAGAAATTTACATTGAAAACTTTAAAAACATGCTTGGCAAACCTATAAGAACAGTGGCGGATCTTTTGCCCCCTCGTTCCATGATATATTTGGATGCAAAGAGCGGTGATAAGAAATTGACAGGGTATGTGGCCAACTTGATTACCAACTTTGCTGAGAAAGTAAATGCTTCCTTGCAACTGGAAGATTTGGGCAATAAATACATTGTAAGGGAAATACTAAAGATGGTGGAGAACGAAGAGCTTGACATTGGCACTACTTTGGATATCTCTTTGAGGACAGCGATCCTTGAAACATCCAGCTACCCATACATTCTGACGTCGTACTGTTTAATGCTGCATGTACCTGCCCAATTGCCCTACAATATGGTCTATGCGATTATTCTGGATCGCCTAGTCCTCGGCATTATCTTTTTGCTGTTCTGCCTACTCTCCGTACTGTTAATATATAGTAAGAAAATGTCGTGGCAGGACCTGAGCCTGGCCAACATCCTGCTAAACGACAAGAGCCTACGCGGCCTCTTAGGCCAATCGTTTCCGTTTCCCGCCAACGCAAGCAAACACCTGAGGATCATATTTTGCATACTTTGCTTTGCAAGCATCATGATAACCACCATGTACGAGGCCTATCTGCAATCTTTTTTTACGAACCCCCCATCTGAATCTAAAATTCACTCCTTCCGGGATATTGGTAAACATCACCCAGTTGCAATCCCCTCAATTGAGATTGATGCCCTGATCAGGACAAATAATTCGAATTTCCAAGAAATTCGTAAAGACGATTTAGTGATCTTTGACAATCTGCCGGAGTGCTATGTACTGCGCGACTCATTTAACTCCAGCTACAGTTTTGCGGTGACGGGAGATCGTTGGAGCTCCTACGCGGAGCAGCAGGAACTCTTCAAAGAGCCAGTCTTCTATTTCGCAAGAGACCTCTGCTTTTCTCGCCTGCTATTCATGTCCATTCCCCTGCGAGCGCACCTGCCATATCGACACCTCTTCGAGGAGCACATGATGCGACAGCAGGAGTTCGGCCTGGTGATTTTCTGGCGGGGCAACAGCTTCTTCGACATGGTGCGACTGGGACTGACACCTCTCAAGGACTTAAGCCATCCAAGAGCATACTCCCCAAGTCTACTATTGGAGGATGTCTCTGGGATACTGAAACTCTACCTGGCTGCCATGGTGCTCAGTATTTTCTGCTTTTTATTGGAGTTGGGTGAAAAAAAGTGGAGGCGCTGGCGTGATTTGGCGAAACAACTTTGTTCTAAGTTTGACTTTCGCAGAGGACTATAGCTCACTTATCATCCCAATTTCTTAGAGGTGATGTTTTAAACATGGCTTTTTGGTTGCTATTGAGCTTTTGGGACCTTTAAGCTACTGGATAACCTTAAAAACATTTAACTTAACATAAGTTAATTAGTAGTCTTTATCTCTTTTAATATACTTTATACTTTTTTTTTTTAACTTTTTGATGTGTAAGCGGTAAATTAATAAACTTAAATAACCATGGCTATACTATGATGGCCTTTCCTTTATCAATGCTAAGGAAATGTTGTTTAGTGTTTTTTGAGCGAACGCAGCTATTACCTTACAAGGAAGCCATATGGCCAAAAAAGATCGTGGATATTTAGTGTGCTTGGCATATTTAAGTTCTGGTTGAAGTTAATAGCACTTTATTAATATGCTTACAGCTGATCTGCGGTCTATTGCTGATGTAGAGGGACAATCTAAAATAACTGTTTGCAGAGGATGGGGGTGCTGCACGCTCTTAGCTTCTAGTTTTGGCTATGCAGTTCAACATATGGCGCCACCTAAACAGCCATTGTTTTGTGAGGGTATATTTAATTTGAAATTTGTTAACTAAATAACGGTTTCTTATAGACGGTGACCTGAACTGTAGCTTTCTTATTTGTTTGATTTAGATTTGGTTATGGTTTAATAAGTTAATTTATAGAAGCTCAGTATTTTCTGCAAACACAATAGAAAACCATTAAAATTTATCCTTGAGTCCACAAATTTGTAATGCCACCCCTGATTGCCAAATCATGGGTTGTAGTTCAGGATTGTTAACACAATCCACCAGGGAAACATAAAAAGTACATGCCATTTTAACAGTTCATGCATATTACAAGTACTAAACGTGAGGAAAGTTCACAAATTCTCACAGTGACATGGAAACCATGGCCTGGTGGGTTATCCTTCTTCTCTGCGCTGGGAACTCAGGTGCCCAGTTAATGGATATAGCCAGTAAAAGAGAACCCTACTTAGAGGAGAGTCTGTTTAATCTTCTTCTAAGATTGCAACTGGAGGAAACCTACGACACTTTACTTGTCTATGGAGAAGATTGCCTTTTCCACTCCCTGTCCAGACGTTTGGATGTCTCCACAGTGCTGGTGTCTTCGGGAAGCACTAATTTTGATTGGAATTTCAGCACCCTAACACTTGTACTTAGTTGTGGGTTTCAAGCCGAGAAAGAGGAAAACTATCGAACCCGGATGAAGCTGCAAACAAACAGGCGTCTAATCCTTCTGAGGGATGATATTCAACCAGAGACTGTATGCGAATATTACACGAAAAAGGACCAGTATAATATAGCCATGGTAAAAGTCGACTTCGATCAGTTTGGAGAAGTCAACTCCTGTCGCATTTTTCAAGACCGAAAATATAAGAAGATCAATATTTTCGAGGGTCAACACATTTTCATAGAACAATTTCGAAACATGCGCGGAGCTCCGATCAGAACAATCACAGACAACTTCGCTCCCGGATGCATGATTTACAGAGACCCGAAAACAGGTGAAGAGAAGTATACTGGATTTCTGGCTAATTTGATAGTCCACTTCGTGAAGAAGGTAAATGCCACCATGGCTATGCAGCTTAATTTGATTGAGGACGGAGGGCAAATATCGTTCGATAGTATTTCAAATTGGACGTCGGAGGACCTTCTGGATATTGGCATGAGCGAAGGCGCATCCTGGGACATGTCGAACTACGATACGCTTTCTTATCCGTACCTAGTAACATCTCACTGCTTCATGGTTCCTCTTCCGGACTTGGTGCCATTCAGAGAGCTGTACATGCTAATCGTAGATCCCCCCGTCCTGGCCGCGCTCTTTGTTATATTCTGCACCATCTCGCTGCTCCAGTTCTACACCCAGAGGAAGTCCTGGCGCGGCTTGAGCCTGTCCGGCGTGCTGCTAAACGATATTTGTTTGAGGGGATTTGTTGCTCAGCCGTTTCCCTTTCCACTTCAGTCCAGCAAAAAACTGAAACTGCTGTGCCTGATTGTTTGCTTTACCAGCCTCATGAGCACCACCATGTATTTGTCATATCTGCAGAGCTTCATGTGTGGTTTGCTGCACGAGCCGATGATGCGCAGCGTACTCGATGTGGAGAAGTCCAGGTACAAGGTGGCCGTACCCTGGTTCGAACTGGATGTGCTGCTAAGCTTTAACATCACCAAGGAGAAGATGCTGATCATAGAGGACGCCGACCAATTCGATCTATTGCGGAGGAGCTTTGATGGTAATTTTATCTACCCGATAGTGGAAGCACGCTGGAGCACCTTCAACGAACAGCAGAAACTCTTCGCCAACCCCATGTTCTACTACTCCGATTCACTCTGTCTATACAACGTCGACACCTTGACTATTCCTATTCGACGACACCTGCCCTATCGTGATCTCTTCGAGGAGCACATTATGCGCCAGCATGAGTTTGGCTTGCCGATGTACTGGATCGCTCGGAGCTTTATGGATATGGTGACCCTCAAACTTACGCCGTTTCAGGACTTAAGTCCACCACGCCGGAATGATCAAATCGAAATAGGGGATATTGTTTGGGTTTTAGGCATGTTCGGGGCTGGATTAGGCATAAGTTGCTGCTGCCTTGCCATTGAGCTTTTGGGATCTCTAAGCTGCTGGAGACGCTTTAAACTCTTAGGATTAAGGGTTAGGAATTGATATCTTTGTGACCAGAGCTTTGATTAATCTTTGTACTGTACTTTAAAATATGTTTCATCGCTATCTGAATAAAGCTAAACAATTTATTATGAATAATGGTGGCTCTATTGGTGATATAATTTGTTTACTTCTGAATGGATATGAGTGAAAACTAAAAATAACGGTCAGATACCCGTGATTATATTATAATAATTACCTTTTTAAAACATTGACATACTAACATTTGCCATACCTTATTAAATGTTTCAATAAAAACAAGTCCTATATCTCTCTTTATTCCGGAAATCTCGACGTATATTAGCTTATTTACTCTTTCATCGTCCTTGAACTTTTAGCCATGTTAACACAATGTGCGAAACATAACAATGCACTATGGGGCAAACGACTACTTTTTGTGGCATTAATTAATAACTTAAAAACGAAGACATTTTCTGGGGCTTTGTTTTTTAAATTAAGTCCATGATACGGAAAGCAAGGTTTAAAAAAAAATGGGTGGGGCTACGCCCTTTTTAGGGATTTTTTTTTTTTGCTAAATATTTTTTTTGTATTCAAAAGATTATGTTAAAAAAGTACACGTTTGGAAAAAAAATGGGCATGGTTTTTTATTAGGAATTAACATTTTATTCTTTTCTTTTCTTTTCTTTTTTTCTTTTTTTTTTTTAGAAAAGTAATTAAATAATATACAACATGTAACAAGTTTTAGAGTTTGAAAGTGATTAAATCACTTTGTAGCTCTATTTAAAAATAACAAATCACTACAAGCTTTTAGTTTTTTTGGGGTTATATCTTACACAAGATGCAAGGGCCAAAACAATCATTATCTATCAATATATAGCTGCCTTTAACAGCTGAAAGCTTAACAGTGATGCGCTCTGTTCAAATTTTTTGTTTGCAACTTTAATATTAGAGTTATTGCAATCCATCGCGATTGAAACAAAAAATATTTAACGACTGTTAAAAATATGTTTTGGCCGAAAAATGTGGTCGGTGGCCCCATAATGCAATGGCATGCCTAACGAACATTAACAGCAATAAATTAGAGGCGTTTAAGGTACAAAACGTGAGCAGTGCACGGTATATTAAACAGTCACATTAGAGCCATGGCTTGGTTAGTTAGCATTCTTTTCTGCCTCGGGATTTCAAGGGCTCAGTTCTCGGATATAATTGTTAACGGGAATCTAGATCTACAGGAAATACTATTAAGACTTCTCGCAAAATTGCACCTCGAAGATAAGTACGACATACTGTTAATCTACGGAGAGGATTGTGTTTTTCCTTCCCTAACCAGACGTCTGCCAATATCCACAGTGCTGGTGTCTTCGGGAAGCACAAACTTCGACTGGAACTTCGGCTCCCTAACACTTATAATTAGTTGTGGGTTTCAAGCCGAGAAAGAGGAAAACTATCGAACCCGGATGAAGCTGCAAGCAAACAGGCGTTTAATCCTTCTAAGGGAGGATATTCAACCAGAGACCGTATGCGAATATTACACGAAAAAGGACCAGTATAATATAGCCATGGTAAAAGTTGACTTCGATCAGGACGGAGTAGTCCACTCGTGTCGATTTTTTCAAGACCAAAAATATGAGAAGATCAATATTTTCGAGGGTCAACACATTTTCATAGAACAATTTCGAAACATGCGCGGAGCTCCGATCAGAACAATCTCAGACAACTTGGCTCCTGGATGTATGATCTACCGGGATCCAAAATCAGGTGAAGAGAAGTACACCGGATTCGTGGCCAATTTGCTAAACAATTTCGTGGAAAAAGTTAATGCCACCATGGAAATGCAGGTTAATTTAAATGAGGCCGGAGAGAAAATATCGTTTGTGAATATTTCAAAGTGGACGGCGGAGGACCTTCTGGACATTGGCATGAGCGAATCCGCATCCTGGCATATGTGGAACTACGATACGCTTTCTTATCCGTACCTAATAACTTCCCACTGCTTCATGGTTCCTCTTCCGGATTTGGTGTCGTACAATGACCTGTACTTGCTAATCATAGATCCGCCCGTCCTGGCCGCGCTCTTTGTTATATACTGCACCATCTCGCTGCTCCAATTCTACACCCAGAGGAAGTCCTGGCGCGGCCTAAGCCTGTCCAGAATGCTGACGAACGATATGTGTTTGAGGGGATTTTTGGGTCAGTCGTTCCCATTTTCCCGTCACTCCAGCAGAAAACTGAAACTGCTTTGTCTGATTGTTTGCTTTACCAGCGTAATGCTCACCACCATGTATGTGTCATACCTGCAGAGCTTCATGTGGGGCACTCTGCGCCAGCCGATTATGCTGAGCGTACTCGATGTGGAGAGGTCCAGGTACAAGGTGGCCATACCCAGTTTCGAATTGGAAGTGCTGCTAAGTTTAAACCTCAGCGTGGAGAAGTTGCTGATCTTCGAGGACGCCAGCCAATTCGAGCAGTTGCGGGAGACCTTTAACGGCGATTATATCTACCCGATTACCGAAGTCCGCTGGATCACCTTCAACGAACAGCAGAAGCTCTTCGCATATCCCCTATTCTACTACTCACATTCACTGTGTCTATACAACGTCGACACCTACACTGTTCCCATAAGACGTCACCTGCCCTATCGCGATCTCTTCGAGGAGCACATTTTGCGCCAGAATGAGTTTGGTTTGCCGAGGTACTGGATCGATCGAAGCTTTACCGATATGCTATGGCTAAAACTTAAGCGGTATGAGGACTTAAGTCCACCACTCCTGGATGATGAAATCGAAGTAAAAAATCTTTTTTGGGTATTAGGCATGTTTGTGGCTGGATTAAGCATAAGTTGCTGTTGTTTTGCCATTGAGCTTTTGCGATCTATAAGCTGCCGGAGACGCTTTAGAATACCTATGTGTAAAAGGGTTAAGAAATAACTTCTTTGTCTCTATTTAAATTTAGACTTACTTCATCATTGCCTTGAATTTTAGGAACATTTGTCTCGTAAGCTAAGCAAAGTTAATAAATGTTTTAATTTGTTACGCTTGAACTTTAAACCATCAATATTAAAACTTAAGGTTGCCTTTCATTTATTTACGTTTTGGTTGGTGTCGGGAGAAAAAAGTCCGATTTTAACATTTAGCTCTTGTTATTTCCGAGATCATGAAGATTTATTTAATTAATTTTATTTAAAAATTTATTTGGGAATTAGATGATGCTATTTCGCCTCGAAGATTCTGGAATTTATAAGATTCTGGAGACGCCTAAGAAATGAATACTTTTATCTTTACAAATTCGAATAAGCTCTTTGACTAAAATATTTTGCAACATAATCTGAATTAAATGGAAAAGTTTCGCTAGCATGACTAAACTAATTCCGCTCAACCTTCGTCAAAGCCATAAAACAAACAAAGAAATGTTGAATTGGGATTAGCCACCTCCGCACAATAAATGATAGCGGATATGGAGACGCAGCGGTTATTGTTGGCCCTGTGTTATTCAAATGGGTCCGAATCATCACATCGGAGGTTGCAAACATTGAGACAATGCTCAATTTTGGATATTGATCGATACGCGATATTGATTTTGATGTGGATTTAAAAGACAATCGGACGTATCTATAGCTGTCCATCTGCGATGCGATTGTGAAGACCCCCATCGAAATGTGCATTCCATCTGATATGATGAGTCGACCCAATGAACTGAGCAAATGTTCGATGACATCTCACATGATTGGCTCTTACATAAATATGCCCAAAAGCAGACGACAATGCGGGTGTCTCAGCAGGGTCCGGGGATTATGCAAAACACCAACTTGCTACCGCCATAAAGTCGCCTTAGTTTGTGCATATTCGATCCGATTCATAATTTTGATCGTCACTTTGGCGCCACTTTTGACGCGTGCTGATTGGACCTAGGGCACTGGAATTAAAATTGGAATTGGGATGTTGAATTGGGGATTGAGGATTGGGGATTGGGTAACCGGCTAACCCCCAAACTGATATAGTGGGTGAGACAATGGCTTGGCATTGTCATGGCCAAGCCAGTCAGTATCGTGAAATCTTTCACTTTCGATTTAGTTGTAAACGAAGTTCCCCTTTTAAAATCGATCGAACTGGATCATAAATCACGCTGGCTAGCGTATGACAATGTGGCATCATTACGCTTTCCAGGCTGATCAATTTGTCATGGGAAGTCGTGGACTTGCTCCAGCTCTGATCTGATATAATCCGATCCGATCAGATCCGACCTGTGCTCATCCCTACTCTCAACGCAATCATCGCAATTGCTCAACCTTTTGACATTTGCAAAGGCATTCGAGGCGAAGCGAAACGAAAGTCGAATCCGTAAAATCTATGGCAAACATTTTTCAATTGCTAACCCAATCCCAATTCTGTTATTATCATCCGCCGTTGACTGCCCATTTCCATTGATGGATGGTGATCGTTAGTCGACCATTTCTTGGCTGCTTGTGTGATCTTCAGGGTCATTTAGATTTAATAGATTTCTGCGGCTCGAGTCATTATGGCCAGCACCTTAACCGCAGTCGGCTCACATGTGTAACAATGTCTGTCTGGCAGCGGTTAAACTGTTTTTCGCTTGTTGTTTTTAACCCTTTTTTTATTGTTGGAAGCGCATTAATGAGACCTCGTTGGGGGCTTCAGGCACCCTCGTTATTGAATAGAGTAATTTTGAAAAATTATTTATCGAGCACTTCTGCTATTTACACAAACTTTTTTGCAGCCCCTCGACGGCGGCTTAAGTTTCAATCCGGTTGCGGCTCATAACACTTAAGAGCCAACTAATTCGGCCTCAGGCCATTAAGCATTTCACAAATGTGCTGAAAATGCATAATTTTCGGTGGCGCTAATAAAAGAGTATTTCAAATTTCAAATTTAAGAGGTGTTAATTTTTTCGACCAGAGAAACTAATCTGTTTCAATGCCGGATTCGCTGCATTTTAACAAACTAGTATTTTGAGGTCGCACATAAAATGAAATTCCGATTCCAAAATCTCGTCTCCCTCTTTCTGCTCTGTGTTTCGGGGGTTTTCAGTAACTAAAACAAAGGCCCCCGCCAAGCAGGTTCATCCCACTGTGCCCAGACAGACTACAAAGTAATTTATTTCCTTCCTACTTTTTGTCGCTCAAAGCCATTAGGGAGTTTTAGCCAAGATTGGCAAAACAGTTGCCACCTTTCAGCGACTTCCAGTTGCTTCCCACAAATGTGGCGTTCGACTCTGAAAACTCCAATTACCATGGCTCTTTGGAGCACTTTGAACTTTAATTTACTTGCTGCTGGGTTGCTGATCTGGCCTGTGCCGCCTCCCGCAGCGACACCAATGCGTATACGTAACGTATTAATTATGCGGCCCAAGAGCTCGCATTAAAAACAAAAAAAATAAAAACAGATTCGTACGTTAATTAGGTAAATTAATCACAGACCTCCGAAAAACGGGCACAGTCTTGTTTGGCACCAATTCGAAGCATTACAAAATGAAAGTTGCGATGAGAACCAAACTCAATAAGAATTAAAATGAGATTTAAGCGAGCTGAAAGCAACATCGGCAACATGTGGTTGCATGTTTGGGCCAACAGGCGGAGCAACAAGTTTTAAATGGGAAACCCATTTGTTTCGATTTACCAACAAATGAACATGCCATTTGTGCATTAAGTGCCGGCCAAAAGTGTCAAGTGCGTGGCAGTCAGTCGGTCAGTCCCTTTCGTTTTCAACGGTACTTAAGTGCAGGAAATATTTGATTTAAATTTCCTCTCTTCTAAGTAATTGATGTGCCAACTGGGGCAAACAAATGCGTGATGGAAGAGCATAGCGTGCTGGTTGGTTATAACTATGCATTTCAAGTTCACACATAATATAACAAGTCATAATAACAGTGACTGCGCCCGACAACTTAATCCTGGCACAGTATTGAATATTGTTTGCAATGATTAGTTCACTAAACGATTGATTGCGTGATTTCGTACACACTATTTGGTGTCTAGTTAAGAGCGTCAAAAATGATTAATTTTAAAGAAAAAGAGCAAACAAATATTAACAGAAACAAAAAAAATATCCATATATTTATATTAAATCTAAATTAATAAACAAAACTTGCCAAGCCAAATAAAATTAATGAAAATTGTAATGCCACCCCAAAATACACTTTTGAACTTATATGTCAAACCTTTAAAATTATACAAAAAATAATATAAAATTATAAATTAATCCATGATAACTTAAATTGTAAGCCTTTTGTGACTAGTGTGTTTGTTTTAAGTTGAATTAAAACTTTAGCCCAAGGACGATCACTATTTATTCCAGTTAGATATACAAAGTACTTTCAATCTTTCAAAATAAAAACCAGTAAGAAATTTTTAGCCGTGACACAATCCATGGCTTAAAGACGGTGCTTCCAGAGTTGAAAAAAAAGTTTCAAGATCGTGCTACCAGATCGTCAAACAGTTTTCCGTAGATGCAAGTCCAAGCTAAGTCCGTAATATGTCTACCAAAGTTCTCAACCGCACACTTTGACATTAGAAAAAAATTGTTTACATATTTTTTGTTAACATTTTTAAATTTCTTTAGATAACCGGCTGACCCCCGTGTCGGAATCATTTTTTTAATATTGAGTTTATAAACCTTGTTTAATTACAACAACTTGTATGCTATAAAGAACTAAAATATTTATTTATTTGCTTTCATTAAAAATAATGACGATACAGAACTGACTAACTAAAGTTTTATTATTCAGCAAATAGTTTTTAAATTTTCTTTTTGACTAAACTTGTTTTTAATTGGGTTTATTTATTTAAAATGGCAACAAACTAGTCGAAAATGTGTGGATATAAAAAAGTAAAATTTCAATGTTTATATGTTTGGTTTATAGTTAACAATGAACAGCTAACTTGCATCTACCCAGCAATATTCTTAGATAAATATAACTTAAATTATAAGTTGAGCAAGGCACACAGTTACTATATATAAGACGGTTCAAAAAACGCAAAGCATAGAATAAAAATCCTTTTTCTCAGCTATCCAGGAGTTTTGCTACAAATATTACCTTTAAGGCCCACTGTACTGGCGGTATAAAACTTTTCGCAAGCACTTGGTAACACTAAAGAGAAGCAACAGCGTATAAAAAAACATGCTGAGTACGTTCCTTTTTGTTGTTTTCTGAATGGTTGCTGTTTTTGTTGTTGTTGTGGCAGTCGCGCTTAGAATTAATATTAAATTTAGTCGTTTAAGCCACTCCACAAAGCGGCGCGGCGCTGAACGGACGGAAAACGAGCAGAAACTGGAATTGAACGCGAACGCGAACGCCGAGAGCCACGAAACATATGTGTCTGTATTTTTGCCAGCGATGCGGAGCTAAATGATTGAGTAGTGGACAAACCAACGGCAATCGGATCTGGCAATCACGATCCCGATTCGATCCGCAGAGCCACGTCTGCGTGGAGCTACCTGCCCAGTGCTACCTCAGGAACCCCTTGGAACTCCCTTCCCATCCCAGCGAGCAGATACCCAGCAGATAGCCAATTCAACAACATGCTGCCTCGGTTCCGTTCCTTTTACGGCAAGCTAATCATATTCATCCTGGTCGCCCTGTGCTTCATCCTCTACAGCAAGGTGCAGCAGAATGGATCGCCGGAGCAGGAACAGGTGGCGCCACCTGCCCGGGCGGCCGCCCTGCGCGGCCATGGACGCGAACGGTTCGAGGCCTACAGCGATAGCGAGAACGAGATAGCCAGACCCGCCACCCAGTCGCCCTACGAACAGGTCATCCAGCTGGACCTCCAGAAGCAGCAGGTCGGCCTCGGCGAACAGGGCGTGGCAGTGCATCTGTCGGGCGCCGCCAAGGAGCGCGGTGATGCCATCTACAAGAAGATTGCCCTGAACGAGGAGCTGAGCGAGCAGTTGACCTACAACCGGAGTGTCGGTGACCACCGGAATCCACTGTGCGCCAAGGAGCGCTACGACGCGGAATCCCTACCCAGCGCCAGCGTGGTCATCATCTTCTTCAACGAACCCTACTCCGTGCTGCTGCGCACCGTGCACAGCACCCTGAGCACCTGCAACGCGAAGGCCCTCAAGGAGATCATCCTGGTGGACGACGGCAGCGACAACGTGGAGCTGGGCGCCAAGCTGGACTACTACGTCCGCACCAGGATACCCGCCGGCAAGGTCACCGTGCTGCGGCTCAAGAACCGGTGAGTTAACCAGCGGATAGGGCTAAGTTACCATCTTCCAAACAATTTAATATACATTTTAGTTAACTTAGATTCTATAAGCTGTTTTTAGTTTAAATTGGCTCTGAGTAAACATTTTAAAAACAAATCCAAAAACATTAATAGAGCTCTGTGGCATTTGTTTTAAATGTTCGACTTAACACTTAATGAATGAGATTTGTGATAAAGACTTCCATTTAGAGCAACCTAGTTTGATTATTATTAAACACTCGAGAAAATAATATATAATCTACAAAGTGGATTTCCTGATTTAATTGAACATCAACAACACATACTTCATATTAAAAATAATGTGATAACGTAAGTTTAATTATTGCCACAAGCAGTTAATAGGCAGCAATCAAACAAAAAATGTTTTTTCTATCAAAGTAAATACGCAAGAACACCCAATTAATAAGAATTATAAATAATTTTATGTAGAGTTTGATTTATAAAACTAAAAATAATTTTCTGTTTCTTTTACAAAAAATGGGAATCAAGTTTTGCAACTTTTATTGTATTTTAATAAAGTAAAAACCTAGCAAAAGTGAAAGGAGCTAAAGTTATTAAGTAAGCTTCTTCGAGCCTCTATTCAATATTTAATATTTAAATTTCAATATTTAAATAGTTTTGATTATGAGAAAATAATATCTAGAATCTTCAAGATTTAAATAGTTTTGATTATGAGAAAACAATATCAATAGAATTTGTATCTCAAATCTTGCTAAACGGCTAACTTACTATTAATATGACCTTTGATAAATGCAAAACGAATGTGTTAAACTTTAGAGCACGCGTTTCGTTATTTGTGAGACACAAATTGCTAACACTTATTACTTTATAGTGGCGAGGGCCTACTGTAAATTCCAAAATCATAACTGGGCGAGGTGCCAAGAAGTGAAAAGAAAACACCTAGATTTTCCCCATCATTGCCTGTGAGCTAGGAAAAGTTCAGCGATTCGGCTAATCGAATCGCTGGCTGGTTGAACTCATTTGAATAACTTGTTTGCCATGTCGGACGCGCATGGAGCATCTTCTTTTTGGCCAGAACCGACAAACGCTCAAAAGCCAAAAACCAAAAACCAAAAAACTAAAGACTGAACAGCAGAAAAAATGAAGAGAAAACCAGTTCGTCAAGTTACGATTATGTGTGGTGTTGTGGGCTTGACTTTTTGTAACTCCCAGACTTGGTTTCTGCGTGCATTACACTCGTCAGCCCGCAAGCTTTGCACACTTTCTGATGACTTCACGCCGCCAAAGCCATGTAGGCTGGTGTTAATCGAGCTTGGCAAACGATCGAAGGTTTTCGGCTGCTGACCCAATAAATTTGTTTTGTTTTGTTTTGTTTGGTTTTTGCCCTTCACATTGCTAAAGAAAGTTTTGGCCTCTCTTTTCCAGATTGGGTTTGATTCGTGCCCGATTGGCCGGAGCTCGAATCGCGACGGGGGATGTGCTCATCTTCTTGGACGCCCACTGCGAGGGCAACATCGGCTGGTGCGAGCCGCTTCTGCAGCGGATCAAGGAGTCGCGGACGAGCGTCCTGGTGCCCATCATCGATGTGATCGATGCCAACGACTTCCAGTACAGCACCAATGGCTACAAGTCCTTCCAGGTGGGCGGCTTCCAGTGGAACGGCCACTTCGACTGGATTAACCTGCCGGAGCGGGAGAAGGAGCGCCAGCGGCGCGAGTGCAAGCAGGAGCGGGAGATCTGTCCCGCCTACAGTCCCACCATGGCCGGCGGCCTGTTCGCCATGGATCGCCGATACTTCTGGGAGGTGGGCAGCTACGACGAGCAAATGGACGGCTGGGGTGGCGAGAACCTGGAGATGTCCTTCCGCATCTGGCAGTGCGGAGGCACCATCGAGACGATTCCCTGCTCCAGGGTGGGACACATATTCCGCGACTTCCATCCCTACAAGTAAGTTGTATTCAGGGGTTATATACCATTAGAAGTCAGAAAAAATCCAATTTTCCCGGATTTTTTTTTATCTTAAACTTTGTAGTATTTAAACTTTATTTTAAGTCTTATATTTAGAAAGGAGCTGCAGCTTATCTACCGGAGCTCCTTTCAAAAACCTATTCCAGTTCTATGTAACCATTTAAATTATATATTTACTGGCTGCTGTAATGCTAAAACTGACTTTCTAAGCAGATTACTGTTGCTTTGATCTCTGACATGATATTTAGCCATATTCTAATGGGCTCATTTGAATTCTTTTTAGATTTCCCAACGATCGCGACACACACGGCATTAACACTGCCCGCATGGCTCTGGTGTGGATGGATGAGTACATCAACATCTTCTTCCTGAACCGACCGGACCTGAAGTTCCACGCGGACATTGGCGATGTGACCCACCGAACGATGCTGCGCAAGAAGCTGCGCTGCAAGAGCTTCGAGTGGTACCTGAAGAACATCTATCCGGAGAAGTTTGTGCCCACCCAGGAAGTGCAGGGCTGGGGCAAGGTGCATGCGGTCAGCTCGAACATATGCCTGGACGATCTGCTGCAGAACAACGAGAAGCCCTACAATGCGGGACTTTATCCGTGCGGCAAGGTGCTGCAGAAGTCGCAGCTGTTCTCCTTCACCAACTCGCAGGTGCTGCGCAACGAGCTGAGCTGTGCGACGGTGCAGCACAGCGAGTCGCCACCGTACCGCGTGGTGATGGTGCCCTGCATGGAGAATGACGAGTTCAACGAGCAGTGGCGCTACGAGCGCCAGCACATCATCCACAGCAACACGGGCCTGTGCCTGGACCACAAGGGCCTGAAGAGCCTGGACGACGCCCAGGTGGCGCCCTGCGATCCCCACAGCGAATCCCAGCGATGGACCTTCGAGCACTGAGCCGAGTGGCCCGAAAAGTGGGGGGAACGGGATGGGGACCGGGATGGGGACCAAACCAACTGAGAGATACTGACTAACGCCGACTGAACGGAACTCGAATTCAAATCAGAACAACACTGTGTAAATATCGAATACTAGAACTATATATATATATTTTCTATACACTGATCGTGTATATTTAAGTTGAGGAGACGGACGGGGTAGCTAGTGCAAATCAAATGGAGTCAAATCAAATCAAATTAAACAGCAAATCAAACGCAAACGAGTCATTTGGAAAGCTAATAACAATTAACTGTGTGTTGTGTACTTTGTGTGTATAAATATAAATATAAATAGAGCAAGTTGTGTAAAGATAGTATGTCGGAACAGCCACATCCTATTTAAATGATATAGTCTTCATGTGATCATACATAGGGATGTAAGGCAGGCAGGGTGTGGAACGTTTGCATTCCATGGCCAGGGGATTCACCGCGGCAATAACCAACTATGTAAACTGTAAACTAAAAGTGTTGTAAGCATTTAACTACTAACATAACAATTTTGCCATTTGTTTTCATGAATAAAACACTTCCGACTGGAAGATGCAGTGCACATCTTCAAACGAACCACCCCAGTAGTAGTAGCCTCATTTGTTTGGGCCAGAGCCAGAGGTGTTGGCCCGATGAAATGTAACCAGTTGTGATGCTCCCAAGGTCGAGTTCAGGGCTAATTAAGCTGTAGCTGCTTGTTTAGCCCCCAGCTGTGAAATTAAAGCCAACTCCATTGAATAAAAACATCCATTGCATGTTTGTATATTTGTATTTATAGATATAAGTACATATTTCATATTCTCTTTTGTTTTGTTTGGTTGAAGTTGTTCAAATTTGCTGATTACGCGTGTATTTGTGGTTTAATTTCTCTGGCGTGTTTGCAGTAAAATACTTAAATTGGAGTAAAAACAATTGTAAATTACTAAAATTATCTGTATGGTTTCCGCTGCTGACACCCACTATTCTGTATTTGCAACTACTAGTGAGGATTATCTGCACTTACAGAACGACCGAACCAAATTCATCAACAATGGTTTTGCTACGATGCGTTTGTTTGTCTGTTTGTGTACGATGATAAAGCAGATCTAGATCATACATATGTATGTATGCGTGGGGTTTAGTTTATTCATTAACTCGTGGCTGAACTCTTTGGTTAGTTTATTTAACGGCTGATGGAGTCGCGCCATAATTGAGGTGTAATAACATTTATTCGTTGACCGTGCTAAAAGCTCTAAGAGTGCGCAAACTTACGAGTAAACTGCTTCGAAGGCCATCATCTACCGATCCTATATCTCATATATCCCATATATGTAATATTTAATATGCAACATGTGTGTGCCTAACATTCCGATACGCTAGAGGCTAGATGCTATACGCTATATGCAATGGCAAAGTATTTTATTTTCGGGACTGATTGCGTGGGTACTGCACTAGATTGCACAAAAATATGATTAATTCTTTAGTATAACGTCAAGGTACGATTTAATTTGTCGGCGTTCCAATCGATCGCTACGGCTACTTGATTTCTTAGCAATGCACTCTGTGTGTGTGTGTGTGGTTCGGTTCTACAACTATGGATTCTCGATCTATTTTACAATAAAGCCCAATATGTGCTGCTAACTTTCGCTTTTCTATCGGGGTTCCGTCGTTACGTAACTCAATCAACCTCTAGTTGACAATTATTTGCGCTAGTTAAATGCGTTAATTTGTTAGCTGATTTTGCCGGTAATAAGTGCCCCACTATGTACATTCACGTGATTAAATTAATTTCTGAATTATAATGCTCAACCGATTTCAAATGCGGCGTCTACAAATTGCACACACACATACTCGATATTTAAATAAGTTCTGTTTCAGTTAGGTTTATCGTAAATATGCCTTTTACAATTATATTCATGAATATCCATGCAGTGTTAAGTATAATATCGTAGTTGTATCTTGACCTTGAATTTTAAATTTTGGACGTATTTTCAAGTATATTTTGGTAGTTGCTTTTCGCTTTTACGCAAGTAGAAAAACAGTTCGAAAATATATACCTAATATATATATAAGTGGTGTATAATTATGTTTTGTATACACTGGATGAATGGCTGTAGATCTTCCAGTTGGGCTTTCACTGTTCAACGCCTCCCAACTGCCTCTTGCTGTTGGATTTCAGTTTAAGTTTCGTTCTTGGGTTTTTCTAAGTGTAAATCGCTCTTATTGTTGTTACTGGTTTTAAATTGCAATCTATCTCAGACTCAGTTTTGGAGTGCTTTGGATGTTGGTTGGTTGGATGGATGGATGGATACGTTCACGGTTTTACGTACAAACGAACGCGTCAGCCGGTGCCGGATTCAAAACATTCACATTTCCATGCTCTGTCGGCACTTTTCATTCTGGGGGCCACAACACTCACACTTAATCCTTTTCGTGTACGATTATTAAAGTATCTTAACATAAAATTAAATACTCAATGCCATTATTGCTTTCTTGCTTTTTTGGACAAACACCAGCTGGTGGCTCGGTGTTCAATTAATGGTTACTTAAAACGCCTCACAAACATAGTCGCACAACCTTCAACATTGATTAATACAACTTAAAGATCCTAACACTTATATTGCACTTTCTGGACGGGGTGAGAAAACGTAAAAGAAATCATAACAAAATTAATGAGGTACATATACGATAAAATCAATTTTATTTATATATATATGCATATATAAAGGGAAATTATAAATACATCACATCAAAATAATACAATTTACAGATCAACTGCGCCGCTGCGAAGCGTCTTAATCGGGAAGTAAGTTCCAAGATGCGATCATCTTGGGAGGCTTCAATTGCTCGGGCACAGCTTCATAGAATATGTTGCTCTCATTATTACTAACATTGTATTGTATTGGTAATTGTATATAAATGCGCTAAACGAAATATGAGCTCGGGAAAGGAAACATGGAGAAGAAATTATTGCAAGGTCTTAATCATAAATATATACAAATGATTTTTATATATTGAATATAGTCAATAACAATTAAAAATATAAGCTCATAAAGTCACATTGATATCAAAAACAATTGAACTAAACTAAAGGCAAAGAACCATTACAAAAATATATATATAGATCAGTAAAGCGCTTCGTTCAAAAATCGAAAAGCAATAAACGACAATTAACTACACGAACACAAAACAATGGAATCAGAATTAGAATCAGAATCAGAAGTGCTCCTAATTCACACATAGATCAATCGAAAGGGTTGCTAAATTTTACGATCTCGCCCAAGTGTTCGAGGTATATTGCAACTACGCGAACGACTGCCCGGCTTAGTTTAGTTTCGATTCGTTTTGTTTCGTTTAGTTTAGTTTAGTTTAGTTTAGCTAGATTAGTAATTAGTTCTGCTGTAGACACCGCCTTAAACTACTTGGAGAAGCGTGGGGGAGGGGGGTTAAGTGTACGGCATTTCATTTGCGGCATGGTGTGAGAATAGTTAAGTAAGCTAGAATATGGTTGGCATGTGGATTATGCTCCGCATTGTTCGTTGCTCCTCATCTGTCATCCTGAATGGTGGCGGTGGCGGCCTTAGAAGGCCGTCGAGCGTCGATTGGCATAGCATTTCTTGCCATGACTGTTCGCATCTGCAGCGCCGCTGGTTGCACGCAATCTGTGGCAGGTTGCCGGCTGGCTGCTGCCCGCCGCACCGGTGGTGGCCACCGCCGTCGATTGCCTGCAATTAGTCCAGCGCTGCAGCTGATGCGAACACTTGGGGTACAATCATTTGCGCGCCGAGAGGTTTAGCGAATCGCCGCGGCTCTTGGAGCGTGTCATCGAGCCAGTCATCGAGCTACTCATCTCTTCATTGTAAATAAAATGTATATTAGTGAATTAAAACCCATGTGCAATGCCATTCCACTCACCTTTGCTCATGCTGTTGCTCTTCTCGGCCGCCTTGTAGGCTCGCATCGCCTTGCCGCGCTTGTCCAGCATCAGCTTATCGGAGCGCACGAACATGCCGTGCTTGGGCTTGCACTGGAAATACTGAATGCCCTTCACGCTGCCGTCGTTCTTGCCCGTGGGCGTGTCCAGTTCAACGCCTATCCAAGCGCCGGGCTGGAACTCCGTGGTGCCCACAAAGCGGATGACGCCGCTGGTGTTGTATGGCCGGATCAACACCGACTCGCCCACCACTATCCAATCGGGCAGGATCACTTCCACATCCTTGCTTTCGTCTGGTAAGAATAAGATTACGAAAATTTAGTAACTACTGCTACGATGATCTATGATATTTGACACTAAATAATCTTAAGGGGGAACCCCAGTTGAAGTGGAAAAAATAGGTTACCTTCGGGAATATTTTTAACAAAACCTAATAAAAACAAATAAACTATATAAAAGTTCATGATATAATTTTTATGTACACAAATACATTTTAAAAACTGTTGTACTAAAAAAGTTCGATTAATTTTGCGGTGACCAAAATGTTAGTCAACTAAAACCAAAAAAAATGTTCATAGATTAAGATAGAAATAAGCATTATAAGCGATTTTTTAATTAAAGGATCTATAAAAATACGCTTTTTTGATCTAATGGCTGACAATTTTCGATTTTCACTAAGAAAATACGGTTGGGTTTTTAGTTTTATAAAGACAACATTTGGCCCATTTCAGACAAATTGGCTCAGTAGGCTTTAAGATAGTTGGGGGAAAAAAGAGTGTAAAGATAAGTTAAGGTTAAAAGTTACCTAGTTTTAAGTTAGCCTACTAGACAGACGGCTATCTCATCTTTCAGTGTACACATATTTGTCTGTTTATTTTTAAGAGCTATCATTAGATAGTTCTAGTTTGAAAAAACAACAACAAAACAAACTCCCTAACTAAAGTCAATAACTAGCACTGTGCACAAGTAAATATGTAAGTTCAATAATCACCATCGACTTCTGTGCTGCTGGACATGATGCTGAAGTCCATGTACGCGGCCAGACCCTCCATTTTGGCCACCGATGCCCGATGATTGATGCGCGGTGCCTGACTTGTGCTGTTGCTGTTGTTATTGTTGTTGTTGTTGTTATTGCTGCTGCCATTACTCGGAGGCTGGTTGTTCTGGGATTTCTTGCGTCGCACCACCTTGCCGGCGGGCAACTCCTCCCGGACGATGCCATCGCCCTCGAGCAGCTCCTCGGAACTGTGGCTCACCTCGTCGGAGGAGGACCTGTTGCCGTTCTGATTGTCTGTGGCAAGCTCTGTTTGTGATTCGATTTGCGGCTCAGCTTCCTCCGGCTCCGCTTGCACGGCGATCTGTACCGGCTCCTTGGCCAACACCACGTTGTTATTGTTGTTATTCTTTGGCAACTGTTCGCGCTCGCGCTCATCCTCGTCGCTTTGTGCGTTTTCCCGGGACTCCAGCTGCTCCAGCGGATGCGTGAAGGTCTCCTGCAGTTTCTTGGCCTGCGGATTCGGCTGCTCCTGTGCTTTGGCTTTGGGCATGTCCTTGAGGAAGGGATTGACGCGTGCCTGCCGGTTCGGTGGCGAATTCGAGTTGACTCTATCGAAATCTGAGGGGTAAAATAATAATTTTAGCCTGATAAAAACGATTCAAAAAACTAATATCTCACCTGGCGTCTCGTCAATGCTCATGGAACGCATTGAGGCGATGTCCTCGTTGCTCAGATTGTTGCAGGAGACAGCCTGGGAGCCGTAGCCACTGCTGGTGGAGGAGCTCATGCTCAGCGTGGCCAGGCCGGTCAGATGCTTCATGTTCGCGTTGGCACTGGACGTGTAGCTCAAGTAGCTCTGGTTCGAATGGCTGCTCACGTCCATGAACGAGTCCATGGTCTTGGAAGCCGTGAGGCGGGAGCGCGTGGCCAGGCTCTTGTTCTGCTGCCGCTCCTGTTCGTACTCTGCGGCGTACTCCGAGTCGCTGTAGCTGTCCTCCGGCTCCTCGTCCAGTGATCTATGCCCGCCCAGCGGCTCCTCGTGCAGCGTGGTCATCCGCATGCCCAGCAGCTTACTGGTTGCCGGCGATGCTGTGGAAACATCAGAGTGTCATGGTCAGTACACTGATTCTTGGGCGAGAAATCTTGTTGCTTAGAGCTAGCTAGACAAACCACATACGTTTCGTTGGCGCAATTCTCAATGTGTTCAAGTTCAAATTGAGATTCAAAAATGTTGGACGCGCTGCATTCCACATTTGGGGGCGAGGGGAAGATAATGATTATGCGTTATGTTTAGTTACAATGCAATTTACAGACTTCGATGAGTGATCAAACTGGCCGGGCATGCGACTACTTCGCACCTCCGGCAACACACTAAATAAACACATTAATGGATAACAAAACAAAAGTTCTAGGGCTAATAAAACGCTACAAATACGCGGCTCGTGCTAAGATCTCGTGCTGTGTGCTTGACTGCTGTGTGACTTGTGCACCGGATTGCATGGGTGGCTGGAATGTCCAGAAGGTGATGAATGTACAACTGATTGCCATTGCGATGTCTCGAGTTCTTGGTTTTGGATGAGCGAGTGAGAGTGACAGTGAGAGAGTCTTGGGTATGATTTGAAGACAGATTTACCAGCAAACAGAACTAACACAAAACTACAATGTAAACGCTTCTAAATGGGGGCGGAGGGGGGTCACAAACCGCATCCCTTCTTCATCTGGGGTCATGAACGGATGAGTGGATGAGTGGGTGTCGAGATGCTGGGTTGTGAGAGACTGACAAACTTAAACTCAACTAACAATCAATGCATAGCAATCGGGAATGCACCTTCGGAGTTTAATTTGGCATAGGTTTGGCCTTTACCTGACAGCAGAGATATTGAGCCTGTTGCCCGTGGAATTTCATAGAGATTGGGTTATGTTAGAAACACAGAAAAGAGTTGGACAATGTGAGAAACCATATAGTAAATACGATAAGCTATGTGGGCGCGGTTCGTTTGGGTTCGTTTTTGTATGGTTCATGTTATCGGGGATGCATGTCAATTTATATGATAAGCAATGGAATGTGGAACAGTAGTGTGCATCAAGACGAAGAATCGCTCGAGTCTTCAGATCGAGTTAATGCGGTTGCTCTTGCTAGTTGCTTGGTTGCTGCAGGTGTTGCATCGAAGCAAAGCAAACAAATTAGGTTTCGAAAGTTTAACTAAGCAATATGCGACAGTTCACAGAGTGTTTGCAAACTATTTCCCTTTTGGGTGTTTGCTCTTGAGCATGAAAAAAGCGGTTGGAAAAGGATTTATCTTGTTGCCATTAAGTTTAAGTCATTTTTAAGTTCACTAAGTACAGCTAAAAGTAATAAATTGCTACTGTTTCTATGGATTATATGCATATCCACAAACATGAAACAAAGATAAATCCCTTGCTCTTGAGCTTGGTCGTATAAAATGTTGCCTGCGCATAAGCATATGCAGAATTACTTAGTCAAATATAGTATAGTGGATATAAAAACTCGATTATATGGATTATAGTTTCAACATTTTTGCTCAAAAATTAATGGTGAGTATATTGAAGAAAACTGTTGGGTGAAGGGAACTGCCTGGATCAACTAAATACGCACCAATGCCAAATGCTTTTCCGGGCGAATCATCGCTGCTACCTTTGCCGCCAAAACTATGTCGATTCCGGATGACTCCGCCTGTTCCAGCTGGACTGTGACCTGCTGAACATAATACAGATATTAAAATCCACAAGAGTTGTTATGCCCAAGTGAGGCTCACCTGGCGTAAACTTGCTGCCCAGCGCACTGTTATTGAGATCGGCAAAGGACTCGGATCGTCCCACATTCAGCAGCGACTCCATCGATGCATCGAAGCGCATAATCTGCGTAAGTTTATTTATGAGTTGCTTGCATCATAAATTTCGTTTTCGAACGATTTGATTTTATAGAACAAATGTTATTCAACAGGATGAAATAAAAATGGTCGAATTAAAAACAAAAAAAATAAATGAACACAAAAAAGCAACGTTTACGAAAAAGGCAAACTGAAGGGCGCACACAAAGGGTTTTGTTTTTCTTGGTAAGATAGTTAGTTAGAAAGAACTGAAGAAAATTTCAACTACATAAGCTTAATGTACAGTGCTTGGCACACAGGATACAAGGATACAGATACAGATACAGATATATTTACAGATACAGATACAAGAGTAGAGATTATATAGGAAACAGGAAACAGAAAGGAGGATACTAGTAGTTACTTACACTCCCGGTATTGGTGGTGTCTTTGACCGCCTATGTGCGCAGTGAGAAGCGTTTTTTGGGCAACACACACACGTACACAGCATAAACATAAAGACAGGATAATACCAATACGGCACACACACACGCACACACACATAGAGGAAAATTCAAAATTGCAGGAGGTGCGCGCCGAATTTCGGATTTGGTTAATTTAGTCATTGCGATTGTCATTGTTATAAATCGGTGGTTAAACACAAATGTTTTTTTTTTTTTTTTGGGGGGGTTAGTTTGGTGAAAGCGCATAGAAAAAAGTGTGAAAAGAGAAAGAATTTGCGTTTAGTCAGATGATCTTGGTTAATTTTGCTCGAGTGTGTTGTTGGGTGAGTAAGTGGGTGTGGAAGCACAAAATTCAGCTGCAGCTGAAGCGGCGACGGCAGCAGCGACGAATTGTGAAAGCGGCGCAGCAGCAGCAGCAGCAGCGGCGGCGGCGGCTCGATGGGATGAGCGGGAAAATGGGGTGGCAAATCGGATGTCGTCCTTACCTGCGAGAAGTTCGGCACACTGACGGTCTTGCGCATGCTCAGCGGCTGACCATGGGCCGTCTCCAGCTCCTTGACCGCCACATTTTGCCGCAGGCGATCCAGTGTGAGTATGCTCTCCACCGCCGAAACGCCACGGGTGTATTTCTCTAAGGGATTAAGAGATTAGCAGACCATTTAACATGGTAATGAATAGCCAAAGCACTCACCTATGTACGTTTCGCCGTCACTGGCCGAGCAATCATCGCCGCTGGCCGCCAACTGGGCCAGCGACTCGCGATCCTCCAGCTCCTCGGAGGCCTTGGGAATGTTGGAGACCACCTCGTAGGTGACGCCGCTCTGCCAGATGGCATTCTCGCCCCGCACCAGTCGGAACTTCTTCAGGCGGTCGGTCAGCGTCTGGCCCTTCTTGATGTTTATGCTCAGCCGCTTGCGCAGCACCAGATCCATGGGTGCCGGATGCGACAGACGCACCGTGGTGCGCAGAATGAGATACACACGCTCGTTGGCCTCGGTCACACGGTTCAGGGCCTGGCTGTCGTGCATCGAGGAGTCCCAGCTGGCCACACAGCACACGTCCTTGTCCAGATGCTGCAGGATCTGCAGCGTGTAGAACTTGTGGCCATGCTCCTTGGACAGAATCGAGTTGATGCCGGCAATGGAGAGCTCGTCGTTGGTGTTCTGCGCCGACAGATCGTCGCCGTTCAGGTTGAGGAAGAGCACGGGCACATGGGGCTCCATGCCCGACGGTGGCTCCCACGAGGCGGGTGCACCGGGAATACCCGAGCCGGGCGCCGGCACCAGCACCGCGTTGCGCTCCTCCGTCAGCGAGACCCACTGGTGCACCAGGCTCAGCTCGCGCTCGCGCTCCTGCTCGTTCTTCTCCTCCTTCTTGATCAGCATCTGGATCTGCTGGTCCAGGTACTGACGCCGGCGACCCAGCGCCTCGCTCCACTTCTCCCGCAGCACTGTGAGATCCTCTTCCTGGTACGAGTCCAGCGGTCGCTGCAGCCGCGACCGCACCGTCACACTGCCAATGGCCACGTTCACGATCGACTGGCAGATGATGGGCAGGGTGCCGGAGTTTTGGACCGGCTTGACGCGCACATTCACCCGCCGCTGCTGGCCCTGACGTAGCTGGTAGATGCCGCCGGTGAGGACCTCGTTGCGGTTGGTCACCTCCACCGGCGAGTACTCGCCGTTGTCGTTCAGCTCGTGGATCTCCACCCAGAGCTCGATCTTGCGCGACAGCTCCGCCCAGCGATCGACCAGGGATCGCGCCTTGGCCTGCTGCTGCTCCACCTCCCAGCCCTTGGTCTTGGAGAAGCCGGCACTGCGATGGCCCCACACTTCGATGGACAGCGCCCCCTCGATGCAGTGCTCGAGGAACTCCTCGTTGATGGTAACCGTAAAGTCCTGCGTGTGCTCGAACTTGAAGACCATGTTCTGGTCGTGGGCCGTGGACTCGGCATTGATGACCGGCACCACCATCTCCTGGTGGCCCCAGAAGGTGTACTGGCAAAAGACGAAGTTGGAGAGCGACAAGGGTAGGCCACTGGCACACTTGATGGTCACACGGCAGGTGATCTGGTTGGATGTGGCATCCACCGGGTCGTCGTACTCATCCCGCGAGTCGCCCGACGACTCGGACACCGACTCGCACATGCGATCCTGCGGCATCTGTCCGGCAATGCGCTCGATCTCCACCTGCAGGCGACCGGCCACCTCGCCCTGCTGACTGATGATCGGCGTGTGGTAGTCCAGTTTGACGTCGTGGAAGAGAACCTCCAGGAATATATTGGCCACGCCAATGAGATTGTGGTTCTCCTGCGACTCGTAGAACGGATCCTGCGGCTTGGCACTGTCCTCGTCCTGCGGAATTGCGAGATCAGTTAGCTTTGCGGTGGAAGCCCCCAAACAATACTAGCTACATCATACAGTTTAGACGTGTGTGTGTGTAGGGTGTTCATGTTTTGGGGTGGTGGGGGTGTGGGTGTGGGTGTGTGGTGTCTTAATTACCTTGTCGTCGTACTCGTCGTCTGAGAACGGCTCTATAAGGGGCTGTAGTCAGGGGTTAATTGAATGCGTGTGTGAATCGATACAATTATAAATGGTTAGTAACAGCACGGCACAATGGCAGACAGGTGGATGAGAAGAGGATCGAATCGATGTCAACATACCAGTCCGTTCAAGACGCGCTCCTTGTGATCCTGGTACATCTCGCGCATGTCGATCAGCTTGTTCTCCAGCTTTTCCATGGTCCAGATCTGACTGCCGGAGTTTGTGCGCTTCACCAGAATGGCGGGCTCGCTGACGAAGGCCCCGCGCCGCCTGTTGGGACTCAGATTGGCCGGCGGTATCTGCAGGGTGACCGAGAACTTGGTTTTCTTCTCCATCTCCTCGGCCAGAAAGTTGGCCTCCTGCACCAGCGAATTGGCCCTCATAATGTCCGTCTTCAGCTGACCCAAACTGCGCCGGAACATCTCGTCTCGTTCCTGCAGAAACCAAAGTTATACAGTAACTGAAGTGACAGTTGATAGGAGAGATCTTAGCTTACCTGCGCCCACTTTTCCACTCGCATCTGCGAAGTAGGAGTATTCGGTGTTATCTTGCCCATGCGCAGAGGATCGTAGGGGGCATAGGGAGCATACGGTGTGCTGGGCGAGAGAATGTTGCGCAGCTGCTGGAACTGACGTTCATACTCCTGCCGCTGCTTCTCCAGCGCCACCTGCTTATCTTCCTCGTGCTGCCGCTCCAGCCGAGCAATGGCCGTCTGGATGGGGTCGTTGCTCAGCTCGTTCTGCATAATCTCATCGCGTGCGAAATTGTAATCAATCAGTTGCGCCGGCGTCTGCGGCTCCGAGGCGCACATGCTCGCGTTGTTGCTCTTCGGCGAGTTGACGCGGAAGAAATGGTGGTTGCCCCACAGGATACGATCGCCGTTCTGCAGCGGAATCCTCTCCACAGCCGCCGATCCGTTGACAAAGCAACGGGCCCCCTGCACAGGCTCCAAGTACAGACCACTGTCCTCGATGGTGATCACACAGTGCTCGGGCTGGATGCCCAGACCAGACAGCTGGATATCCGGCTGCTGGCCACTGATGCTGCGTCCGCCAATCAGTGTGCGTTCCTAGAAGCAGAGGGGATTTATTAATCTATTTTTTTTAGGGTTTGACTTAGGGTTCACCTTAAGGTAGTAGACCAGGAGTTCGTTGAGGGACGGATCGGCATTCAAATTGACCAAGTAGTACTTGTTCTTCTCCACCTTGATGCCACTGGCCTGCACACTGATGCCCATCTTCTCGAGCGCCTGCTGCCGCTCGTTCTGGATGCGCTCCGTCTTGACCAGTTTCTCCTCCCAGGTCTGCGAGATCTGCTTCATCAGGTTCTCGCTCTCGGCCAGCTTGTCCTGCACATCGCCCACCGGCGACCCAGTGGCATGCTTCAGCATACTCCTGAGCGTCTCCACCTCGTGCCGCAGCTCGCGAATGATGCGCGCGTTGGGATCTTCGTTGACCACGGCATGGTTCACAATGCGCTTGGCCCGATCCGCGTAGCGCAGCGTGGACAGCGTCTCCTCGTAGTTGTCCGCCGAGGGTGAAATGGTGGCCACCATCACGGTTCTGGAATTGCCGCCCAGGTTATCTTTTAGTAGCCAGGTGAGAACGGAGTCGCGGTAGGGCACGAACTTGTCGTTGCCGCTCTTCTTGCCATTCGATTGGTCGGCCAGCTTGGAGATGACCAGACCCAGCGTTGTTAGAGATCTAAAGTAGGCACAAGATTAGCTTCGAATCTAAACTAGATTGATATCCACCGGGAAAGCAGGTCACGGCAATGCGGGTTGTTTAAACTTAACATTTAACTCAATTGCATTACAAATGACCTGCATAATCGGTGCAAACCAATGCAAACCAAGATTGTTGACTAATTTTCACGCACTTGTTGATGTTGGAACCTTCCTTGAGGCGATCGCCAACGGCTCCCGTTTTCACGGCCCGCTCGGAGCCAGCCAAATCCACCAGGGACATGCGGGACACCTTCTCGCCACTGACGCCAGTCGCCTGATCCGTGAGTATCTGGGTGAGGACCACCGAGAAGACGGCGTGGGAGCGCGACGACTCGGCGTTCATGTTGGTGGCCGCCACTGTTCGCGACTTGTTGCCCTCGGTCATGAGGTTGTCGATGTCCTGGTAGGATGTCACGGCCAGCTGCGACAGTCCATCGACGTAGGGACCCATGACATTGTGCTCGCGCACCTTAAGCGACTGCTTGTTCGGCTTGGGGTCGAGCAGATCGTGGACCTTCTCGTTGTAAATCTCCATGTAGGACACCTCCACCTTGTACATCAGCTCCGGCGTGGACTTGTTGGCTATGGCCGAGAAGAGCTTGTCGCACAGCCGTGGAATGATGCCCTTGCTCTCCTGGGAGCCCATCATTGTGTAGGACTTGCCAGAGCCTGAAAAAGTGTGAAGTGAATAAATGATCGATTACATGCGTGAATATGGTGAATCATTCGGGCTGCAACTTACCTGTCTGGCCGTATGCGAATATGCATGCATTATAGCCCTGGAATGCATTATCCAGAATTCCACGTCCCACGCAATCGAACACTGTCTCCTGGGACGCAAAGTTGTCGTCCTCGGGGTTTAATGAGTAAAAACAGTGATCGAATGCAAATGTCTTTGGTTGTTTTCTGTTTGCAAAAAAAAAAAAAGGGATGAGAAGGTATTAAGCAAACCACTTTAATCAGCTGATTAAATACCACATTACAATTCAAACTGCCTCTTTGGTAATTTGGAATTTTATAGCTTCTTTTTACCTTTCGATTTTCTCCAGTGGTGGGGGATTCTGCAGTATCGTCTGCTGTTTTTCCATTTCCACGATACATTTTGTACCCAGTTCGATTTCTGAAAGTAAACGAAATCACTGTCAGCCCTCGGTTCCGGAATATATTTATATGTTATGTGTGAAATTGAGATAATTTCGCCTTTATTCCGCGCATGGGGTGATAACGAGTTCAAAGTGGCAAAAACAATTTAATTTTATACTTTAGCTATACCCTGCTCATAGCGCTCGAAAGCTTGTGTGTTGGGTTTTTCGTACATGAGTGCGAAAATTGTTTCATAGAGAGCGAGGGGCGATAAATGTGCATGTTGGGTATAAAGCACCAATGCCACTATAATCTCAACGGAGAGAACCTTATAAATAAATTGTAAACAATCTTAGAAAGGCAGAAGCGCAAGTTGCCAAATAAATTTTGCAGAAGCAATAAAACAATGAGCGATTTAAAAGGCCTCTTAACGAATTTTCTGTTTGCCTTGGTATTATCGAGCCGAGATTTTATGATATTTTAAAAACCTTGCTGATTAGATGTGATAAGTCATTGGAATCAACCATTTTTAGTTACATTGACCTGAATTTTTTAAAGACCTTTATAAGCTATGGGTACGTATATAACATTAAAGTTTTAGAAACTTTTGGATGATAGACAAGCATTACAAAATTAAATTCAGATTTGAACAAATTTTTTTTTTTTGTGTTTGTAATAAAATAGCCCTGATAAAGTGGTGTTACAATTTGAATTCAAATATTTATTTTGCTTGTGTTTGTATATGGCTACTTATCATTTGAATTGTTAACACATGAACAACATTACAAATTCCATTTAAAATGTAAATTTGAATTTGTTTATCCTATATATTTTTTGAATTAAATAACTACTGTTATAAATTTCACATTAACCTCATTTCGCACATATTTATTTATTTATCATTTTAATTTTAAATATTTTAATCACAGAATTTATCATGAGTGTGAATTCATCAAATGATGTATAAGATATAGCCAAATGAGGTGACCTTATCGGGCTGATTATTCCATTCATCCTGGCTGGTTTTATACAAAAAAGTGCCAGCTAATAAATCGTGGAAATATTTCAGTTGCGATGCCTCCCCGTGTCCTTCGCATACTTCATTCACTCCGAACGAAACGGAACGGATCCAAATGGCAGAGAACGGCAATAAGCAAGGCATACTACTGCTGCTAACTATATGGCACACAAAACATGACGAGGAAGGGGGAAAACGACGTCAAAGCCAAACCCAGACGGGCAGACACATTTGGGCCCACACACAAGTCGCTGTATATGTACAGCCAACAGCCAACAGCCAACAGCCATCAGCCATCAGCCATCAGCCATCAGCCAAGCCATATCCTGGTGTGTTGCCTGGCCTTTGGAACTTCCGTTCCGCTTTATGTTACAGAGCCGAGAACGTGACATGACATGGAAATGAAAGCCACAAAGGACCCAGAACCCAGAAACCAGAAGAGGACGGCACAGGACAAAGTCGACCTGACCCTATCGCCTGGTTTACATGTCTGTTTTGGCCGTCCGTTGCCTCAAAATGTGACGAAGGCGTGCCATAAATTACTTGATGGTCTCATTTGTAGTTCTGGTCAGTTGATTTGATAGCTGGCGACTCCGTATAACCTCAAACGGTTTTCTCTTCGCTATTGTCCAACGCTGAAATTAACATACATACACTGTCAGAGTGAAAACAGGTTAAGCATTTTGGTAAGAAGCAAAGTAACTCTGCTGTGACTTCATTTCGAGCTTGTTTCTACTGCCTTTGGCTCTGTCTTTCGAGTGTTGTCTTTGCGTTTGAGATTGCCTTTTCGGTTTTCATTTTACGCTCTGCTGGCCAGCTCAACACGAAGAGGTCACTAGTTACGGACATGGCCCAAATAAGTTGCCCACGATTGACTAATGCCAAGCACTTCATGTGTGTAACATGGTATCGCAAAATAAACGCGTTTATCAGGCCTGATAACGTTTCTGCGCTGCCGCTTATCACAGACATTCTGGTGTGACTGCGACTAACTCCCCTCAGTCACAAAAACAGTCAACGGATCAGGCCGTTTAACAAGCAAGCGAGCAACATGACAACAAACAACATCGTAGCCCAGTCAAAGGTCTAAAAATAATTGTGGTTACTAAGTTTGCGCGTTCGCCTTCTTGGGCAACACAAATATTGGAAGTGACAAATTATGATGGATCAACTGGGAGTTGTTTTTTGTTTGCCAATATATAAGTCACTAGAGCTTTTACTAATACAATTAATTATTTTCACAAACAACAAACACAACAGCTGAGGGAAAATTGAGCAATCAAATAATCAAAAATTTAGAAATGGAAAACAAAACATGGATTGCTAAAAAAAATTCTCAAAATAAAAGGGCAATTTAATAATTCAAACTATAAAAATATTATCTTATTACTAATATCTTTAAAATTTGAAAGACACTTTTTCAACTAACACTATGTTCCTTTTATTATTTATCTACAAAAACTTATTAAAGTGTGACAGTAAATAAAACTGGTTCGATCCCAGTACTTGAAGTAAATATTAACAAATGTGCAATCATTGGATAACCTTTGCCATTCAATCAATAAAGCTGGAATTTAACCGGACCTTGCTCCATATAATCTAAACTAATTGTAGAATTTAAATAGTTTTGTTTTATAAGAAAAAGTATATATGATTAAAAAGATAAAATGTTGTAATCTTTATACATTTTTTTTGAGGGGATGTTTCCCCTTAAAGTCTTGCCACTCTTTCTATAATTTATGTAAATATAAACAAATGTGCAATCGTTGGAGAACGTTTGCCATTCAATCAATAAAGCGGGATTCCGAGCGGACCTTGCCCCACGCACAGGCATCTATAAATGTTTATATGTTTGGCACACATGGCATATGGTTGTGTCGTATGAAGCCCCTTTTTCCGCTGCCATCCTTCGTTTCCGCCGTGAATGTGAGTCATGGATAAGCCAAATGAATGATCAGTGTTGACATTGGAAACGCTGACGGCGCTGCCGTTGTTATTGCTGTCTTGTTTTTTTGCACTTGCAACACTTCATGGCTGCAGTGGGAAAAGCGAAATTAGCTGGAAACGAATTCGTTTGTCAGACGACCAGGGACCATCCCGTAGGTAGTCGCTGCAGTAGGTAAGTACGCTATTCTATAATATACGTTTAAATCCAGCGAAAAATCCGCTGGCGCAGCAGTGGAAAAACGAAACCGTATTTCAAAGGAAGCGAAGAAGCCCATGTAAATTTCGTTAGCCTAAAAAAACAGTCTCTGTCTCTGCATGGTTGTGTTTGCATTATTGATTGCAGGCAAAACTGCAGTGCCTGGTATTGTTCAGAAACAATGTGGGAAAAGTGGAAAAAAATTGAAAGTTCTGGCCACTCAAGGCTGTTTTTTTGAGTGGTATAAGAAAAATCTCCTTTAGGGATAAAATTTGTACTTTTTGGGACCTGACATTATAGATTGATATAGTCAAAGGTAATAGGAAACATTTTAAAACGAAAAAATCACTAAAATCATATCTGATGACTGAAAATTGTAAAAACAACGGATGAAAGCCTAAACTAAGATTATATTAAGGGGATATTACTCTTGAATAGTATCTGTTTTCCCCGTTTATTGTTCTGATCCCCCAGCGTAATTATAAATTTTTGAACAACAATACATTTTTTTAACCTTCTGATCAACTTTTAAGCTTGATACTAAATTTAATAAAATATTTTTTGTTAATTTTAATAATAATAATAATAAATAACAATTTTTAAAACACAAAAATGATGTGTATTTTTTAAGAATATTTAGTGCCAGCCATTAAACAAACGGAATATTTAATATTTTTTAATGAACATGAATGAAAAATATTTTTGCCAGTGTGGGGATTATCTGAGCAGGAAAAATCTGCACTTACCACGACGATTGAAGGGTCGCACCCTTACGGCGACTTTGATCTTATCACTTGACATCGCGGATGCGGATGTTGCGGATGCTTCGGATGGACTTGGAGTGCAGGATGCGGGTGGGTGGGGCGTGCGGTGATTCGGGCACCACTCGCGGGGGGGCGGGGGCGTGGTTAGCTCCTTCTCCTCCTGCTGGGTGGCTACTTTTTATTATGTTTAGTTGCTGGTTGTTTTGTCGTCCTCGCGGGAGTTGTGTGCACGCAATCTGGAAGGCAGGTGGAAGTCGTAAGCTGACTCACAAATATGTGGCTTTTGTGGAGCGCGAAAAAAAAAACTAAAATAAATTATATATATTGTGTGAGTTCAATTAGCGCCACGCACACAGGGGCACTTCTAACAGTAAAAGAGGGTGAAGTGGGTTAGGGGGGTGGATTTCCATTTCATTCTCGCCGTTTGTCATTCACTTTGTTTTGCTTTTGCTTTTTTGCTTTGTTGTTACTACGCACACACACACGCACACGTTTCGTTTTATTGTCATGTGCTGGCATTCCGTTATTTACGCGAGACACACTCAAATATTTGCTGGAAATTAGCTAATTAAGATTATGATTCGAGTGTCCTGTCCGATTTTCAGGGTTGTTGTGCAAATAAAATATTAAATACATACAGATGAATTCTTTTCGCACTTGCTCACTCACACACACACACACACACACAGACACATAGAGCAGCAGGTATGCACTCTGCACAGGTATATTTATATTAACCCTCTAAAGCCCCTGGCAATTTAATACCTAGACTTTTCGAGGCTCCCCAAGCAAAACTGGCAAAAAGCAACGCCAGGCTCCACCGCCCGCGCGAAAAAAGTCTCGCACGCAGAGCGACTTCTTTGAAGAATCGATTTTTATGGCTCTCTTTTCTTTCGGGGGAGCCTTGACTTGCTGGGGGCCTATTTTCTAGCACACTCGAGGGTTTCTATTATTTATTTTTGTGTTTCGTTTTTAGCACCTTTTGCTCCGTCGTTGTTGCACTTGGTTTCACTTCAATTTTGCTTTTCTGTATTGCGTTTTCATTTTTCGCGTTTTCGTTTTTCCTAGCAATTTTTACTAGTGGTGAGGAGTCATCGATTTGTTTTGCGACTATCGGGGTAGGGGTGGGGAAACACCGATGTCGATATTCTTAAGCTATCGGTCGTATCGATGTTTGGCAGGGATAATCGATGATTACCTCTATATATCGATATTTTCATGCCACTTTTAGCTTCTTACTGTTAGTTAGACATTTTTAACATTTTTCTGTTAGTTTACTGCCTTAGTAATCGGTTTGTGTAATTGCTAAAAGCTCCGGAGTCCCCGAACGGCGTTGCCAGTTCATTGAAATTTGTTAATTTAAAAACGAATTTGAATATAAACTCTAAAATATTAAGCATTTTTATACAATTAAGGTTTTTGCTTGTCTAGCCTAGTTTTATACACAAACAAGTGTTGTGTTTGTTCTTCTAATACTTCTAATTCTTCCTGTTTAATTAACGTAAAAATTAAGATTTTAATCCTTTCTGCCAAATGTACCAAGTGTGCAGGAAATCTTAAGGAAAGATAATGTTACAGATTTTTATTTACTTTTTACGGCGACAGCAGTAGCAATTACATTATACATCTTAATGTTATTTCAATTATAGCGCCCTGTAATTTCTGTTGGCAAATCTGTCAAAAAAAAAAGTTTGAATATTACAGTACATTTTAAGGAAGAGAATGTTTAAGAATGTTTTTTAGCAATTACATTTTACATTTTGATGTAATTTCAGTGGTATTGCCTTGTAATTTTGGTTGACCCTGCTGGTAGGCAATTATGCAATTACTCCTGCAATTGTAATTTAAGTAGCACTTCCTGTTTAAAGTAAAGATTCCCTAAGTCAAACTTTGTTTGATATATACAGTTCCAGTTATAAAATTATAAAAAGAGGCTTAACAAAATCTATATACTTTTTAAGACATGTATTTTCAATGTATATTTTTGTCTATGAAATTCTCGTAAGTAAGAAGCTTGACTGTCTTAAAAAGGGAACGCGTTGTAAAAGCGCTCCTTGGAGTTCCCAATTCCGGGGAACGCCTTCTTATCGTCGCGGTGTCAATGAACGATTCGGTCGATTCGATCGATCGGTGTGAAAAGCGAGAACGCCAATACCGGCACTTAAAAGCGCGGCTTTGTGACGTACGAAAAGGCCGATCGCAAATGCAGGCCGTACGCAAGATTCCCAAAAATAAACAACGCGAAGAGCAGTTTCACTTTCATCGCTCGGTTTGTTTTCATTCGAATCTGTATGTTTTTTGTTGTTGTTTAAGCCCCGCTTGATACCTGTTCACGTGCGCTTGGCGCTGACGGAGTTTATAAAGGTTTGCATCGCAGCGAAGGGAGCACAGTTCCTCGGAAAGACGCGAAGCTGCGTGAGCCGCGCTTAAAAACTAAAAAAAAACAAACTAATTTCAAATCCACGGTTTCGATATCAAAACTTTACAAAAATAAATAAACAAACAAGCCGAAATAATAACAAACGGAAACTCTTGTTGAACAAAAGCGAATGCCAAGGACGGTTCTATATTGATTGGATACTTGTTTGCGTCGCCGCTGAAAGTAGGTCACATTTTATTCGCTTGCATTTGATTAAATCCGGGACTTTAATCGATCCGAAATCCAGTTTTCTATCCCATCCACGCCTTGACCCTAAATAAATCACCATTTTCTTTTGACACTGCCATTAATAAGCAAAAAAACATAAAACGCAAGCCAGCAAACATGGCAAAACCAGTGCCAGTTCGCGAATATTAGTTACAAAACCCATCGTTTGTCCAAAAACTGGGCGATCGGGATCCGATTCGCTGGCAAAGTTAAGGTGAAGGTTCATTTGCATAGCCAAAGCCGAGAAATTAGATGCGAAACGATGCGCAGATTTACGATTTACCCTTGAAACGGTTTCATCCAAAAGCCATTAGCTGCCATCAAATAAATGCAAACTTCGCTATCGGTGGCTTACAACCGCGAATCTTGGCGACGTCTTCGAGAGCAAAGAAAACATTGGATTTACCATACATATTGTTGGGTTTTTGCCCACGCCAGTGCCAAAATTGGCAAAACGCCTGGAGGATTTATTCTCGAATTTCTACCCCTCAATCAGCGTAAGCAAACATCATTTTGGCATAAGTGTTTTGGGCAAACACAAAATTTGGCTAATTTTATTTATGCCTGCGAATTCTGATGCACGTGGCTGAAGCTAAGATCGAAGAAATATTTACAACACACGCACTCTAGTCGTTGACCTCTGCCAACAATTTGCAGATTTGGGTGCAAATCATAAAAGTAATAACACTGAACTTGGGGAATCAATGGGGGCGCACTTGAAATCTCATGAGTCAAGTCGAGTGACAAGTTTGATTGGCTTTTGCCTTTGGCAGCCCATAAACCTTCAGGTGACACTGTATTTTTGAGGGTGAATTTCTCGTGAATCAAACTAATCCGATACATTGGAGCTGACATTGAGACGCACTTACTGCTTGGATGCGGCTAATTGATGTTTGAATTGAACTCCAGTGGTTACCATTACCACTTCCATGTTCTGCAATCGGTTGACTGGCAGGTGTACTTCGCCTTTCTTAAGTTATCTTAAACCATTTAGGGTTAAACTCATTGTGGGTGCTAAAATATCTATTGTGCTGAAATATCATATCTAGTTAATATTATTATTCAAAATGATTTCTCAAAACAATTATTTATTATTTTAATTATCTTTGTTTAAATTTATGCCATTAAATTAAATTTGTAATAAGAAATAGAATATATTCACTGAAACTTGAAGATATGTTTTTTACAATCAGAATTATTTGCCAGAGAAAAAGCAAAAGCAAAAACCCTGTAGACCTCAAAATTATTAATTTCTAAAAATTCGCAATGTAAATAAATAGTTTTTATTTATGAGTTATGATTTTTAAATATTTGTGTACCTCACAGATAGGAAGAAGTAACGATCTCTAGGGCAATAAATTAATTTTAGCAATTGTTAAACAATCGAGTGCAATTTACCCGGAGTTACAGCTCTCTCAGCTCGTAAATCTTTTCCGGCAGGAAGTCGTCGTAATTTGAAAAGGCAGCCCCTGGTTTTCGTAACATAAGAGTGCTCGTATTGATGGGTAAACAATTTAATTTTCCAGTTGCCGCTCGTTGGCGGTGCATTCGGCATGGAAAAGCACTGGAGGTCGCTCTTAATCGTCAGCATCTTGGCTTTCGTAGCGGATGCAGCTGTTAATGAGTCCACTTTGCGTCAACATCGCTATGATTACGGTCTTTTCAATGCCAGCATGGAATTGACCACGGAAGTAATGGCTACAGATATTCCGGAAAAAGAAGGATATACTGTCCAGTCACGGCATGAACCCCATCTCATCCGGAGTTCCGTCATCTTTGGGCTAACCAAAGTGGCCAACGAGAGCAATGTGAGTCCCAGCTGCCACGCCCACCTGAAACAAGTGCAGCGAGGAATTCTCAGTAAACAACCTTGGGCCATAAAGGGTAAGTAACCAGAATGTAAATTGTGGAATTTATAAAACATAATACTTGCAAATTAGTCGTTTGCTTTAACGGGGAGGGGTAAAATATTCATTTTTAATTGATTTGAAAGCAGTTATACTTGCAATTATAGAAACTTGAACACTTACAATGTATTGGACAGGAAAACGTAGTAAACATGTTTTTTGATTCGATTTGCCGCATTTGGTCATTTAAAATATGAAAATATTTATTATTTTATATTAATTTAACAATTAACAAAATTGATTTTAATATTATAAATATTCAGTTAAATGTAAGCCACATTAAACTGCATATAAAACAAATAGGTCCCATTTCAAACCAAATATTTTCCATATCATTTCAAATAATTTGATTTTATATGTAATTAAAATTTCATATTTTCATATATCATATTTCAAAAAAATATTCAAATTAACAGCCAGGGATTTATTTGTACTATTCCAATATTTTTTTGTATCACGAAAAAAATATTAATATTGCCTAATTTATTCTTAAGAGCGCTTGATAAAGGCAGTTTTAGTAGTGTAAAAGCATTGTTTTTAAAACTCATACATTTTATTTTGTTTCTTTTGTAGTATAAATTTAATACTTATTTTATTGAGTGATTTTTCATACCCAATAGTCTTAAATTCATGTGACAATAGTCTAGTTTCTATGAGAATTTAATATGGTAATTAGTATAATTTGAATAAAATAATACTTTTCATTGAACTGGCAGTTCTTGATGCTTCGGGAACAAAGCCGTCCGGGTTCGTTTTCGGGCAGAACTACTGGCTGGGCAGTCGGGAGGCGTGCCGGGGAGTGCAGGGACCGGTGGGAATCACCTTGTCCCGGAACTACGAGCGGGTGATGCACTACAGCATCCTGACGCAAAGTGCCCCCTTCGAGATGGACTACCGGGTGATCTACCTGCGGCATCGGTCACCCTGGCAGGTGGAGATCAAGGTGATGTCCGAGCAGGTGCTGCACATCGGACTGTGCCTGCCCAGCGCCTGCGCATCCGAGGAGGTGAAGCAGCTGGCCCGGGACTATGTGGCCGGTGGTTCGTTCGCCGAGGACGACATCTTCGACATGCAACCGGAGGTATTGTACATGAAGGATCTGAAGCTGAGCGAGCGATTCTACCAGCGGTTGACCTTCCGATTGGTGGTGGCCACTGTCCTGGTAACCGGAGCCCTAATGCTCTGTGCCCAGCAGTTGCGGGTGGCCAAGAGGGGCGATGATCCGGATCCTGGTCTGGCTCCCGTGGAATCGGAGATCTGGCAGGCAATGGATTCCATCTTGAAGTGGCAGCCACTCCAGAACTTTGTGTCCTGTTTCGATGTGGCCCACAACTGGAGAAAGATCAGCGCCACGAGGGCAAACCAACCGGGGGAGATTCCCATCATGAATGGATTGCGATCGGTGTGTGCCATCTGGATACTGATCTTCCATGTCCTGTGGTACATGTACTTCACGGTGCACCACAAAACGGTGCTGATTTCGTATGCGGAGAAGGTCTTCTTCCAGTACGTTTCTTCGGCCCCTCTTCTAGTGGATGTCTTCTTTACCATCAGGTGAATATTACTTTTAAATATTTACACGTTAAATTTATATAATTTATTTTATTCATTTTCAGTGGCTTTTTGCAAACCTACAACTTCCTGAGAAATGCCCAGCAATTGGAGGCAGTGCGTCGCAATGGACTGTGGGGCAACATGAAGCTCTTTGGTAAGTTGCTATTCCATCGCTACCTGAGATTGGGTCCACTCTACCTGGTGGTGATGGGTAGCGTGGACTTGGCCTTCGCCTACATCGGCGACGTTTCCGTCTTCCACATCAACGAGCGGTTCGACGAACTGTGTCCCCAGCACTGGTGGCGCAACCTGCTCTTCATCCAGAACCTCTTCGACCACCGCGAGATGTGCGCCAACTGGAGCTGGAGTCTGGCCTGCGACATGCAGTTCTTCCTGCTGGCAAACATTGTCCTCTTCATTTACGCTAGGTGAGTCTAAGTCTAGTAGATTCTTTAATACCCTTAAAAAAATGCGTCAATGAATTCTTTAGTAATAAATATAATAATTTAACACTATCTAAAAATCTATGCACACAGAATTAGAACATATGTAAAATCAGCAAGTTAATTGTGGCCCCACTGATACAAACATATAATAGTTCAGATAAATATCTGACAATTGATTTCAAAATTTGATGTATATTATTTAAATTGAATATAAAATCATAATACTACATATATACAATACAAAGCAAGTAATGAGGCATGCATATTTTACAATTCAATTTAATCTTTTTTAATAATTTAGTTTATAATTTCAATGCAATGTTTAATTTTGTTTCCTTGTAGGCATCCAAAAGTGGGGAAAGTACTGACGATCTCCGGACTTCTGGCCACAATAACTTGGTCCTACGGGATCGGGATTACGAACAAATTCGAGTTCTCCTTCGACTCCACTTATGCCACTGGCACCCAGATATACACGAGTCCCTTTGTGAGGGTGCTGCCCTATATCGTGGGTGCGATTGCGGCCTGGTGCCTCCAGGAGCAGCGATTCCAGATGGAGCTGAGCGAACAGCAGACCCGTTGGCTGTGGCACTTCAGTCTGCAGGTGTTCCTGGGCTGCATCTACTCCACGGTGAAGCGGGATCTGGGCCACCTGATCACCATATCGCTGTTTGTGCTGGGACGGGCTCTGTTCTCCCTCACCGTTTGCTGGATGATCGTGGGCAGTGCATCGGGAAGCGGAGTTTGGTGGTCGCGCCTTTTGGAGGCCAAGTGCTTCCAGCATCTGAACCGCCTGTCCTACGCCATATATCTTCTAAATCCCCTAGTGATAGCCCTCGTCTACAGCCTGACCAGTACGAGTTCTGCTGTCGACCCCTTTCTGCTGGTGGGTTATCTGCTTTTTGATCCCGTTTTCACTTAATTTAATTTGTATTTTTGTATATTTTTCAGAGCGTCATCTGCTGCGGCTTCACCTTGATCGTCTATCTTGCCTCCATTGCCTTTTCGCTGGCTTTTGAGCTGCCCTACAGCAATCTTTCGAGTTTGTTGCTCAGGGGAAAGCCCAAAGCCGCATAAACTGTGATTACCTCTCATTGTTAACATTGCATCTAAGTCACTTATTAATAAGAAAATATGGTTACAACAAAAATGTTGGTTTTATTTGTTTGAATAACTGATATTGAACGAATTTAGTAAACACTATATTAAATAAAGCTTAGAGTAGGAAATTATTAACAAAACTGTATTTTTGGCGCCTAAATTTTAAATATCCCTGTGGATTCTATTGGACTGCAAGTGGACCATTTGAAAATGGTTTGAGCCTGCGCTAAATAAGTTCTAGTGTGACCAGCCAGTTACATTGGTCAAAAACGAGCTTTTCCCGTTAACCGTATGGAAGCTAAATGGCCAGCTAAATAAAACAGCTACGGCCACACTGACCGCGTCTTAAAAAAAGAGAATCTTTTTACAAATAAATATTGATTTTTGACCACTGTCCGACCGCGTCCTGCCAAAAGAAGCCGTCAGCCAGTTAGCCCAGACCGAGAACCAAATCGAAATGCCCAAGGAAGACGCGGAGCCCTCGGCGAGCGGCGTTGGGGTGGGGGGCACATTGGTCGCCAAAGAAAGCGATGTGCCTCCTCCTCCCGCGGAAAATGAAAATGCGACCCACAAGGAAAGCGACGCCTCTGCCTCTGCCAGCGTTAGCAGTGCCTCGACCACGCCCCCGCCCGCCCAGGACGACGCAGAGGAAGCGGAATTGCTGGAGAGGATGCGCGGAGATGCCGTTGGCAACACCATGTTCAGCAGTCGCTTCATCCTGCAGACCGTAATGAAGTTGGTGGAGCTGCAGCCGGAATCCCCCCTGGAACAGCAGCTGGAGGACGACCTGTGCAAGGTGTGGGACATGTCCGTGGCCCCCGAAGTGGTCACCCTGCTGCTGGAGAACGAGGCCATCGATCCAATCATGTACTCCTTGATTGCCGGCTGTGAGGATGTGCGTCTCTACGAGATTCTCATCGGACTGCTGGGCAACATGTGCGCCCAGGTGGAGTGCGCCGAACTGCTCACCTGCAGTAATGGCACCATGGAGACACTTTTCAAGCTGACCAACTGCATGGACACAGCCATGCTGATCCAACTGATGCGCCTGTTCCAGTACATCATGGCCCATGTGCTCAGCGGCAAGGAGCAGTTCGCCGTGGACTGGTACATCTGCTTTGCCGCCTTCGAGAACTCCGCCCAGAATCTGGGCAGGATTCTGCAGCAGTCCGTCAGCGATGAGCTGCTGGTGGCTGCCCTGAAGGCCACTAATGCTGTGCTGGCCAGTTGTGCACTGGTGGAGGAGGAGAACGCCAAGTCTACATTGAATCTGAAGCCCTTTGCAGAGGTCTTCCTGGTGCCAGAGCTCTGCGATGGCGTCAATACCGCCTTCCTGCGACTCATGCGCGACGACCAATCGAAGCTGGCCGACGAGGAAGCCGGCGAGGAGAACGGCGAAGCTGAAGTGCTGCCCGCAGTGGCCGCTCAGGACAGCGATGAAGACGCCGACGTTGGCTACGACTCGTGCGGCCCGAAAATAACCTGTGATGTGGAGATCATACAAACCTACCTCAACATTTGCACCATTCTGGTGCAGCTGCCCGAGGCGCAGGCCTCCATGGACGTCTACGCGCCCAGCATAGTCAGTTGTCTGGCGCGGATACTGCAGTTTCTGCAGCAGCCGCTGCAACTCATTCCATTGGGCGAACGCCAGGAGGAGTATCTGGAGGATTTGGCGCACATTTGGAGTGTGAGTTCAACTATTTCCCCTGCCTACTTAAAAAAGTTTATAGTCAACAATTTCCTGTTGCAGCGCCTCAAGTACTTCTATCACAAGGAAGCCTTCTCAAATCTACTGGAATTGTGGTACCGACTCAAGCAGCACATCGATAACTACACCGGATCAGATCCAGACACCAACGACTTCGAGGATGACGACGAGGAGGAGGACGCTCCCAAGGAGCAGTATGTGGAGAATGCGTTCAAGCTGCTGCGCCTGCTAGCCTGTATGGTGATAAAGGCCGAGAACTCGGATCTCCAAGAGATTGGGGATGAAAAGGTGCAGCTTTTCGTGTCTGCACTGAAAGCCGAAGGGGAAGATTCAATCTTCTCGAAGGCCCTCGAATGCCTGAGCGATAATGTGGATAAGGAGTCGGGCCAAGCCTAAAGCAAATACCTCCATGAAAGGAAAGACAAAAATGACTGAGATTGTAGCTTGCAGCACAATATATTCGTAACTTAGTGAGTATCCGGCTTTAACTAGGGCGCCTCGGTTCCAATGGCCTGCAGTTTTTGACGCATCATATCGCTCCACGATTGTTTTCCCAGGCGCACGCCTTTGTCGCCAGTGCTGCTGACCTGCAGGCGGTGTGTATTCGATTTGTTGAGCAGGAATTTGCTCTTATCTTCGTTGAGAGCATGGGCCACATGTTCCAGTTCGGTTTCCAATTTCACTTCGGCGGCTGTCACCTCTATGTGGAGATCCTGCTCAATGGCTTGGGAAATGTGAATGATAGCCTCGTTTTCCAAGTTCTGGGCATCGATTTTGTTGTGACCCACTAGCTCGGATAATTGCAGATTTAAGCTGCCTCCTTTGGTCATTACTTGGAGGTTGCCATGTACTCCAGCTAGAATATCCGAATTGTTATCATATTGTTTGTAATTTCTTAGACGGACCTACTCATGTTGATTTCCCCCGACTGGTGGACATGCACTTGGCTTGATTTGTGGACATTTTTGAGCTCCAGGCGTCCTGTTTGCGTCTGAAACTTGGAGTTTTCCACATAGCAACAGTCGGTTACAATGCTGCCAGCCTTGGTCGAGCAATTCAGGCTATCTCCCTGCAGTTTGTCCATTGAAATGTTCTGTAGAGTGGAATTAAAAGTGAATGGTAGGTTTTTTTTCGCTATAGAAATCCCTATTTACCCCACAATGTGTCTCAATTTCGGTGATCTTGCCCAGCAGCGTGCCTTGGCAGTTGATGTTTCCGTTTTCGCTATACAGCTTAATGTTGGTGGCCTTAACATTCTTGGTGAGGATGCCTCCATCCGCCTTGACTTGCAGCAGCTCACTCTGGACTCCCTCCACCCGGACATTGCCTTTGGCCTCCACGGAGACATCGGATCGCACGGGTATCTGCAGATTGCACTCGAATTGCGAGGGCTGCTCTGCCAGTTGCTTGACCACCACATTGACCACCTTGTCATCGTTGGTTATTTTCACATCCAGCGAGACATTGGAGTTCTTGACTTGGCCGCCGCACATTTGGGCTATAAACACATCTCCGCTGGTGTACTGATGCACATCCGCGGGCTGGATGCGCAGGAAAACATCGGACTTTACGTTGATCCTGGCAAAGGGGTTTACATAATGCAGGATCTCCTGGTGGACCATGCGCTTGTTTACGGCCATGATCGGCTTGAAGTTGGCCCGGGACTTTTTGGCGTATTGACGCAGGTGGTGATTTAATTGTGGCAACCACACACGTTGCAGCAGCATTATAAATCCCCAAAAAGAAAACAAAATATGTCAGTTTTGTTTACTTTTAAATGCAATATCAGCTGTTTTTGGGTATTAACCAACACTGCTCTTCGGAGTATTTCCCAGCACTAACTGCAATCGATTGCCTGCTGGCCATTGCCAACACTGCCGTCCGTCATTTTCCAGTTGGAGTTTTTCAGTGTTCTGCGACGGTTGCAGTTTTTCTCAATACGCAGTTGAAAATAGTTTAATCCAGCCAATTACCACCCGAAACAAGCAGCAAAATGTCCGGAAAAGATAGGCTACCGATCTTCCCGTCCCGTGGTGCTCAGATGTTGATGAAGGCCCGTCTGGCTGGCGCACAAAAGGGTCATGGCCTGCTCAAGAAGAAGGCGGATGCCCTCCAGATGCGATTCCGAATGATTCTGGGCAAGATCATCGAGACCAAGACCCTGATGGGTGATGTTATGAAAGAGGCGGCCTTCTCGCTGGCGGAGGCCAAGTTCACGTCGGGCGACATCAACCAGGTGGTGCTGCAGAACGTGACCAAGGCCCAGATCAAGATCCGCACCAAGAAGGACAACGTGGCGGGCGTGACCCTGCCCGTTTTCGAGTCCTACACGGACGGAGCCGACACCTACGAGCTGGCCGGCTTGGCCCGTGGTGGCCAGCAGCTGGCCAAGCTGAAGAAGAACTACCAGAGCGCCGTCAAGCTGCTCGTGGAGCTGGCCTCGCTGCAGACCTCGTTCGTCACCCTGGACGAGGTGATCAAGATCACCAACCGTCGTGTGAACGCCATCGAGCATGTGATCATTCCGCGGATCGACAGGACACTGGCCTACATCATCTCGGAGCTGGACGAGCTGGAACGCGAGGAGTTCTATCGGCTGAAGAAGATCCAGGACAAGAAGCGCGAGGCGAGGATCAAGGCCGATGCCAAGAAGGCGGAGCTCCTGCAGCAGGGCATCGATGTGCGCCAACAGGCCAATATTTTGGACGAGGGCGACGACGATGTGCTGTTCTAAGTATTACCGTGGATGTTGTTTATTCCAGCAATATTATTGTTAAACTATTTTCGTTCTGTATCCGTTTCCATATTGTAATTCGCAAAAGGGCAAGCCACAAAACTTATTTGTACCTAGTAGCAAAAGTGTGTAGACTATTCCAATAAGCAGAAAAGTATGTATTCCATTTTTGTAGTGTAGTGTAAGCTGCGCCAACCATGCATTAAAGTCTTGTTGTTTCATAAGAAGAGCATTTTTTGTGATTTCTGATTGGAAGAAGGGATTTTTCATTGCAAAAAGGGTCATCTGACTTTTTTATACAACGGCAAAAGCAACAAAAACAATGACGCAGTCACATGACAGCGAACATATGTCCAATTGGAAACAGTGTTGGGCAGCGCAAGCAGTTGTGGCCCCTTGCATTCGATCAGCTGTTTGCGTGGCTTTTTTGTATTTGCACGCTTTTTAGCCGACTTTTATAATTTTTGTGTGTGGAAATGACCAATTCCGAGTTCCAGGCTGTAGTTCTTGCCGCGGGGCGTGGCACCCGCCTACCCGAAGTGCTGGGAGATGCCCCCAAATGCCTGCTGCCCGTGGGCCCGTATCCTCTGATTTGGTATCCACTAAATCTGCTGCAACAACACAACTTTTCAGGTAATTCTGGTTGTCATAAGTGAAAGCCTGGTTTAAATGGTTAATATTGTCTTCTATAGAGGTCATTGTGGTCGTTCTGGAGCAGGAGAAGCTGGAGATACAATCGGCACTGGAGAATACACCCCTTAAGCTGAAATTGGACTATGCTACGATTCCCGGGGACAGTGACTTCGGAACTGCGGACAGTCTGCGCTACATATACGACAAGATTAAGTCGGACTTTCTGGTTGTGAGCTGCGACCTGGTCAGCAATGTCAACCTGTATCCGCTGATCAACAAATTCCGGGAACATGACGCCTCCCTGGCGCTGCTCCTCTTCCCCAGCGGCTTCGAGTCGGATGTGGTGATGCCGGGTCCCAAGAGCAAGCACAAGCCGGAACGAGATGTCATAGGCATCCATGCGGCCAGCCAGCGATTGGCCTTTGTGTCCGCCGCCAGTGACTGCGAGGAAACTCTCAATATCCAGCGGCATCTGCTCAAGAACCGGGGCAGATTGGATGTGTACAGTCGCCTGGTGGATGCCCATGTCTATGTGCTGAAGAAGTGGGTCATCGATTACCTACGAAGGGTGAGATAGGGTCTGCATTTATGAGAATTACCAATCTAACAAGCGATCTTTGCAGAAGGAGAACATATCCACATTCAAGGGAGAGTTCCTGCCGCACTTAATCAAGAAGCAGCACTCCAAACGACCGCCCAAAGCTGTGCAGGACACAACCTCCGAAGTGGGCTTGGTCACCAAGAATGAGGATAATGTTTTGCATGTGAGTAAGGCATAAGCTCTGTGGGTATTTCTTTGCTAACTCCCAAAATCACTTACCATTACAGTACGTGCCGCACTCCATTCTAGACCAGAAGATCACACAGACCTCGTTGTTTAATCAATCTCTGTCCCAAGTTCCCTATCATGGCGACGTGGTGCGCTGCTATGGCATCCAGGCGCCCAAAGAAGCGATTGGCGTGCGAGTGAACAACACTCTCAGCTTCTTGGCCATCAATCGCAAGTTGGCCAGCATCTGGAATGAACTGTGTGGCGAAAAGCATCCACTAATCTCGCCGGGAGCCCTGGTGAAATCCACTCAAACCAAGGAGATCATAGCTGCCGACAATGCCAAGCTGTCCGAGAAGACCTCACTGAACTTCAGCGTCTTCGGACCCAACTGCATCATCAATCCCAAGAACATTGTGGCCAACTCTATCATCATGTCCAATGCCATCGTGGAGGAGGGCTGCAACATCGACAACTGCATCATTGGCCATCGGGCGGTGGTCAAGAGCGGATCCGTGCTGAAAAACTGCATCATTGGACCCAACTACGTGGTGGAGGAGGACACCCACAGCCAGGCGGTGCATCTGTCCAACGCGGATCAGTACATGGAGATAGACATACAGTGAGCGGCTAACTTAATGTGGCTTCCTTTATTAACGAATTGAGTTAGAAGGCGGATTCTTCTAGCAGGACATTAAATATTACAAATAGGTACACGAAACTCGCGCAAGGATTTACGGGCCTGACACAGAGAGCTGGGGCGAGAGCGCTTAAAGCTACTTAGATGGGGAATGGGGAATGTACACGAGAGGTGAGTGGATCCGAGGGAACGACAAGACTGTTTTTCTGCTCACTCCTCCACTGGGCCATCCTCCGCACTGCCTCACTTCCTCCGCTCGTATAGGTACTCGTCCTCGTAATACCTTGGCGTTGTGGCAATGAACACCTGCGGTCGGCGCTGCTGCAGCGAGATGTTGATCTCCTCGGGCGTGCGGAAGACCTGCTGCTGCTGCTGCTGCTGATGATGTTGCTGCTGCAAGTGCTGCAGCTGGGGAGCGGTGGTGAAGAAGCGGTACGGCGCTGGCGTCACGGTCGGCGCCAATGTCTGTGGCCTTTGCTGATGCAGCTGCAACTGGGGCTGGTGCAGCTGATGCAACTGCAATTGCGGCTGCACTGTGGTCGCCGGCAGTGGCTTCCGGTAGGCCAGTGTTGTGGGCTGAGGCTGCGGCTGCGGCTGGTGGCGGATCTGCGTCACCACTTGTGCCTGCGGCTGGGCCTGCTGCTGGTGCTGCTGGGGCTGTTGATATTGTACCCTAACCTGCGGCTGCTGGTAGGCCACCACTTGGCGATGTTGCTGCTGCTGGGGCTGTTGCTGTTGCTGGTGATGGTGTTGCTGCTGCTGCTGCTGTTGCTGGATTCGTGGCCTTGGGGCGGCGGGCAGCTCCTCCTCCTCCTCGTCGTCGTAACGCTCGTGTTCGTAGTAGTTCTCCGGGAAGTAGCGCTCCGAGTAGCGCAGCGTAACATTGGGCTTGCTCTGGTGCTCCTGCAGATTGATGGGCTTGTACAGGTAGTCGTTCACAATGTGGTACTTGGAGGACTGTTTGCAGATGTTGTCGTGCGAGGGCGGCATGCAGATCAGATGGATCTGGTGGAAGGTGAAGCCCTCGGGGCAGATCCACGAGTGCTTCTGGCTCTCCTGGCAGTAGTGGAACACTTCGCAGCTCAGCGATTCGTCGGCATAGTATCTGCAATACATGTTTATCATAAGAAATTGCTAGCCAAATACTTTCAGACTTGGTCACCCACCCGGAGTTCCTGTCCGTGCAGCTGAAGGATGACTTGCTGAGCAGTGTGGACAGACGATCGGGCTCCTCCACCTCCTCCTCCTCCTCCTCGCTCTCCTCGCTCAGCGGCTTCTTCAGCTGGCCCTGGATCTTCAAATAGTTGCTCTGCTGCTTGGCATTTCGGTTGGCGTACACCTGGCGCGGTGCCTCCTCCTGATCCTCCTCGCTGTACTCATAGACCTGGCGATGCTGCTGCTGCTGCGGCTGCTGGCGATAGGCCAGATGGGTCTGGGCCTGCGTCTCGAAGTCGTCCAGCTCCTCCTCGCCGCCGCTGGCGTTCACATCCAGCGATCGTGCCTCGAATCCCTTGGGCTTGGCAGTGGTGGCCGTGGTCGATGGCGCTCCGGTGGCGGCTCCTTCCGCGCAGCTGGACCACAGAACTGTGGCCACTGCCAGGACTAGGAGCACTGTCGACGACGGCATGCTGCAATGGAAATAATGGCCATCAATCGGATGAGTCAGCCTGCTTTATGATATGGGAAACTCTGTGGCAACCAGCAACAATCAAGCAACCAGCAAAAACGCGGGAAAATATTTCTGCGAACCTTTTCGCGAAGATGCCGCCAAATTGCAGCCAAAGAAGGCAGCATCATCGGATCGTCATTGGCATCGGCATAGCCATCGGCATCGGCAGCCCAGCGACCAGTTATGCAAGAGGCCAGACCAGACCAGACCAGCCAGCCAGGCCAGAAAACTTGTTATAAGGCAAACACGGCAACTGCAAGTCCCAGTCCCCCAAGATCGAAACGGGCCATGGAGTTTAGAGTTTGGAGTTTGGGGCTGGGAGGTGGAGTTGCAGTTGGAAATGGAGATGGAGATGGAGATGCAACTGCGGCTGCGAAGGCAAGGAAAGCTGGGCTCTGGGAATCACTGATCATGGCATACCCTTGAGCAAGTCACCCCAAAAGATTAGAACACAAGTGATCCACTATTTTTGAATTGGAAAAATTAGGTAGATATACTAACCAGTCCACATTTAAAAGCAATGGGTATATAATAACTTTTGTATTTGATCTTTGACTATTGCTAACACTATACAATTAAAAATAAATATTATTAGAAATGGTACTCAGTTCGTAAATTAGATTTTGAAGCAGAGAAACCTAAGCAAGCAGAAAAAATTAGTTTTATTTTACAATATAACCAGATATGTGTAACTTTTATAGGATTTTATAAATACAGCAATATCCAATATCATATTGTTTATTGAAAAAAGGGATTTTCAAAATTATAGATTAAAATCAAAGGATATTTTTTCTAAATCTGAATATATTTATTTAGTAGGTTTAGGAAAAGTGATACCTAAAATCATCTTGTTCATTGGATAGTAATTAGTAAATTCCCCGGAATTATAAATTTAAATCAAAGGATTTATATTCTGAACCTTATTAGCAATCTATTTGATAGGTTTGAGAAGTGATAAGCATTCCAATTTACACAGAGTAGTTTCTAAATATCATAATCAATTTTCTTTTTATAGTTTTTTTATTTCTTCTAGCAACATTATCTTATAAAAGAGACTTCAATTGGTTTCTACCCCCTGCCTTGAGACCCCGATCCCATAGTTCATGTACCCCACCAGCAGTCAGCATGATGAAGATGCTCAGCCTGCGGCGGGTTCAATTTGAACGCCATTTACCCGAGACGGAGACCCACTCGCGCACTCGACTTGGCTGAATGTCAACTGCTGTTCATACGCATAATACATATATCTAAACCCTGACGGGTTGGGGGGAATTCCTGGCCTGGAAACCGATCCACCGATCCGGTGCTGGCCAGTCCAATTAACCAACGTTACGTGCCAGCATCTAATTGGGGCCATAACGTTAAAGCCCGAGTAAGAGTCGCAAATAGTTGGGCAAGGTGAAATATGTGAGCTGTAATGAAAGCAACAGAGCCAAAGCAAAAGCAAAAGCAAAAGTCAAGCCGGACTTTTACTTTTCACGCCGATTGGCAGTCGCCCCAGTCGAGTGTCCGGCTGTGCGAGTGACTTTGAACCCGCAGCCACGGCGGATTTTCATGGATTTGGGCCAGGCCAATAAATCTGGAGAGCGTCTTATGCAAGTATCGAATTTTTCCAGCTGGCAATTTGTCAGCCTGTCGCTTGGCAGCTGCAAGTTGCAAGTTGCAAGTTGCAACTTGGGGGGACCTTTGAACTTTAAGAGCTGGCTGAGAGTGCCACTGTTGCCAGTTGCATTGTCACTGTCAGCGAACCTTTTGCGCAATCTCCATGGGAATCCGGGGGAATCTGCCCCAAGGAATTGCTCACCCTGGCAGCAAATGCAAATATCTAGCATACAACACACATTCCTCGGCAGCAGCCTGGAGTGCTCCACTTGCAGCACACACACAGCACTTTCGCAGTCGCAATAGCCAGTCTGTCTGCCATAAATGGGGAATTGGTTGCAGTTGCAGTTGCATGTCTCGGGATCTGTCTCTGCTTTTGGTCCAGATGCAGACGTTATCGCACCGCAGTTACATCATGCATATATAGCACATAGCATAGCATAGCACAGAGTAGAGGCGATGCGTTGATGTTGATGGTTTTTGCCCCATTCCCCAGATTTAGACTATTACACTGGTAAAAAAGACTTAGTAAGTCCACATCTATCAAACTTAAATTAAATCATTTTGGCTGTGTTTTTAGGAACATTTCATATGAATTTAAAACTATGATTTTAATAATTTTAGTTTAATATAGATATAATACATTTTTAAGAATTGATTTTATATCTACAACATTTCATATGATTTTAAATTGAATTAAAATATAAAATATCATAATTTGAATTTAACAGCCAGACAACTTTTAGTTATTTCAAATATGGAAATATTACATTTTTAAAATAATTCAAATGTTTTATAATAAAATTATACAATTAGATTTTGATTTTATATTTTATTCATCTATGATATGTCATAATTTTAATTTAATAGCCAGACTACTCCTTTTTTTACAAGTGTACCCTCCGCTCACCCACTTTTCTCGAAACCACAAGACAGGCGATGCCGTCGGTTTTGTTATACATTCAAGTATCCAAGTCGCAGTGGATTTTTCTGTGTGCCACCGGGTTTTCTTGCGTATGGAACGCTCGGACTATATTTGCTTTTGATTTCCTTAAATGTTGGGTGTGCGTCACGTTAGGCGGGCATTTTTGGGGTGACATAAGCGCCGGTCTTAGGATATGTATTACGACATTTGTGCACCAAATGCACCAGCTGCATTTTGATAAGTGTACTGTCTGCTTGGCCAACGAGAGTGCAAATTTCTTGTATAACCCAGGGAGTAGGCAGAGAATTAAGACACCAGTCCACTTAGCGCCACAATATAGCCGCGACTGCCCGCTGTTTTCCAGCCATTTCAATTTTCATGTTCATTTTCATTCCCATTTCCATTTCGGCGGCTCTTTAGCATGTAATCTGCTCGAGTTTGTTGCCCAAGTCTTTTGTTTTCACTTGTAACTGTTGCTGGTTGATTCGAGTGCTTAATTAAACACAAGCTCGTTAACACAACTCCCGATGCCATTAAACTGTGTGAAACATGAAAGCCCAACCAAATAAACTACATTGCACTGCCTTAATTTCGTTTTTTTTTCATTTTCCCATTTTTTTTTTAACTGTTTCTCTGGCAGTTTATTTTGTTTGTTACAAATTAAGCGGCGTTAATGTGCGTGCAGTTAAGACGGTTTTGCTTTTTAATGTACTGGAAATTTACGTCTGTCTGATTTCGGGCATCTGGATAATGTGGCGGCATAATTGCTTGGCAATGGATTTTATGTTCCACCGTTTTTCTCTTTTTGTCTTTTATTATCTCATGTTATGCCGTGGTAATTTTCACAAATCTGTGACCTTCACTTTGGTGGGGGCCCACTCTGAAGTGGGTGTGTTTATTTGCTTGGCATCGATGACGGGCGAAATCCAACGAGCCAAGGTAAAAGTGAAAGAAATCAATTCGATGTTCGATGGCAATTTATTAATTGCTCCCCACAAAAACACACCCCATCGATAAAGTGACCACAAATCGAAAACAATTACAGGCGGGGGGCGGTGGGCGGTGGGCGTGGCTTTTTAGGAGGCACGCTTGGGCAATTGCGCATTTCTGTGCGTCGCTGTAATTCCAAACGTTGAAATATTGCGTATACGCCACATGCGTCGCAGTGCGTGCATTTGATACAATTACCACTCATATTCGCAGTCACTTATATAATGCCCAGAGCATGAGTAATCCACACGACTTGACTTTTAGAAAGGACCAGCTTTGTGATGCAATCTGTCACGGAGATTGGATCTCCCCGTGTCCAGCAGGCGTGACCATTTGGAGTCCTAATCGATTGATCTACTCTCGACCACTCGATGGCCATAAAGCAAACATAAATTACTACATATAAGATCAAAAGATTGCCTAATCTGCACAGGAACGAAAAGTCTAGTATGATGATTGATTGTTTAAAATAAAATTGAAAAGCAATATGAAATACATAAATAAATTTGTAAGTTTATTATTCACCACAGATCTCTTTCAATTTTGAACAAAAATAGAGTCGATGTAGGATAGAATGCTCTTTAACTTGGTAAGATCCTCCAAGATTTAACTTCAAAAAAGCATTTGATTAAAAATTTACTACTAAACAAAAGTAAAATTCAGAGTATATATGGCATCGACAGATTTTTCCACCAAATTGCAAAGCAATTAAAAGCCAATTCAAAAGAATATAAAAATGTTACTTGAACTAATATTTTTCAGGTCGAATATATATATGTTTTGTTGGAAAAAAATATTTAAAGTAGTCATGACTTAATCATAAAAATCTAATGGAAAATAATTAGAGATATATAACAGTTTTTATAGGTATCAAGATCAAAATAACTTGATTATTATTTAAAGTAGTTTAAATTGAACATGACTTCATCATAAAGATCTACTGGATAATAATTATAGTTATATGACAGTTTTTATAGGTATCACGATTCAAATCTACATTTTTACTTTAGTAGCTATGAAAAACCTCTTTAAAAAGACATCCCAACTTCTCTCTCTGCAGCAACTCATATAAATAAGTACAAGTATCCCCCTGGGTTCAAGTCAGCTGCCTCAATGAACTGTCGGCAAACAAAAGCGAAAACTCCCACGCCAAACAAAAAAAAAAAAAACACTCACACACACAGAGACAGAGACAGAGTCAGAAAACCAACTGAAATATATAGAAGGAAAAGTCAGTTGGGGTTTTGTGTTTCTCTGTGTGTTACGTATGTCGCTGGGTTTTGAAATCGCCCAAAAGAATATTTTGTGGTTGCCAAGCGGGCCAGAAAATTGGGCCGAGAGAACCCCGGCGGAGACCGAGACAATACCGAAAATGTTAATTACTGGTTGCGGCGACTGCAGCACGAATTTGTGGCCGCGAGGCAGGCCAAGTCCAGGTTCAGACTCAGATTCAGATCCAGGTTGGGACTATGATTCATAGTCCCGCTTTGGAAACTTACTGCATTCTGGGGGCGATCGCCTGGCGGTATCCAAATAATCCAAATAGTCTTGGCTCCGGATCACACACTGCACTGATCACTGTTTGTTTCTTGGCTATTTATAAATCACTTCGTTGCACTGGGCAGCTTGGCTTCGCTTCTTCTAACTGCTAACTGCAAAGTGCTAAGTGCTGCTGCTGCTGCTGACGGTTCACTCGTCTGGCTCGAACAACAAAATGAATGACTTTCTTTGGCTTGTTTATGTTTTATACCAAAAAATCCAGACGGAGCCGAAGTCGAAGCCGCCCATTGAGAGGATTGGCCGAGAGAACGGCCCCTTCTCTGTGCTTCTCAATGGCTCGGGCCTAGGTTTTCTCTCTACGAGCCGAGCTCTTCGTTTCTCTATTTCTCTTTCGCTGTCTCAGAGCCACTCAAAGTCACCATGGCAAGTTGAGTGGAGTTTTCCTCACTGCCGCCAAGTTCGTTTCTTAAGTCTTTTGATCTTCACAACAAGAATTTTAAATTGATAAGAACGGATAGCAATTTTATGTAATGTTTATAAACAATATAAAGTAATATTTATGTAATTCAAAAAATTACGAGGTTTTCAATTCTTTAAGAAAATACATGTTTAGGAATTAATTAGAGCATATTAGATTTTGAAAAAAATGTCTATGCAATTTGAGTTTAATTAAATACAAAAATAATTCTTTTAATATCAAGAAAACTATTTTATAGAGACCTTTCCAGATGAATTAATTTAGTAGGAATATTTTAAAGAATTTTCAATACAAATACATGCTTTAACATAGTTTGTCTTTTATTTATTGATATCAACATATTTTATTACTGAATCTGCTAAGAAGGTTTTGTAACTCAACATTGTATGTGGAAATTACTTTTTAAAATTGAACTGTATTTATGCCAATTTACTTTTAGATTAAATACCAAAACCTAGAAAATCCACAATATCATGTGGGAATATTTGTCTAAGACTTTATTGATAGAAAACATTAGCAAATTTGTAAAAGAAAAACGTTTTCTGTGTCCGTCGACAGGGATTTGGCTTAGGCTTGCCCATTAGTCATAAATGAATTGCTATTACTCATGCATTCAGATATATATCGAAAGATCTGTAACTGTTTGGGGTTTCGAAAATGAAAATGCCTGCCACACATTTGCATCCATCAGATCAGATAGTCGTAAGTGGCCGTCGAAGTGGCCAGATAGAAGCCGCTCAGATATAGTGTAATTAACATTTTCGCTGTTGATTTTCTCAGCCTTCGCTGCGCATTTTGCATGTTTGCTATTTTCAATACAATAACAACAATCAGTTGCAGCGGCAAAGGCGACAGCGGCAGAAGCAGAAGCAGAAGCATATAAAAAAGAAATAAAAATCATTTGCGCCGGTTTCTTCAACGAGGCTGTGACTGCGACTGCAACTGCACTAGCGATGCTCCCACAAGCGAACTTCAGACCGCAGAAACAGAAAACAGCTAACAGCAAACAGCAAACAGAAACAAAACCTGTGCGGCAACTCATCTCATCCGCCGAATGAAATGCTAAAAGCTGCTCACCGACACACTCGGCACACACATGCCTGCATTTGTTTGGCTAATATGAATTAATTTACAATACTGCAGACGCCTACTAAAGGGGGGGTCTACTAACGCCTCCGACTGTTGAACTTTTGCGTTTCTGTGCCGCACTTGCAGCTCAAAATGCATTTGTATCTGCATCTGTATCTGTATCTGCATCTGCATCTCAATTCGCATCTGTATCTCTCCTCAAGCATTTCAATTCCATGCCGTTCAATGTCTGGATACTGACCGCTTGCATATAGCCGCAGATATCTGGCGTGGCTATATACGTATATATATATATATATATATAAACGATTTGGCAATGCATGCAAAGAAGCGTAACGCAAAGAAAGTGCAGCCAGCCTGCTGTTATGATTGCCACCGTTCGAATAAAAAAAAAACTAAAGTGTTTGAAGCCTGCGATTTTCAGGCAGGTGATATAACAAGTTCACATAATTTGCTGGCTTTTCTTTTCGGTTTTTTTTCAATCCCCATCCACATTACATATTTCCACCAAGCCCGACAAACAAATCAGGCAAACTTGCTGCTGTCAGCAAATCAGCAAATCGCAAACAGCTTCACGACTCGAGGAATAATTGCAGGTTGGAGCTAATCAAAATCATTCCCAGGCGGGTGCCTCAATTATAAGGCATAATTAATAAATCTTTTGCCGGATTAGTCAGCGCAAAAGGGAAAAACAACTTGGACACACAGAAAAACATACATCTCAATGGCTTGGAAATAATTGATTTTACATGATGATTGATTGTATGCTGTTTTATTTTATTTTTTTGGCTAGATCGTTCATTTTAGATTTTTGATAATGTCAAAAGAATTTTTTCAACCTTGCTATTTTATTTTAGGCAGGTATTTTTATATGATTAAAAACTGTAGCTCTTAAGGAGCTAACTTTGTAAGCTTACTTATAGTACTCTCGTTTTTAAATGTGAGTAAGCTATAATTCGAATGAAATACACTATCTCAAAAAAGCATTAATAATAATTTGTATAAATAAAACACCGAATATCCCTTATGGAGTAAACTAAACAAAAAAGTTTTACCCAAAAAAAAGTTGATAAAAAGAATTTTTACTGAAAGAGGTTTTATGTTAAGATTCATTGTCATGTAGTATTAATGTTTTCAAACATAGCTTTTACTTTTTTATTTAAGTCTTCTGCTCGTCCCTAAAATGTTTTTATTTGAATTTTAAAACATATTTTTTCTGTGTATGAAGGCTTGCCAAAAGCCCCGAAAAACAAAAGGTACACCCAAATGCACATGTATCTGCAATGTCGCTGACTCCCTGCCAGCAGCGATTGTCCCCTAATAACACGGGTAAAAATTCATTACACGAACTAGCTAACTGAACTGGCCAACTGTTGGCCATTATGCAAAGTCCAAGTCCATTCCGAGCCATTCCATGCCAAAGCCATTCCAAAGCGGCACGTTTCGAGGAAGTTGATTGTCACAAAGCCTCTCATAATCATAACTGTGTTTGCTGCCCCATCAGCAGCTACTTCGGCCATACAATACCATCGTAGTTTGGTAGTAACAACGAAAACAACGACAACAACGACAACCACGACGGTCAGGTTCAATGGGGGAAATTATAGACATTGCAGCCACAACAAAACTGGAAAAAATATTGTAAAACTGAAATCGGACTTGGGCAAGATCTGGCCAAAATATTATGTCTTTGAAATTAGCCCCTGCCTATTACAAATTACTAATGCGCTTTTGTCAGCTTGCTAGATTTTGTGACTCCGTTTGAGTGCCACAAATCAAATAGGAAGAAATAAAAAATATATATAGTTTAAAGCTTTTCTTTTATTATTAGCTTTATTGCAGCTCCTAAATTTACCGAAACACTCAAACATAATGTGTTTCAGTGCAGCGGTTTAACTGCTGCAATTGAGAATTGGCCAGTTGAACAGCTTGCAGCGGACTTTGCCACCAAAAAAAAAGAAACAAAACCAAAATAATAAAAAAAAGAAAGACAATAAAATTGTGAAGAAACATTTCGCATGTGTCCATGGTCCACTCTTTTGTTTATAAACTAATTAGCCCTAATGCTTAATGCTCCACATATTTTCCATCTGAGATGTGAGTGCGTAAGTTTTGAGTTATGTCACTGGGTTTTCCCCTCTTGCCAATCTCAATCTCTCAATAGCGGATTTCTCAAGAATTGCGCGCTGTATCGCGATGGAAAAAGCGAAAGTAAATCTTGGCTCAGAAACGGCGGATCCATTAGCGTTCTAATAGACACGTCACTCTTGAAGTTCAAGGCCGCGCCGAAAGAGTGGCGAATTGAAATTAATTACATCGAACGCGCCTCGAAGTTCTCTGGGCGTTGTTTGAGCACTCCATTAATGACTTCGGGCCGGGATCTGTTTTAGATTAGCAGTTCGTTTAATTCACACGCGAATAGATTGAGTAATTTGGCTCATACATTTCAAGTGGTTTTATTGGGGCTCTTAATAAAGTCATATGTGTTTTAAGGCTTAAAGTTAGCTATGCCAAACACCAGAAAATAATCAGTTAACTTTAATATCTTTATTTTAAAATATAATATAACACTTTTTATACTTACTTTAGCCTATAATAGGCATTTTAAAATAAATTTATTAATATAATAACTTCTTCCAATATTAAATAAATAATTAAAACCAAAATAAGATATTCAAAATATAATAGAACATTGTTGCGTTATTTACTGAATAAGCTTATTATCAATAAATAAATGTAATTTTATAATACAAGCCTAGTAGAACGCATATACTTAGTCTTTTAATATTAAATAAACAATTTAAGTGATTAGTTTTAAAAATATTAAATTGACACTCAAAAAATTTTTTATTGAACTCAGCTATTATTTAAAAAGTTTTATTTCCAGCTTTTAATATTTTTATGGAAACTTTCTATAGAGTAACTTTCCCTCGAGTTAGTGTTTAATCTTTAAAAATTATTCCCCTTGGAACTTTTGGGAGTTAATTGGCTCACATTAGCTCCGCGCTTAAAGTTATTTAATAGATGATTAAAGACCCAACAACTGACATCACCCGCCAGCATCAGCCAGCAATCACACACCCACAATTAGCGGGCAGTCGGCTGCGAAAACCGTTGAGATTAATTCACATTCACAGCGTCATAAAAGTTATGACCATCGTTTACGCCAAGTCAACAATGGGCAAGTATTATTACTCCGAACTTCAAACTCCAAAGCCGGAACTTGTCCGCCGGATGATTTGTAAGTTTTTTCGGCTGGATTGTTGATTGTTTTTCGTGGGCTATCAAGATCAGATCGGATCAGATCAGTGGAAGTTACGTGTTAATTCAAACTCACAAGCTCGCTGCATTTTCCGTTTTCGGTGCGGAAGTGACTGTGAACTTGACATTGAGGGGGCGTGCCCTGGGGTCCAAAGAAATGCAAATTTCTGTCCATTCTCACAGCCCACAAGCAAAAAAAAAGTGGGAGATTAGAGCGGAAGGAAGTAGAAATCGAAAGTGAATTTAAGTCAGTTTCTAAACTACTTAAAAATGGCCAAGGCACACGCTAAAGGTTAATGACAACTTTATGGGAATTCGATGTTAAACTAAAATTGAATAAAAGTATGTGAACAAAAATTGTAGTAATTAAAATATATTTTGTTAT